CCTGCCTGTGTGAATAGCGATACCCACCCGCTGATTGGCATTCCACACCGCCCTACTGAGGACAACTATCAGCCGTCGCTGCGGACATTTGCCCAGCGCTCCCTACATTCTGCCGACCCTCGACCCTCTACCCCTGCTGCACCCCTCGTCCACTACCACTGCTAACGCTGGCCACCACTGGCTTGTTGTAGCAGACTCTACCCCCTGCTGTCCGTCGACATCGGTCCGGCTGCAGTTCTACCTATCTGCCACCATGTGCCACTCCGTGAGGATACCCACTCCGACCCTATCCCCACTGCCACCGCTGAGGGCGCGCCTGTCGAGGAACAACAAGGATTTTGTAGCCTAGTGGGTTATCGGGGCGATAACCCTAAAGGAGGAGGTGATGTCAGGGATCAGTAACGACCCTGGACCCTATGCCGGCTGCGCATATGCGTGTGGGAAGTATGCCAGTAATTCCCGTCTACTCCGCTTACCTAAGCCCCAGTGACCCGGATCATCTCTGGCATTGTTCTGGAACATTCTATGATCACGTGATTCTATCGGAAATCTGTTTGGTTTCCTTATTGCCGGACTCTACATGTATATAGCCGACCCTAAGATGGGGACATCCCTTTCCCCTGGCTTTAATCACAACTAGGTTATCGGAGCATCCTGTGCAAGCATGCATGTCCCCTGACAGTCAGCCTCAGTCGGGAATGCTCGGGCACGGGTCATAAAATTTACTTCGCATTGAACGAAGAACGTACGAAGTTTGTTACAGTCAGAGCCATCAAATGGTTTGGGTTCACGGACCTTCTTATGGGCCAGTTCGGGACGAGGCAGCAGTGGAGGAGCTGGGGGTGGTGCCGGCGGCAGAATTATCTGGTGGATGTCATGAGTGGTTTGAGCAAGATCAGTGATTGCCTTGGTGAGCATGAAGACCATCCGTCCCTTTGGCAGGGCTTGCTCAGCTTGCTCAGTATTGATTTCTTCAATCTCCTCATCAACAGTAACCAGCAGATCAGCAGGTAACTCCTCTTGTGGCACTGGCTCAGGCTCTGGTTCGGGTTCTGGCACCAGCTCGATTGGTATCTGGGCCATTACCTTGGCCTCGTTACCAAGTGAATCGCTGTCAACTTTGCTCAGCATTCGTTGCCAGCAGTATCGACGGTGTTTCACCGGCATTGAGGACCGTAAGTCTGCCCAGTCTGCCCTGAAACTCTCGAATAAAGGTTTGTCCAACTCTTCCCTATCAAATAATACGTGGGAGGTATACTGCGCATATGGTGATGTGGAAGTACCAGCCACTGGTGGGTGGGTCTGAGAACGGGTTCTGGGTTTGTGAGACATTGTTTAATGTCAAGAGCGAGGGTGTCAGGGCCCGGCTCGGACTCGGAGGCTCCCTGACCTCAACCCCCATCTGGCCTGTCCTCACACTATGCGGGGCATGAGATGTATAGTAAAAGAAAGGGAATATATGCACTTGCCTATGCAGGGCATGAGATGAGAAGAAGGGTAAAGGTCTCATCTCCCGCATGGTTGCTATATAAAGGAATGGGTCACATGCCCACAACTATACAGCTCCTAGAGTTGTGTAGTGTGACCCGGAGGGAACATCCAGGTGGCAGTGCCCAGTAAGCGTGGGAACGTTCTGGGCAAGTTGCTCGCCCAGAACTGTGGCTGTGACCCGTGGGAACATTCTGGGCGAGCTGCTCGCTCAGAAAGTTCCCACGCTATCCCGTGCGTGCGTGTACACAATGCACAAAGGCAACAACAAGGCAACAGTCAAAGAATAAAAGGGGGTAAAGTAGGTGGGGAGTCCGGGGCACCCTAAGGCAGGGTGCTGAACCCTGACACCAAAATGGCAGAAACTAGGTTCACTTACATGCAACGTATGCAGTGGTGCTAGTTGCCTTCATCATTTGAGCCACCTCTGAGCAGTAATGTTTCCAAAGGCAGCAAAGAAGGTACTTCTTCCCTGCCTTGATAGTGTTTTCAAAGTTTTGGGGATGATCCCCAAAACGTCCATCAAGTTCAGTGGCAGACACATTTTGTCCATTCACAGACTTCATGTCAAAAAACCGACCATGGAGTTGGTGAGCCTCCAGCATAGCACTGTCGAACCCATCCATCAAGCCATTTCAAGTCCACCATGAACTTGAACCCTTCAACTGAGTTCAAGAACAGGTGAACCCAGTTGTTCCACCACTTTTGGCAGCGGTTCCGACTCTCTGTTACTGGCCAGTTTTGGCCACTGATGGTGACACCAAAATGGAAGTCACCCTGGAAGAATGTACCTGGGATGAGGATGTTCCTCCAGGTCCCAGCAGGAGGGGAGCAATTTGCCTCTGTGAACCAGGAGTATCCCTCTGGATTGATGAAGGACCAGGTGTCCCGCTGGTTTGAGGGTGGGCACTGCTATGAGGCCAAAAGAAGATGAGGGCCCTTGAGGCCCGGGAGGGGGATGGGAGCCACATGGTGGCCATAATGCCATCCATGAGGCTGGTCAAAGGAACCTTCATCCATTTTGGGAGACTGAGTATTATTTCATTCTAGTCCGCGTTAACACATACTCTCACGGGGGAAGTTGCTGAGGGCCTTATGCTTCAACCCAGCACCCAAACCCTTCAGCCACGGCCCACACTCGCAAATGAGCTGGACAATGACTTTCCTGAAGAGTGTGTCAATGATATGGGTGAGTACGGCAGTGTGGCTGAAGATGGAATGAGCGAGCTTGAACAAGGATCAAGCGATGATTATATTGGCAATGAAGTACCTTGTAATCAGGATTCAATTTGGGATTCAGAGCCAGCACGTCGAAGAGGAAACCCGTTGATATGACGGCACGAAATAGATGGTGGGAGGGATGGTGACACTCATGCAGAGTAATTTCTTGATTGCGAAAATGTATTTACAATTTGCGAAAGGGTGGGTCACAGATCCTGCTTTGTTAGTTCAAAATCCCATTGCGACATGCGACATTACTGTTTTATAGTTCAGTTCAAAAATTTTGTGCGACATGCGACTGAACCTGTGGTCGTTATAGTACAGTATTGGATGTTTCGGCGCGGATGTACGGAGCGAACCATTGCAGCGGAGGTATGTACTGACCTTTTTCTGGTGAGGAGAATGCTCATGTTGTTTAGGCCATGCACATAAAAGGGCCCGGACAATTCTCCTCTCCCCTCTCCCTATCGCCTGGGATCTCGTGCTCTCTTGGTGAGTGAGATCCAGCCTGCTGCCACTTTCCCGGACTTATATCTTTGACCCGCTGCTGCTCCCTCTTGCGCTCACTTTTGCTAGACTTTTTAGTCTCCCACCTCCTCCCCGACATTTAGTTGCAGTTTAATATCCTATTTCACGGGACTAATCGGGGCCGGGCACATGAGTCCCTGCACTGCCGCAGTGCTGACGGATCGGGTTAGGTGACCAACTGCCCGATTCCCTGTGTCATGCTGCACTCCACGGTTTCAAGTATGAGACGGCGAGAGGGGGAATCTGATCCTTTCAACTGCGATGGAAATGATGATGGGTTCATCTTAATTTGACCCACGATTTGCATCGCTGTCCAGTGCAGTTGGAATGATCGGATTTCCCCTCGCGCCGTATTTCGAGCCCGGGTGCTAGCAGGACCAATGCAAGAAAGTCGTAGCGTGACAGTCGATAGTGGGGGCTTACAAATGGAGAGAAATCGTGCCGATGACAATCATCCCTTCATGAAAAATCATTTCCACACCTCTACTCCCTCGTCGAATGCGTGGAAGTCGATATGGAATCTTATGTCCTTTTGTACACTGGGAGAAGGGAGGGGCACGGCGAAAGTAGCCTATTGCGGTTCTGAAAATACGGAATGAGCAGCGTCGTCGTTGCGCTAGCTGGTGAGTCGACATCTGCAACCGAAGAATCAGCCGCATAACGAAGGCCAGGACTCCCACTCCAGCAATTAACAGTACGAACCGGTTTCAAAAGCCAAGGACACATTCACTTTTTTACCCTCCTTGAGCGGGGAGGTGCGGCTTTCCAAAAACATCGGGTGAAGGACTCGAATGTATGGACAATTTTGATCGTCCGAATAGGCCCAACCAAATTCGTTTTCACAGATCTCAATCACATCCTCTGCACGGCGTCAGATGAAGTTGATAAGCGTACAGGCGACAAGTCACCCACCCTCGCAGTGTACTCCCAAGTCGGATGAGTTCTTGATGCGGTTGAGAGCCCGGATCTGGTCCGCAAACGACTTTGTTACAGTTCGGGGGGGGGGGGGGGGTGAAGACATCCCAAATGTACTCGGTATAGTCAGGACTAGATGAGCGAATAAAGAGGTTTATAATTGATCTCGAGTCAATGACTGATCACACGTTGCACGATGGAAGCGACACAGGGCAAGTAGATCGAGGCGGGACAGTCGTTTAGATGAGTACGCTCAATCGATGGGGGAAGCGAGATAAATTCTTGTAAAATTAGTAGGCAGTCCAATTTAGATTCACGATATCGGTTGGAAGGCACAACGCCCAAGCTTCAGAATATCGTATGACACACGGCTGGAACGCAGAAAATCAAACAGGAGTCCTAAATAATCATCACAGTCGGCAAATTGGGACGAAGCGTTTACGCAAGCGGTTGTGGTACCAGTCTCCATTGACAATGTGACGCCGAAGTTTAAAGCAGTGTCGTTGATCGTTAAAGATTCATCATATATTCCATGATCGATAGCATCGATCACGACAGCGGAGTCAGGAAATGGAGGAATAATAGACAACAAAGGAAAAGGCCAACGAAGAGAAGAGGCGAAAGTCGGGGGGAGGGGGGGGATAGGAACGGAGAAAGAAAGAGTTGAACGCGAGAGTACTAGAGCACGTTACGATGGGAGGCGGGACACGGAAATCAAGGAGGACCCTGGTAACCTAGGGTATTGGTAATGATAGCACGGCCATAGGGTTTTCGCGTCGCAAAGATTCGTAGGATCCGCTACGGAGTAGCGGGAATGGCAGGCGGAGCGCTGTAAAGCATACAAAGACCGGCTGGGTGGACCAAACTGAATTATGGGTCTTTCCGAGCCTCGGACAAACTAGGTCGGGCGCCAGCTACAGCTGTCTTTAGAACATCTCAGGTATTGGATAATGGTCCAAAGATGACTAATGTATTTCATTTCCGCCCCGGGCGCCTTCACTCTCACCGACTCACTCCGTCAATGTTGTCACGCACCATTCACTCGTCGCATACAATTCGTCTTTGCCCCATGTCCTCACTTGTTCCCTCACTTTCGGGGCTCGGTCAAACACGTCATTCTAAGAATCGGTCTAGAATACCTCTTCCTTCGCGCTGCACTCGTCGTCAATTCTCCCGATCGGTTTGCAGGTTAGAGTCCTTGTATGATGTACTAGAGATTCCTCGCACTGCCTCCAAGCACCAGATAAAGGCTAGCTTTTATAAGGTTCAGTTGTTCGTCAACTTCCACCAGATGCTCCTGCAACTGACCAAGTTTCTCGTAGCTGAGTAAAAAGTATCATCCTGACCTCAATCTGACTGGGAAAGAGGGGGCGGAGGTAAAGTTTGTGGCTGTTAGTAATGCTTGGTCCGTGCTGGGCGATGAGAGGAAAAGGCATGTGTTTTCCAGCGTCAACAACATTTTTTTTTAATTCGATTCTTCAAATTAGACGAGCGTACGACCGGGAACTGGATCAAGCTGCCAAAGCACCGTCATTCAGACCGTCAGCCTCTAGTGGTGCTGGTGGCGAAGACTTCCACCGACGCCCACGTGCGACGCATGCATGGAGACATCCTCGTTCTTCCGATTTCTCCCAGAGTGACCATCCAGGACGTCGTGCAGGTGGTAGTGGCCATTACACACGGCAGGAAACCGGGCCTTATCACGATGCCTCGCCTCGTACACCTGGTGGAAGACGTACCACTGGAGGCTCTTCAGGGAGGAAAGACCCATTGGAGGGACAGGATCAGAGTGATCGGCGAATACAAGCTGATAGTGGGGTGTGGCGCTTTGCGCAGGTGTTTGGGGTTTTCTGGATCGTGACCGCTCTTGCTGGAGGATTCTCTGTGAACGCTGCTTGACATTTTCTGCTTATTGTACATGCGCTTTTAGAGGTTTTTTTTTAATGTTATATTTTACAGACTGAATAATGTGGCCCAACGATAATGTATTCTACAATTTCACATCTACGTGCGCTTGACCTGGCGTCCAAATGCGCTTCAACACCGTTCTTTCCCCCAACACTCACGATCTTTACATGGTTCACCCACGCCCAACCCACGCTTGTTGTCATGCCTCTGTTCTCCGAGGAGCGTGGCGTCGAATTGGTCACGCCCCACTTTCAATTGGACTTCACCTTTCCCCAGATCGTTCAACACTATGACCGCCCCAAAGCAGTTCGCGTCCTATGTTGATGCCAATGCCGAGAGCTATATTCAAAGGCTTGCAAAAGCAGTTGCGATTCCTAGGTCTGTTCGTCTGCAATGTCGCCGTTAAAATCGACAATTGACTTTCGAATCACCTACATATCTATCGTTCGGAATGATTTTTGAAATGGCCCAGTGTCAGCGGAGATGCAAAATACAGGCAGCATGTTTTTGATATGGCTGACTTCCTCGTGAATGAGATGCGAAGTCTGGGAATCAATGTACACAAGGTCGATCTAGGGAAGCATGTCCTCGATGGGGAGGAGCTTCAGCTTCCGCCTGCTATATTGGGATCGATCGGAAACGATCCGAAGAAGAAGACCATTTTGTTGTATGCACATTACGACGTTCAGCCTGTGAGTACATAGGTGTTGTTCTTGCACATCAGCACTTTCTGATCGCTTACATAATCTCCAGGCGCTCTTGTCCGACGGTGTGTCCAGCGTCATATTCACTTCTACGTGCTCGTTAGCCTCATCCTGACTATTCGCGTCCCAATCAGGGTGGGACCATGAGCCTTTCCGGCTCACTCCTGATCCCAAAACGGGGCGTTTATACGGGCGAGGTGCATCAGACGATAAAGGACCACTCCTTGGGTGGCTGAACGTCGTCGAAGCTCATGTGAAGAGCAATATCGAACTCCCTGTTAACCTCAAATTTTGCTTCGAAGGTGTGTCCAGCAAACCGGGTTTTGGAGCTGGCCCCGAAGTTTATAATTTCATTAGGAATGGAGGAGAGCGGGTCGGACGGGTTAGATGATCTCATCAAAGCGGAATCACCAAAGGGCAAATTCTTCGATGGCGTGCATGCTGTATGCATCTCTGATAACTATTGGCTTAACGATCGCACTGTGTGTAAGCTGTGGTACCTAACAAAAACTTTGCTGATCGAGAGGCTTTGTTGTCCAGCCTTGCCTCACGTATGGTCTCGTACGTGTTTTCATTTGTCCAGAGTCCGAATGTATTGACTCTCCCTGTTTAGCGAGGTATATCTTATTACAAGGTGTCTGTGTCGGGGCCCGCTCGCGACCTACACTCTGGTGTCTTCGGGAACACAGTCCATGAGGTGAGTTATTGTGGATGCTCAACGTCTGTCATAAAATTGACGCGCGCTATATAGCCAATGACGGATCTCATCCACTTGTTAGGCAAGCTGGTGACTCCGACTGGAGAGATCAAGATACCAGGGCTCGCAAATCTCGTCGCACCTCTGACGGAGGAAGAAAGGAAGCGATACGAGGTAATCGACTACAGCGTAGCAGTAAGCAGTTCTTCGCCTTCCCTGTTTTGGCTTTCTCGTAACTCTCTGCCAGGACGTGGAGCACTCTGCTGGCGCCAGGGTTGCGATATCAGATGACAAAGTTCGTGTATTGACAGGACGCATGCGAGAACCTTCGCTGTCGATCCACGGTATTGAGGGTGCCTTTTCCGCCCCCGGAGCTAAGACTGTGATCGTAAGTATTCTCTGCCCTAGGCGAAAGCACGAAAACTAATGGCCCTAAATGATATATAGCCTGCCAACGTCCATGGTAATATAACATCGTACCACGAGAACAGTCGGTTGCTAAAACCACCTCCAAAGGCAAATTCTCCATCCGCCTGGTACCGGACATGACGCCAGAACTCGTCGATCCAATCGTCATCAATTACCTTGAAGGCGAATTCGCCAAGCTCAACTCCAAGAACAAGCTGAAAATCGAAAATTTACATGGTGGAAAACCTTGGGTGTACGTGGTCAATACATGAATACCTGCCCAATTTACCTGATTATCTCTGTCAAGAACGGACCCCGGCCATTGGAACTACAAAGCCGCGATTAAAGCCACTGAGGTTAGTTCTGTGATATGCTACCAATAAGATACCGTTTTTCTCACCATATGTTTCCGAGATCAGACGATTTATAAGAAAACTCCGGACCTGACTCGAGAGGGAGGTTCCATACCGGTCACGCTTACGTTCGCAGAGGCCCTAGGCGTTAACGTGTTACTGCTTCCCATGGGCCGGGGAGACGATGGAGCACAGTCTGTATCACTTCCTTACCACTCAAAGTGGATGCCAGTGTTGATGAATTCATCTCCCAGCTCTACAAACGAGAAGCTCGACCGTTCGAACTATATTGAAGGAGTACGTTGTCGTATGACACTCTTCAGTCAGACAGTGTTGTTGATTCATCGTATCCACAGACGAAGCTTCTTGGAACTTACTTGCATGAAGTTGGTGCTATCTCCATTGTATAATTGTGGTACAACCTTGTTCAGGCTCACCGCTAGTTGGGTCAACAATCAACCGTGATTCATTCATTGCTTGTTCGCATCGTGCGACATAGCAACTTTGTCCACGGGCTTATGTTTATTTCCGTGGCGTGTGACTTTTTGCAAATCAGAACGTGACCTTGATCGCGTTGATAAGAGGGAACGCGCGCGCGTCGCTAAAGAGAGGCTAGTCACCTGCCTAGCGCGTCGACAACGATTGGGTACGCTTGGATTTGCACTTTCGGCAACGGCGAACCCTATTTACGCGACAGTCTTGAACTGTGGGATCAGAGCTTCCGCTGCGCAATCAGGTCTCAATAGTGTACATGCCAAGGGCCAGTAGGCAGAAAACTCTCAATTCCCTGAATGATATCTCACTCTCCAAGCTACACCGAATCCTCCGCCCACTTAGAGCCAAATCTCTCGCGCTTGCTAGGGTTTTAGAGCAGCCCTCAGCTCGGAATCATATCGCACTTTTGAAGCATGGCGGTTCCCATAGACAGGCAGGCTATACATCTTCCCCAACGGCGAACTCTTCCGCCTCTGCGTCTGAGAGCGACGATGATAGTGCGGATTACAGGTACGGTGAGAGTCACTCTCAGACTCGTCTAGTCAAGCATTCGGACGGGTCTCGGCATCCCCTCTGGTGGGGGCACAGTGTCTCGGATAAAGAGACAGCTGTAATCGAAGCGTTCCGCACCATTTTATTCGTGGTTCGTCCAGTTCCAAGACAGCTTTCCCTTCCCCGATCGCACCCTCGGTCTTTCAGACACCTGCGATCTCTGGCTGAGCAGTGCGCCTGCGTGCTCGGTACTAATATTGAATCATCTGTCGCGGACGCATTCACTAAAGATAACTGTATTCACATCCCAAGTTTTGGTGTCTTCGACGTTGAGGGCCAAAGTATATCTTCCTTTCTTAGCGATGAGGTTGAAGGAGACGAGTCCGCTGTTCTTGTCGATCTGTGCTATGAAAATATCCCTCAGCACTTGCGCTCGTAGGTGCAATAGACATCACTCACTTGGCTTCATCTGATCTGGCTTTGCGAAATAGGCCCGCGGTCATTCCCCATGCCATCCAGATGGTCGGCCAACTTATGCCACTCTCCTTTTCCAAGGTGTTCAACGAAATAATCCAAATTTGTGCACAACATTCTTTGCGTGATGAGGTTTGTTGGTGTATTTGGGGTGCGTCGGGAGGGACTTATGACAGTATTTAGGCCCGACAAGCATTAGAACATGTCGTTAAGAGAGTACTCTATGCGAGCGCTAGCTGGAATCAACATCTTCTAGAGAGTGGCGACGACAAGGACGCGCTAATCAAACTCATGGAAAATGGGCGGCACGATGAAATTGGTTCATCTAGTTGTGTGTCATTGTGGACAGAAGCAGAGTTTGTTCGGATCATACAAAAAACTGTTTACGACCATGATTCGATTCCTTCTCCGGATCCATCCCCTTCAACCTCATGGAAGTGTGTGCCCTGGCTGGCTCGTGGATTTTATCGTCTCTTCCACACCTTGACTTCCCCAGCCGCCAAGCAGCTGCTCTGCGAGATAGTGATAAACGGATGTCTCCGCTTGGTGCCTCCTATTCCAGCTACTTCTCAGGGGGAGGGAGGAGAACCCGCACATTCCCTCACGGGAAGTCAGAAGGGATCCGCTATGGCTGAAAAAGAGTTCCTCAGTATGCTTTGCGCACAGTTCGACAGACTCCCTAGATGGTGCACGGCCCTTATCAAAATGGATCTTTCGTTGCCTTCCGATGCGGACATGGACGAGGACGATAGATTCCCGGCGGTTCGTCATTGGGTTGCTGGGCTGGTCCGGATCACAGTGTCGATGCTTACCCTCTGCAAGCTACTCCCGCCTGCTGAGAAAGCACTGCGACCGAGTGCGCTAAGCTTGGCCTTACACGCTCTCATTCGGTCCTCTGCCAACGACTTCTCGGCAAAGGAGGTGCTGGTGGCGCTGACTTCTGGTGGTGTCCCCCTTTCCCGCCCTTCAGCACGAGATGACGTAGACACATTTTATCCCCTCTTTTCAGCGTTTCACTCTGACCCCTCATACTTCCACTCAGCAATGATGGAATATCATGATTTCCTTATGGAACTCCAGTCCAGGAGTGATACGAGCGCATTTGCATTGGTTAGAGTTATCTTTCTTCGTTCTGCCGTATCCTTCGTTCGCACACGCGCAGAAGGGTATGGGAATGATGGTTTCTTTATTTACGACGAAGATTATGCTCGGCTAAAAGACATGCTGGATCGTGCCGAGGCTGCCGCAGAACAGTTCGCTCATGTCTCTACGAGGAAACCCAATCTTGTGGCACTGCCTCCAAAAGCTCCTTTTGTTCGCACACTCAACGCACGAGGCTCAAATGGCGGAGGTAATCTAACCGTAACACAGACTAATCGAAAGCCCAAACTTGAAGTTTATGTTGAAATCCCACTTCCCACCCCCCCGTGCCGAACTCGAAAGAGAAATGACTCGTTGCCCTCCTCGCCTGGATTCCATCCAAAGCGGCGCCGTGCAGACAATATAGGTACATGTGTTTCGCCTAAGAAAGCTCCTCGACAGTCAGGTAGAAACAATCGACCGCACCGCAAAGAGGCCGCGAGAAGTCCATTGCAGCTGAAGGACATTTCTAGATACAAGCATCTTCATCGTGCACAGCATTCGCCCGGTTACCGAACACACAGCCAAATAGCAACGCTGACTCCAAGAACATTCACCAAGGGCATTCCAGGACTTCCCTTTCCCCCTCCGGTCCTTACTTCCATTTTGCTTTCACATATCCCAAACGCATCACTCTCTCCCTCATCTACCGAACCAGGGCCAGAACAGAGGAGCAATTACTCCAGCCATCCAACCCCAGGTCCTAGATCAAAGAGAGGCCCCTCCAAGGTCCTCGCTCCGAAGTTAGCTTCGGGGCTGAAGAGGGATGCGGCATCGAATCGTGTTTCGAAGAACGCAAATGTTAAGTCCGGGAGTCATATCGAAACGCAGAGGCGACAAAGGCACCGCTCACGGCCTTTAACTCCATCTCCAGATTCTCGTGAGGCCCCCGAGCAAGGCATCGTAATTTCCTCACGAGGACCCAGGCCTGCTCAAGAAAGCAACCGCTCTTTCAGTCAACTTGACCCACAGGGTTCCCGTCGCATAAGTCGGCACCCTGCAAGAAAGGGTGATAAATTTATTGCGCCGCATCCTTCCAGCGAACATGACCCGCTCGATCTCTTTCGCACTCATGAAACTGCATTCAAACCCAGATCCCGGCATCCTATATCGGCAGTTGGAAATCGAAGGACACGCTCAAGTGGCAATACCACTCGGACGTCGCTACGAGGCTAGGATGATGTACGCCGGCGCTGAGGATGGCTGACCGTTATGGCCGAGCCAATGAACGAATGGCCGCCATGAGGTGCATGTCGGCGTCCTTTGAGTGTGGTTGTTCAAGACACTATCCGAAAATGTATATGTATCGACTGACATTGGTGGTGTTGTGCTCCCGCAAGATAATTACTGGAACAATCAATGGTATAGATAGGAATTACTATGGACGCTCCTTCCCTTTGTATTGTTATGTAATAACCGTTTCCTTGAACAATCCCATTGCCTGGCACCCCGAGCCATCGTCACTCGGTATCACAGGACGCTCTTCGTACGCACCCAACTTCTAGCTGTTCGAATATACATGGCGATGTGAGCCTGTGGATGTGCGTGTCTCCGGATCGACGCGTCCCTCTGCGACCCTAACCCGTTGACGTGTGAGTTTGGTGAGTGTGAATGAACCATATATACGGATTCCCGGTGTTCCGATCTTCCATCTTTCGGCGTAGACGGCGTAATCGCCCTACCGCTGAACGCGTCAGGCACATACCCAATCCGTTGGACCCGTTTTACGTCAAAATACGCAAGCCACTGATACGTTTATCCACCTGTGGGAGGCGAGATGACTGATACTGACGTGACGGACATGCAGCGCACGGAGTTGTGGGTTGATGACTGTCGCAAAGTAGAATGGACAGGAAGGGTGTCGATGGATATATAGTGAGATTGGAGGAGATTTATGCATGTGCACACATTGTTCAATACGCGCGAAAAAGAAAAGAAAGTAGAAAGAGAAGGCAACCACGAAGCGGAAACTAATATGATGACAGCATAAGGATTAATCACAAGCGAAAAGGAAAGTAAAAATAAATCCGAACAGAAATGCATAATAAGTTGGTGCCCATGGTACAGAGGAAAGGGGCAGCGAGAGCAGGCAGGTGACCAGCAGCGAGAGTACGAGTGGAGCGGATGCGAGTCTAGACGGAGAGCTTTATGAATCTAACAAAATCCACATTAAGGAAAGAGATGGACGCAATGAAAAACTGAAAGCGAGGCGAATTAAGACAGCAGGAATCTCAGGTGAACCACCTCCTCCATCCCTTCTTCTTTGTTGGTTTACCAGACATTGGGGAATCCAGAGGGATGGTTCCTAACACAATGACGCCGCGGCCATTGGGTCGAAAGTTCTCGGGTGGACGGGCACCGGGGGGTAAGGATATTCTGGACGAACTTAATGTGGTCCGGACGGCGGTAGGGCAGAGGGTTGACAAAGAGGTCGCACTACCCGTTCCGTGCCGTACATTTAGACTATTTGTCATCGCTGCGTTCGGTTTGGCAATGGCATTGACGTCCACCCCATCAATGGCGATAGCAGGGACGAGCGTTCGTACTGAAGTAGAAGTCAAGGATGGAGCCGAGGTGGACATTAACATTCGATGTGCAGGTGACAGCGGCGGGGTTTCTAAGGATGAGCGTGCAGATCCATTGTCCGAAGATCCATCAGGAGAACCAGATGTGAAAACCTCAGAAGAATGAAACGCAGGTCGAGGAGGAATTGTGTCAAGGGAGGTCTTGGAGGAGCGCGTTGAGTTCAATGAGAAGTCCAAGGTGGATACAGAAGAAGACTTGGAAGGTGAGGATGTGCTCGCTGAGATTGAACCAGCCGAGTCGGAACGCATGGAAAGAGATAAGGACGATTGACCCAAGATTAGGTCCCCTATTTCGCGGAGTCTCTCCACAGCGGGGTCAACCGGCATCGGACCGACGATTCTGACGACAGGAACCTTTGAGGACTGGTCAACCGAGGTCAACGACCTACTCAACCGACCCTGATCCTTCAAATCAGCGGGCACTGCAAGCCGCGGGGCCATAGTCGTCAGCTCTCTGCTGGACTTCGTCCGTTCAAGCTGCTCTACGCTTAGTCTCTTCCCATTTTTCATACTCCCTTGCCAACTTCGTGCAATACCAGACGACGGACCAATGCTTTTCCGTCTCTCCTCAACTTCGGTCCTGCTTAGTGGCATTATGATAGGGATTGCATTTAGTTGATTCCGGCTGAACTTCGGTGTTGTCGACGGCTGAGCTGTCATCCAGTTCAGAGACGGGTCCCTTGACTTGGCACTGACGCTTAATGACATCGATGTTCGATTGAGTGAGTTGCGTGTGGCCTCGATTGCAGAGTGACGGGGTTTCTCAGGAGTGGAAGGAAACGGCACAGCAGAAGGATCCATGGCAGGGGTGATGGAGGGGTGGTGCGAGGCGAACGCGGCACTGGGGGGATTATATCATCTTTCGAAGGGACGCTCTTTGAAGATTTCCCTGACGTAGTAGATGATGATGAACGAGTACGTTTCAAAGAAAGGATAGAACGAATGGAAGGTTTAGACCTGCGCACAGTAGACGTGACATCGCCGCTATCCTTCGTTTCAGGACCCGAAAGCAGAGAGGGGGCTACAGGGGACAACGGTGGAGCATAGGTGGCACTTTCGTCAACTTCTACAGTCGTCGAAAGAGGGGAGGGCACTCTCGAGTGCGAAGACTTGGGCCGCGGACGGTTCAACTGGTGTGGCAGTATGGGCCGCAAATGTGACGGAGATGGTTCATCTCCGTCTGCCGAGCGAGATCGTGAATGCGATGGATGGGGAACGAGAGGCGAGGATCGACGGGAAACCAGCGAGTTCTGTACCACTCGGGAGGGGAAATTGACCACTGGACGGACATCCTCATTGGATCCCGCGCAGGGTGGTGTGAGGCTTGGTCTTTGAAGGGCTGGTTTGGGAGGGACAGGACTCCAGGAATCCATTTGGCTGAGCTGTGTTTACTCTCAATCGGAAGCCTGTCCGTAGGGGATCAGTAGAAACGGACTTCGAGCGAGAGGACAGTGAAGGGAAAGTGTTTCTATCGTATTTATTAAAGTCAGTGATCCCTAGCTACGCGTTCATTTTCGGAATATCCAGGAGAGCATAAGTTTGTACGTACGAAGAGAGAATGTTGCCAAAAAAAAAACTGCAGGTACACCGGCCACAAAGCCCAGCCTCAGAAGGCGTATGCCGGGGATCAAGCAGATATTGATGCCAAAAAGCAATAAGTATACACGTCGCGCGAGCGATGTTGCTGAGTCTATTAGATACGGGTAGCCAACCTGCTCGGCGAACGTCTTTGGGCGCTTAGCCCCTGACAGCTCTCCCAACCTTGATGGGTTGGCGAACGAGAATAATGAGCGCTTTATTCAAAAGGAGCGAAAGATGGATGCGTTTGAAACTAGAAATGAGGAAGACGAACCCAACAAAGCTAAAAGGGAACAATACATTTTTTGTCAAGATTGAATTGAGACCAGGTGAGAAGACGGGAAGGAGTCCAAGGTTAGTTCAAGGTCATTCCGGCAGGGTTCAGCTAACGAGTCATTGACAGCTGTGCTGCATACGGAGAACCAACTCGACACGATAGCCTGCAACATCCTAGCCCCACACGATTGCTTTGTGCATTTGAGATTGCAAATTGACTTCAAAAGAGGCAGGTCAATTGACTTGGCATTGGGTGTCACGCTTGCATCGATTAGTGTTAACCGGCTGTTCCTTCTCTAGTAGAGGCTGGGATCCTGCCTACCGTTCCATCAAATCTTCGCAGCTTAGGGAATTACGGTGATTGGCGCCACAAGGCTGAGTAAGTATGTGCAGCCCGTGTCGTGTCCCGTTGGACCACCAAGATGATGGATTATTTGGTGCAAAGCTTATGTACATAAACCAACAAATTGGCACACGATGCCGCACGCAAGGACCGATTCAGCTCATCCCTCCATACCGTGGCTAAGAGTGGGTTCAACAAAGCCGTGAGAATAACTCAGCAGAACTTCTTACCTGTGACGAGACAACGCCGTAAGAATTCAAAGGAAGCTAACCTTGAGCTCCTCACTCGGGCTACCGCAGCTCCATCTCCTCACTTGAGTCGGGGGCGTGTAAAGGCTTTGGGGCCTAGGGATATAAGGTAACATTGTTAGAACCCTAATCGAAGCTCACGGGAAGCAACGTTGAGAATCGTGGTTAATCAAGTTTGGCATGAAAATGCTGTGGCTGAGGGTGTGGAGAGACTGCGACGCACTTTCCTTGCGAGTTGGTTGCATTCCTGCGACCAGTCAAATCATGCGGGGAAGTTTGGTCAGCACGAACGGGTCCTTGAGCTGGTGGTATTATGTGCCAATTGAATGGGCGCAAGTATCTTCCTGTCTGATCAAGGAGTTGCTCATGACGGTGTACCATGGAAGATTATTCCAGGAGCGTGCACCGTTCACAAAATCCAACTGTCTAGCATCGCGTGGCTCCGGGCTAGAGAAGCGTTCTACGGAAATCAGAATGATGGCAAAGAGAAAAATGGTAAGGATCGATCATTGGATACCCGACTCAGTCCCGGCTTCTCGGCTTCTCCCTAATGGCAGTGAGAAGATGATGCTAAAGCTGGGAGTATTCCAAGTAGGTATCCATGGGGATCTTGGGGAGCCTGTAGCCATACATGATGGGATTAGCCGGCCACACGTAATTGCGAACCTTCATCTGAAGTCAACAGCAAATTTCACACCCCGACTCTCAGGCTTCCAACCAGGTTGGAAGCATTCTCCCAGCCCATCAGGCCAGACAGTGATCGCAACGATCGCTAAGAGTGACCCCAGTAGAAGCACGAGATTGACTAGTACTGTGCGATGTCACCCGCACGAACCATATCCCATATAGCCATCAAGGGAGTGTCCGTCAGCGATATGGCCCGACTCGGGCTGTGCCAATGACTGAACGGGGAATGGATAACGATGGTCCACCCAATCGAGTGCCAATATTAGATGAATCGTATTCCGCGGCACACACCCCGATGCTTTTCAGAGGTGCAATATCCAGTTGCCACGCCCAGGAAGTGGGGTTGCAAGTCTGGAGTCATGTTATCCCTGCTCGCTGGTTCCGGAGTAGCCGTCCAGCGCCGATGTGTGAGTGGAGCCGGGAACATGCTGTTAGAGGTCAGCGGTCAGCGGGAGCTTTCACATGAATGAAAGGGTACTGGGATATTGTTCATAGAACAAATACTGCCATATTTGTTACGAGAGCCTGATGTTAAGAACGTAGGGTGGGCCAGATATGATGATTTGTGATATGGTTCATGGCGGTTGGTTCTAATTCACACCCGCCGCGCGACTTTGCCTCATCAGAAAAAACCTTAATCCCTACAGCAGCCCCAAGTTTCACGGCATAATCAGGATCTACTTTCAGTTAGATCGGATACTTTTCCGCTGCCCATCGGAGTGAAAGCCGATGGCACAGCATAGGCTGGTGACCAGTAAGCACAGCAATGCTGCGAGATCCTAGCAAAGGATCGATGGGTTAAACAAGGACAATAAGCATTAAAAGGCCGTCGGCTCGTGATTCCAGGCCAGTCCGACCAAGTAAATAATATTGCACAATAACCTCGTTCGAGCTCTGGATGAGTTTTCGTTGCTTGTTTCTCAAGTCCCGAGCGTGTTGCAAGCATAGTCATTTAGCCGCATGCCACCCCAGGGCCTAAACTACAAGAACTAGTGTGACGCCCTCTGCGAAATGAGATGCGCGCACTTGAATTAGGAACACAGCACAGCGTACAATCATCGGCTCCAGGTCGAACGAATTCCATGTAGAGCCATTGCGTGCGTTAAAAATGGTGCTTCTAGAAGCCTTGAGCAGATTATGGCACTCACCTTGACCTAGTTTATAGTGACAATGCATAAAAGGCAGGATTCAGGCATGCGTTGATAACGCGAAATGATTAGGAGGGGCATGTGTGCACAGCGATAACAACTACAGACACTGCCTGAAAGCGTGGGGAGTCAAATAGGGTAGGAACAAGCTGCGGCAGTTTGTGGTGTCCATGAAGGATCAGAATCAGTCCCTGTCTTTGGCATGGGCGCCAAAACGGCACGGCACCGGTGTGAGATGACTGAGGGAATCATTTCCTGTTCAATAGATTCCCTGATATATCCAAAAAAAAACAAAGCTGCAACAATAAAGTCGCTTGATAACTGGAAATCAGCTGCGATAAGAGGCCATCGATAAGGGTTCTTCGTTTGTATCTGCAGGCCATGAGGCACACAAGCCGCAGATGCGTGTCAGCACTCGAGCTCAAGCTCACATTACAACGCTGAAACCCAGGAGAAATCGAAGGCTAATTGAGTCTGCTTGAACCGAAAATTGGGGGAATCGAAAGGTGGGATTAGCATTTGTGCATGCATGACCGAGCCCGTTTATTATCATTCGAAGTTGCTAACACGAAAAAATGAGTCCTGATGAGCTACAGGCACACCATTAAGAACACAGCGAAACTAGAGGACCGACTTGTTCTACAAACGTCCGTGGACTCGATGGCCCCTATCGAAACAGGGGCGTTGCTCAGTCATGTTCCGGATATGAGGGTTCACCCTCCATGAAACTGTTAGCCGATAGATTGATACGTACTGAAAGGGTTATCTTGACGTAGCATGCGCATGGTCTGATCCAATGCTCCGGGTTCAACAGGCAATTCGCCGGACTAGAGCAAGATAATCACCGACCAACGCCGGAACCTCAGGTTAGTGCGAGGACAAGACGTTGTTGCCGAATTTTCGAGTTTCCAGAGTCAGGGATTTGAGCGAACGAATCAACACTATGACTATCGCACCACCTAGCTGGAGAACCCTATCCTATTTGGACGTTCAGTTCATTTCCTCGCTTGTCTTCAATACATTTTGAAGAGCGACGAGAGGCGCGAAGGCCCCAGGACACCGACACGAACCCGCGAACGTGCTCGTGGCCAGAGCACGAGCGTAAGGCGATTACGTGTCACGTGACAGTGGCATTTCACATGCTCAACCAACTGCTGCTCCGACGTTTAACGCATCCAGCTCGTTTGTTCTCCACTTATGCACGTCGATCAGCGGCAGGGGATGCCTACAAACCTGAGGAAATTAAGCGAGAGGGAGATGATGTCGATGTATGCATTGTCGGCGGTGGACCGGCAGGACTTAGTGCCGCTATTCGATTAAAGCAACTTGGGCGAGAGAGGGGGGATGATCTACGTGTTGTCTTGCTCGAGAAAGGACCAGAGATCGGTGCGCTATAAAAAACCTTTGTGTCTCGCACTCAACCATTCATTTCAAATCAGGCTCGCATATCCTTTCCGGAGCTGTCATCGAGCCTACGCACTGAATGAACTTTTGCCCGACTGGAAATCGAGAGATGGACATCCCCTCACGCAACCAGCCACCACATCATCGATGCGTTTCCTTACTCGAAACTATTCATTTCCCATGCCTCATCCTCCGCAGATGTCCAATAAAGGGAATTATATTGTTTCACTTTCGCGGTTCACATCCTGGTTGGGTAGTATTGCTGAGGAGGACGGCGTCGAGGTCTATCCTGGTTTCTCAGGTGCTCGTCTCATATTTTCGCCTGATGGCCAGGCGGTCGAAGGCGTGACCACGCATGACGTTGGTGTGGATAAGAACTTTCGATTGAAAGAGTCATTTGAGCCCGGGATGGACTTTCGAGCCAAGGTCACGCTTCTTGCGGAGGGTGCTCATGGGAGTCTAACGAAGATTGCTTCAAAAAAATTTGGGCTTCGTGAACACTCTGATCCTCAAACGTATGGAATAGGGATCAAGGAAGTCTGGCGGGTCGATCCCCCTAAGCACAGGCCCGGCGAAGTCATCCACACCATGGGATACCCCATCACGTCACAAACCTATGGCGGCGGTTGGATTTACCACATGGATGATGGTATGGTTAGTCTCGGACTTGTGATTGGGCTAGATTATGCCAATCCATACCTTTCCCCCTACGGCGAGTTCCAGGCAAGTACCGATGACAAGCGTGTTTGTTCAATACATTGGAGCGTCTGATTTTCGATCAACTCTTCAGAAAATGAAGCTTCACCCATACGTTCGAGCCATCCTTGAGGGCGGAGAGCGTCTGGCATATGGGGCAAGAACACTGAACGAAGGGGGGCTCCAATCCATTCCAAGATTACACTTTCCTGGCGGGGCATTGATAGGCTGTTCAGCCGGGTTTGTGAACGTTGCCAAAATCAAAGGGACGCACACTGCCATGAAAAGTGGGATGCTTGCAGCCGAAGCTGCATTTGGAGCCCTTAGTTCTAAAGACTCCACAGATGACATCGGCAAGCCTGTTGATATGAGTCCATACGAGGAAGCGCTCAAGAAGAGCTGGGTTTGGAAAGAACTGCATGAAATCCGCAATGTCCGGCCGAGCTTTAACACTAGATTTGGTATTTGGGGAGGGATGGCATATTCCGGTGTTGATACCCTAATTCTCAAAGGCCGAACGCCATGGACATTTCGGAACAGAACCAGTGATGCATCCCACACCCGACATTCTAGGTGAGTCCTGTTACCAATGGGCCATGCTTAGTACTAATTGTGGCAACCCTTTCTTTCACCCGACGTTCATTAACTGTCTGCATAGCGAGTTCAAGCCCATTCAATACCCACTGCCGCAACCGCCGTTGACAACTGATATCCTCACATCTGTTGCCCTCACTAACACAAATCATGCAGAGAACCAGCCCTCCCACCTGCGGCTGCCTGGCGGACCAGAAGCGCGTCGGAGGCATATCGAGGTGAATGTTAATGAATATGCCAGCTTACTCGGACGCGCATGTCCGGCACAAGTATACGAGTATGTCGACGCTGAAGAACAAACGTCAGGCGATATGGGAAAGGTTGAGGATGTAATTGCCAGCAACAAAAAGTTCGTGATTAACTCCCAGGTAAGTTCATGGTATTTCCAGTTGTGTGGCGTGCTGCACCGATATTCTTGCGATGAGGGATAGCAGATGTTCCTTTGATTTCGCTTTCTTAAAAAATGAAGTGTACCCTGGACTAACGGCGGGTAACCGATAGAACTGCATTCATTGCAAATTATGCGACATCAAGGTTCCTACAGAAGATATAACCTGGACCGTGCCAGAAGGTGGTGGTGGTCCTAAGTATAGTACGTTTTTGTTGTTCAACTCATCGGGTCAAGGGATCCGGGACAAGTAGGAACTAACTGATCATCGTTTATTGCAGGCTTGACCTAGAAGAGTGGTCGAGGAATTCACGGGTGGAACGTATGATGCGAACAGCAGCGAAAGTAGGATCAAGGGTTTCGGGTTGTTGGGGAAGGTGGGGATTAATGATGTGGGTGATCGGAAGGCTTACTTCCCCAAAAGTGGGTGACCAGGGTCAACGTTTGGCACGGAAGAGCCATTGTTGTCGCTTGTTGATATCGATGAATATATCATGATACATGGTACTGGCGAAATGCCGAAAGGGCATAAAGGAGGGTCAAAGTCACAGTAGCTCCCTCCCTCATCACACTCCCCTTTCTTCATCACCATTCTCACACTAGATATAGTTAAAATTTCGTTCGTTGCCCGCCCTAGGTAGCTTCTCGTAACTTGGATCCCTTTCCGTATCAGCGCTCATGCGTTTCCCTCGCAGTCTCGGGCAATAACACACGCCTCGTCGCTCTTAGCGACTGCGTTGTGCGCCGCTGTGCGATCTACTTTCAGCTCCTCTCCATGGTAGGTTCCTAACCACCTCACGAGTTTTTGGGCCCAATTTTAATGATCTTCTGTGCGTTCGTTGTAGGTTCTCATCGACAACGTCAAATATGCCTGTGCGACATGCATCAAGGGTCACAGATCCTCAAGCTGTACGCATGAATCAAGGCCACTCTTCGAGATCAAAAAGAAAGGTCGTCCAGTGACTCAGTGTATCCACTGCCGCGAGCTTCGCAAGACCAAGCAGGTTCACGTCAAATGCCTGTGTGAAGTCAAGCCAGATCCATCTCCTCCCCAGCCATTGATCCTCCGTAAGGAAGCCTGTCTCTCCCCAAATTTCTTTGCTAATCGGGATCTTTTCCTACATCATACACAGGACCTGATGCTTCTCAGCCCGTCGTTAAGATTGAGGAGAAAGCTTGTGGATGTAAGGACGCAGCGACTTGTAACTGCTGTACCCCTAGACACCCTACCTCTTCGATAGCAACTAAGCGCTCGTCTCAGTGTCCAGTGCACTATCTACTCCGGCTGAAGTTGGCGTGGGTGCCCGTCCCCCTCCCACGGCGTCTCAGCATCGTCCTACCATCTCCATCTCCAATGGTATCCTTCACCAGAATAGTGGCCACAATTCTACAGCCATCATTTGCCATCTACCCATCACCATGCCCGTCATTTCGCACCTTATCAACTTCCCGGACGCATATCTCCGTCTTCAGTCGATGCTCAAGGACATATATTGGAACATCACACGTATCACCCTCATAACGCACATCACAATGTCTCTGTATCAGGGACACGAAATAGAAGTCAATCCTCTTCTGCTCCACACTCTGCCAGGCCAGCGATTTCGATGATCTCTCAACCCATGATCTACAATCACCCGGTTGCCGCCGCATCCTCTCCCGATTTGGCATGGCTGGATGTAAATCCGAGTAATGGGCTTTTTGGGACGCTGTGTCCGGATGCAACGTCCGTGGGTTCCCTCCAGCCTAGCGTCCTTAGCGCTTCCCAGCAGCAGCTTCCGCGCCCGTCAGTCGGTGGAAGAGCATCTTCAGCCACTTCGATAGATCACTATCAACAACAAGTTAAGGGGACCTTTAATCCAAACGTTACCGAGTTGCCGACTCCAGCAGCATCAAGTGTGATCTCATTTAGCAACTTCTCTAATTCCAATGGGGATTTGCCGTCCGTCTCAGCGAGTAATAACAATCTTCCGCTTGGTATTCCAGAGTTACGGTTCGATATAGGCGCGAATGGCGGCATCGGCCCTGAATCGTCTACGTCCAGTCCGTTGGATTACGATTCTTTGATATATTCTGGATACATTAGTTCAACGACCCATTTGCCGTCGCCACTGGCATCTGGCCCTCCCAGCATGAGTGGCAGTGCCAGCTCTCGTAGTAGCTCCCCAACCTCAGAGCATCCTATTAAGCAGGAGGAGGGTCGTACTCGTTTGTGGATTTTGCGACAGCGACAGCGGTAGCCCCATCTCCGCCCTTGTACAATGGTGGTGTGAGTGAGGACGCGAAACCTGCACTTTCTACCTCTGCCTCTCAGGGAGCACCCCCAGGATCTGGAAGTACTGTGTATAGCGTTGCGGATTCAGGTCTCGCGCCTCTGGAGGCACCGCTGAGCATGGGGATGGACCCGTTCGAGAGGTATCTGAACGGCGGTGACTTCAAGCCTACTGTTATCTCTTCTCCTTCATCCCAAGTGCAAGCATGGTACCAAACTGCGCCTTGGGGGTCGTACATATCTCAGGGCGTCGATTCCTCTAGTCCGTCGTCCACTTCGTATGGGTTGAATTCAGCGATTTATCCTATGGATGGTTTCGCCCAGGGTTTCGCAGGGGCCTCTCCATCAACTACTTCATCCCCCGGAGATTCCTCAGGTGGTGTCGGGGGGCTCCCGATGTACAGCCCGGTTCCCCGACCATCGTTGACTTCCTTGAAGTCCCCGCCCTCTCTTTGGAGCCATTAGAGCAGGACAGTCCCCACTCATTTTGAACACGTGACCCCATTCCCCACCCACATTCTGGTTACTGTCTTGCCATTCCATACCCATTGGTGCTGCGTCGCTCGTCGAACGCTTTTTCTCTCTCTTATTTCCCTATTCGAACGATGTGTTGCACTCATCGATTCTTCCCTCCCGTTTCTTTCATCTTTCCTTGCTGGCCTCGCATTCCGTGTCGTCGCTCTCTTTCTTTTGTGTATGCGGACGCATATTGATGGTTTCCTACTTAGATGTAGTACAACAGTCTCTGCGATCCTGGAGTGAGGGGTTGGAGTATTAGTTTTGTTTCATTTCCCATCGATTTTTTCTTAGCCGAGACGACGTGTACTGACGTTCGGTTTGTTTTATGCCATATGTTCTATCTTCTCGTGCTTGCTTTTTGATTATGTTGCATCACTTGTACCAGTACACTTCAGGCAAAAAGAATTGACACACTCTCTAAAGACATAGATATCATGAATTGAAGGATAATTCTGCCGAACGTGGTGATGGACGGATGTCATCGATCGCCACATTATTGGGAATATCCTATGTTCCGATCATGTCTTCTCAATTCGGAGGTGTACGTGTAACTCGGGGAGGTGCGGGGACTCCAAAAAGACACGATGATGGGTAGCTATATACGTACTACGCGGAGTTCGAAGCCAGGTCTGACTGCAGGGAAAAGATATGTTAAAACATCGAAAGCCCGGTGAGAAATCGACGTGCGTTCCGATCAATTGCATGAGGACGAACGTAGTCGCTGGTTGTCATTGGATGTGCATAATTCCAGCTGCACATGCGCACGGCTCATCAAGTACATACATGTAGTTGTGCGGACATCATGGATACTGGGGGTTAATATGACGGACTGAAGCTATAAGAGGAAGACCAAGAAAGATGGCACGGGGGATCATCGGCGTGCGTCGGCATAGTGATGCGCGCATGTGAAGACGGGGTATTAGGTATCGCCACGTCATTACACTTGCCATGTGGTTTTAATTGTACCCTATATTATGGGCTCAAAATTCATTTTGGGTCATCAGCGGAATATGGATATGGCTCAGGGAGGTGACTACGTACCTTCACGCTCGGGGCGTATCGAGGTCGCCGCATACCGGAAGTCTGCTGCCTGATCGGATCTCCCCTGCCCGATGAACATTGGCTAACGCGCACCTTCACTTCATCGGATACTCGCTCAATACCATCCACGGTCATTGGCATCGAAGCGTACTCTAGCTCCGCGTATGATGTGATGTTTGTCATACCTGGAAAGCCTGAGCACGATGGCGGACATCTAGGGGCTCCAGTGCCCCCGCTAGCTCACTGGGAGTGCCCTTTGTGAGCACACTGCATCGTGAGTCCTTGTCCCGGGTAGCCTCTATTGACTGCCGCACCACATTGGGATGCTCTGGGGCACGGCATCACAATACTTCAAGCAAGTTGTACAGGTGATCCCGCTTTCAGGTTGCAGCCAAAACCAGCCGCGCCGGCTATCATGATGTCAAGCTTTTGGGGGTGGGGAATGGGGTCAAACCTCGGCCTGAAGTTTGGTGTAGCCATCCAACAACCTACATAACAATGTTACCTGGTTCAACGTTTCGCCATGTGTGATTGGATCGCAACCAAGACTTTAGCTTCTGTGTTATGTCTGAAGCGCAGCGGTCAGTCGAGTTGGGGGTTTGATAAGTGGAAATTGGCCATAGCTCCTGCAATGGCGTGTTTATATCTCATTTTCTGCTAGTAAGCATCGAAAACTAGGCTTCATATCACAGACTACCTTCGGCTCGGGGCGGCGCACGCCATGAGTCGAACAAGCTCAAAGGCATGTTTGACGCCAATGTGTGCACATCCGGCCGTGAAGCATATCAACGGAATCGGTCAACGAGCCCCTCATCGAACACCTAACCGAGTGTTTTGTGCTGGCGTCAGCCACTCTGATTCGATGCAAGATGGAGGAATGAGGAATGAATTACTGTACCGTACTTAATTCAACGCATGTTGGCAGTTGTTCGTTCATGCATGACACCCACCTGTACAACGGTGTCGTGTAAGTGCTTGCTGATTTTGATTACACATATATGATATAACCTTGCGATCTGCACCGCTATTTTTGAGTGGCACCCGCTTATCGTCGGCGTTTCCCACAAGTACGAGGTCGTGCTGCGCCCCCCGGCGCTAGTTCTCTCTCCCCCTTTTCCTTATCTTAGACCTTCTCGGGCCCTTTGTCTCTTACTCGAGCGTCTCATTCAAGGGAGTGAAGCAAACGGAAGATGGCCACTGCTTCCAAAGTCATCGGAGTCCTCGTTCTCTCTCTGTTTGGAGATCGGATAGCCACTTATGACGATCCGACGACGTACCGGATGTCCAGTGTGAACATTACGACTCTGGGACAGGTTGGTGTTCGTCGCTTTGCGCTAGTGGATCTCATTCATGACGTGAATGGATACTGACTGTATGAACCCCTAAATCTTCCCCTACCTTCGGTTGTGCTGGGACTGAATCGGCCCCTGCTGGGTCCACTGCACTCCTACCTTTGCGATCGACATGTCAACACATCAATTTCGTCTATTCCGCCGCCGCCGTGCCGTTACCCATTGTAATTGCTCAGACCCAGGAGTACCGACTGGGTCAGCTCCTATGGCAAACCTATTTCAACCACACATCTCTTTCCTACCTCGGCGACCCAAGTCCAATCTCAGCCCTCGTCGCATCCGGTGCAGTCCGTTTTGACGCCGATATGGGTGGCCAAGGTCATGTCATATACGACTCGGCTGTAGCCCTGAGTCAAGGGATGTGGCCCCCAGTCAATATCCGCGATGTACCAAGTATCACACTCGCGAATGGGTCGACGATCAAGAGTCCGCTGGGGGGGTTTCGATTTACTTCCAGTAAGTAGGAATGGACGATGAGCGTGAGAGCTAGCTTTAATCCATTGTTTTTGTGCCTACGCGCTCAACAGTTAATCAAATTCATCCTTGGGACGACGTCTCATTGGAAGGTTGGCTGGAGTGCCCGGTAAGCATTCTTGTTTTTTCCCCTGTATTTCTTGATTGTGATTTCATCTTCGGATTTGACAGAATTTTGAAACCGCGATGCAATCATTTTATTCTAGCTCTGGTTTTCGGCAAGTTGAAAAGGACAATGAAGAATTCCTCAGTTCGCTGTCGTACTGGGTAGGCAACCGATCGACGTCCCTATCAGACATCAAGAATGTGAGTCTCATTCTTTTTGTCATTGACAGGTTGAACACAAACGACGTTCCTGCTTTTCTTTTTCTAGCTTTACGATTACCTCAGCATCCGATACATTCACGATGCAGCGTTCTCATCTGTACTGCCTTCTGGCGTGCTTAACAAAGCACGTCAGCTCGCGAGCTATCATGAATCTGGGGTGTATACTTCGACTGACCTGAACAGTACACATAATGGTCTGTCTTCCTTCCTTGCGTTTCCCAGGTTATCAGGCCGTTTGTTATCGGATACTAATATGATTCCATGTTGGAATGAATGAATTAGTCCCAGGTCGCGCTCTCCTGCCGAAGATCCTCAACGCTATCGAAGGAATCGCAAACAAATCCAATCCTTTGAAGTTCTATAGTATGAGTTTGAGCCATCAGCCCCTCATGAGCTTGCTCAGTATGATGGGTGTTTCGGAGAGCTATGCAAACTTGACCGGATTATGTACGTTATATCTATGTCAAATTAGTTGCGAACTGTTGAATACTAACATTCTAGTCTGGCTTTGTTATTATAGTTAGCCAAGCCGGCTCAATCGCCCTCGAAGTCCGGACTGATAACGACGGGGAAAATCCGTTCATTCAGTTCCTCTTGAAGAATGGCACCTCAGATCCACACTACTCGGGTTACGCACTCTTTGGAGGCTCACCCGATATTAGCGTCTCAAAGTTTGAATCAATGTTACAACCATTTGGGCTCTCTACACTTTCAAGTTGGTGTGGTCTCTGCGGAACCCACATTACGAGAGGATGTGGATCGACCCGCGCAAGTAACAATGCGGATTTGAGTTCGGTGGCGGCAGGACTCATGGGCGCAGGTGCTACGCTCTTTGTGGCGCTGATGCTTGTGACCCTGTGTGTGATGGTGGGCTTATTGAAGGTTGGGGAATGGGGAAAGAGGCTAGGCGCTGTTATTGTTGCACCGATGCAGCACTCTAGGAAGGGGAGCAATGTGAAGAGCGGAGGGGAACAGAGCGAGAATGATGATGAGGTGCGCCTCGCGCGAAAGTGGGAGGATGATCAGGGGAATGCGTCTGCGGGTTGAAGGCAGTTGGGAGTCCCGATAACCAGGAGGGCCTGAGTTAATCACCGACCCTCACTCTGGATTCCCTACGCTCTAGAAGAGGCACTCTTTCGGTCCTCTTATCGCACTCGCCACTTTATGCCCCTCTTTCCTCGGCGACTTATGATGATGACGCCAGTCGTATTGGTGCTGCATTTGCAATCTCCCCATCTCGCTCCGCTTCCATCAGTTTCCAACTTTAGGGGCTTTTGTTTTGTTCTTTGCTTCCGTCACCGCCTCGCCCTTTCCCCTTTCCATTCCATCACATGGCATCGGCTTTTTCGCCTTGGCATCTGTGGACGATGCTTCATCTTTTTTTTGCTGTTCTTACACCATTTCTTTCACACGCCACGCGTCGCGACAATTGTCAACACTTGCTATTACCCTTCAGCCTATCAGTGTACTATCAGTTGCACCCTTCATGTCTTTTATCCGTTTCCAAGTCCACCCTCGGGTATTCTTTATCCTGTTGTAACATTATGTACGAGTAGAATGACTTGCTTATGATCATATCCGGGATTTTTGAGTCCGCCTGGGCATTTGCACAGCATCGAAAAAGGCTGATCAGTCAATCCAATTGTTATCGCCGTGCCTTGCCGCACGCGCCGAGACATAATGAACGACCATTCTCTCCGCCCTTGACAGTCCTCAGGCCTGTCACGCCCGTTGCTCACGTCTTGTACATGCTAGGTAAGTTGGGTAGGTGGAAGAAAAAGCCACGGGGGCTTTTCCCGCTCAAGTTTCCCAAGTAGGCAGCTACCGAATTTCAATGGGTATATAGTCTGTATCTATCGGCGGTCAGTTGTAGGTAACTGGCTTGCTCCCCCCGTGCACACGCCCTGTAACCTCTTTCTCACACTTTCCTTCCGCTTTCCTGACACTCTCCTCTGTTGTGTCGCCAAGCCAGCGCCGTACTGTTCCTTTTCAAAGACGGTAGCTGAACCTGGACGGGAGAGGGAACAATAATGACGAGTACGGGTGCCAGAATTCTTGGGGTGCTCGTTCTTTCAATGTATGGGGACAAGCTTGGGGAGTACCAGAATCCGTATACATACGATTCTTCAGGGCTGGCGCTTACCCCGTTGGGAGAGGTGAGCGCGTTTCACACTTGGATTGGCTGATGTCGGATGGAGTGCTGATCAGATCAATTCCTTTATCGACTCGCATTGGTCGTTGTGCCAACGTTCTTGTATGTCGATGCTTGATGATGGTGCACTCCACTTGGGAAATCGAACCCTTGCATGGCTAAACTCGGTGATCGTGATTACTTGGTCGATTCTTCCTCCGTATACCCACAGGTTCAGGAATACCAGCTGGGCAGATACCTTTGGCAAACTTACTTTAATGACACTTCTCCTTCTCATGTTTCTGAAGAAGTGCCGTTGTCAACGCTTCTCTCTGGGGGAGGAATCCTCTTCGAAGCCGATGGAGGTGGCGATGGGAGGGTGATATACGATTCGGCTACGGCGCTTACTCAGGGCATGTGGCCGCCTTTGAGTAAGAGTAATTTGGGAAATATGACGCTGGCGAATGGGACGTCGGTTCTTAGTCCGTTGCAGGGTTTGCAGTACATTCCTAGTAAGTACAGGTCTCCATTGTACGTGGTGTGAGCGCACGATGTTCCTCGCACACGAAAGAGCCGTGTGAGTCAATGCTGAAGATTTATTTGCACAGTCGCGCCCATCGATCCTGCCGATGACGTATCGTTTGAAGGATGGCTCGATTGTCCGGTATGCCATTTCCCCTGATATTACGGCCCCCTCCCCTCCTATGTTAACTGGCCGTACGGCCCATGGGTTTAACAGACTTTCTGGAATGCCACGAGATCGTTTTATAATAGCACAGACTTCAAGAAAGTTGCGAGTGACAATGCAGCCTTCCTTGATTCATTGTCGTCCTTGGTAGGCAACCGAACGACGAACCTGACACAAATGATGGGCGTGAGTGTCGTGATCGGGGATCTGCTCGCCTCTTAATTGATATTCAATCGGGCTGCGGTGCTGACCTCCCGTGTCCGACTCTTAGATCTACGGCTTTGTCAATACAGAATACATTCACAATCCCGCGTTTCATCTGGCTACCTCCAGTGATACACTTACCAAAACGCGGCAGCTTGCAAATTACTATGCCGCAGGAGTGTACAGCTCGTCTGATATGGGCAGTATTCACAATAGTTCGTACACTTTTTGTTTACTCCATTTCCCTCCCTCGTTTGCTCTTGCTCCTCGCTCCGGATCACCGAGTGCTGATGCGACTTGTATTTTTGTTTTTATGTTTTGACTGGCTGACAGTCCCTGGCCGCGCTCTTTTACCAAAGATTCTCAAAGGGGTTAATAGGCTCGCGGACCTCGGCGATCCATTGAGGTTCTATAGTATGAGCATGAGCTATGAGCCGTTCATGAGTTTGTTCAATATGATGGGCGTCTCGGGGACTTTTGCTAATATAAGCGGAATTAGTGCGTGCCTTCATCCTACTCCAGTTCTTGATGCTAATCTACGACGACATCCTTTGCTATTTTACACCACGTCACTTTCCCAACTTGTTGCTCACTAAGTCAATTATGCCGGCGCAGCTGCCTTTGAGGTCCGCACGGACATGTACGGCAACAACCCCGTTATCCGGTTCCTTGTCAAAAACGGTACATCCGATTCCGGCTTTACCACTTACTCGCTCTTCGGCGGTACAAAGGATGTCAGCCTCAAACAATTCAGGACCTTGTTGCAACCTCATTCGCTCAACACGCTCTCCAGTTGGTGTTACACCTGCGACAACAACTTCAGTAGGGGGTGCGAGGCGAACTCAACTATCCCAGTACCGCCGAATCCCTTCGCTAACCGGTCGAACAATAAGCTTACTGCGGTAGCGTCTGGGTTAATAGGGGCGGGTGCTACGCTATTCGTGGCGTTGTTATCCGTTACGGTTTGTATGATGACGGGCTTCTTGAAGCTTGGTAAGAGAGGGAAACGGTTGAGCGCCGTGATGAGTGCTCCTGGACATCATCCGAGGAGAGGGAGCGATTTTAAGGATGGAATGGACGATGATGACGTCCAACTCAGGAAGTGGGATAGGATGCCTGATGGTCAGAAGAGCACGGTTTGACGTGTGACCAAAGCGTCCTCTTCCCGTCACCCCTTGCGTCCTCCATCTTGGGGACTCTTTCTCTTGCCTCCTTGTGCTTCTTGCTTCGTTGGTCAACTCGAGTTGTACTACTTGTTTCTTCCGGGTCCATACTTGGTCTGGTGGTAATTCGCCATTCCCTTGCGTGGTCCCGTCCCCGATGTATGGATGATTGTAACCTTATGATTCTTGCTTGCTATCCATTTGTTCACCTCGCTTCACTTTCACGGTTGTTTTCCTTTTCTTTGGCGTATTACTAGCTGTATCACAGATCGTATTACATTGTCTGAGCTGTGTCTCCGTGTATAGTCCGTTAAACTCGTCGCATGTTCTCTTGGCTTGTGCGTGAGTGACTCGCCAATTATTATCCAGTTACGCTGGTTTCAACGAAAGATCATCACTCGCGGTGAAGTCGTCTATATGCTTCGATATAAGGCCAGTCCGATCCTTGCCAGTTGTGTAACTCGAAGACATGCATGCATATGTGCTTGGCGGTAGGTATGTATTCATGGTGATTCGCTTGGAGGTACAGATTCTGCTAATCGATACGCTGCCCAAGAGCACCGGAGGACAAGATCAATGGCTCGCGATTGGACGGCGCGCAGACCCGCACGGGCACTACACTTGAATAATTTCGCTATCCCCCATATAATTAAAGGTGCCGGAGGCTAATGCAGGTCCTATTCATGCAAAAAGTCTTGACGGGTTATGCAGGAAAGGTATCAAAGAAAGTTGGGTGCCCAGATGGGCAAAGAGGACGCTAGCCTAAGAACCCATAATACGGTGTGGCAAATAATCAAAGGCTGCAGGTCCCCTGTTGTCCACAAGTTCGCAAATATGATCACAGCACAAGACAACATTTATTTTGGACCTAGCCCAGTCATCTCGTGATGCCACGCACAAAGAACCATGCTGGTGGGTAGCGGTGGCAACTTTCGCGGAAGGAACACGGTATAAACAGAGCGCGTAGAAAGGACTAGTAAGGGATTCAATATTTTTAAGTCTATTGAACGGCCTTCTTGCGCTTCCCCACTTGGGCTTGGAAACCGGTCTTGATAGCGCTGACTGAGCGCCGAGAGCCACAAGACTCGCATGTCATGAAGTAAATTCGGGTCTCTTTCGTGAGAATTGTGTCTGGTGATTTGCACGTCTTGCATGTCACGTATTCAACTGACATCATGATATTTTTCAGCCATCAGATGAGGGACAATCTGGAACCGCTTACCGATATATCGTCTGAGAACGTTCTCTATCTGCTTGGGCTGAAATCGGCCTTTGATAACCAATCGCTTTTCGCCATCCACACTTCCCGTTGTACCCAACTCAGCAAAGATAAACTGGATAATATGTTCGGGTTGTCGGTGCATTCTCCTGCATATCTCCGCGATATTGGCAAAAATTGTTTTCTTGTTTCCATCGCGGTGTACGGAAGGGGGAACAATTGTATAACGTTTGCGTGTGCCAGAGGAAAGGTCTGGATTTTGCGACTGAAGCGTTCTGATTATGCGGCCAAGCAGCTGGGCAGATTTTTAGTCAAAAGCTTGTGCAGATAAACGATATAAAAACGCACCTCAGCATAGGTGTAGTCACGATCCGTCCCATGCCACGTCTCCTCCCTGGTTCCACTCTCAGAAGCTGTTGATCGGGAAGCAGCAAACACATCATCACCAAGGTCCGCTTCATCATAGTCACCCCCCTCATCGACATCATCATCCGCCCTCTTTTCACTGCTCTCCTGTAGCTCCCTTTCAAATGCTTCAAGGTCAAACGCGGCTTTCTTCGATTTTCTCCTTTTCTTTATTTCGGAGAAGTCATCCAGAGCATCACCTCCATGGGGAACGTCTCCTGCCCCATCGCTGGGCGGCTATTATTGAAAAAAAAAGCATGCACACGAAAAATTGAGTGGTAAGTGTGATCGTTAGGTTATCAGCGTCACGCACAGGTTTTGGCGTTGATGAATCCAACGCGCTCTCGAGCTCATCTAGATCGAAAGTGGCTTTTTTCTTCTTCTTTTTCTTCAAGTCAGAGAAATCATCCGTTGGAGGCGCACCCGCGTCAATTGTGGGTGCAGGTGCGAGCAAGGATGAAGGCCCCTCATCCTAGAGGGTCATCAGCATATCGAGTCATCCCGAGACCTACTTCTGCTCACATGGACCGTAGGAGCTTCAGCTCCTCCGTCCACCCCTAACGAATCTTCACTAAACGCTACCGCCTTCTTCTTTTTCTTCTTTTTTAATGATGGGTCGAAAAGAGGCTCCTCGAGATGGGCATTGTCGTCTGCCATGGTAGATTGATATCAGGTGCTTCTGAGCAACACGTGATCATTTCCGCTCATTTATTCATTTATTTCCTTCCTTTCCATTTCTTAATCTTTCATCAACACCACGACAATACCCACCGACACTGCAAAACCCGAGGATCATTGACATCAGACGATACCAATCAGACTACCCACACATCAAGTATGGAAGGTCCCCTCATGTGCGCTGCACGGGACAGCCCCATTAAGACAGATTTATCGTCATTATCATTGTTCCTCATTTCTCTTTCTCTTCCTGATTGATGCTTTTACGTTGTTGTTCCTGAGTAGGTTTGTTATATAATGACATTGGATCTTTTTTTAGTCTTGTTCTTTAACGGAGTTATCTGCAACGTTCACCATCACTGCTGAACAATAGGCAGGACTCTGTGACAAACAAACAATATATAGAGCTCAACAATACTATCGCGAACCACTTTGGAACAATTCCGAAGAACTACACGAGTTCACTGTTAACGAGTGAAGGCTCCCCATAAGCCAAATGACGCGTAAAGTCCCGCATCATTCATCTTCAGGATTACTCTGGTTTTTGCTAGATCCAAAATTACAATCCACCAGGGTCGTCGTCCATCACGCTAGTGCTCCTGATTTTGGATGATGTGCACCCAAATCGCTTAATCCCCCTAGGTGGAAAGTCGTGCTTGCCGGAAGCACCATCGAACCACACTCAGTGCTGGTGCACAAACTGGATGGGCTTCCGACCACACTGAGCGTGAAGTACGCAACTAGGACTAGGGATACACATGACCCTTTGGGAACTCCAGTTGTTACTTCCCTGAACTGGTGCGGTCTTCCATCCAGGTATATTGTAGTCTTTGCCCCTGTGCGTAAATACCGCGTAAATCCGCACGACCCACCCAGGATCTGGGCGTACAGAGGCAGAAGAAGTGAGACAATATTTTCCTTCCAGATAGTGAAACTCTGGTGTCATCTAACCGAGTCTACCGCCATCCCAACCAAGCACCGCTTGGGAAGGTATCGTGGCAGAGTTGGCCGAATCTATTGTGTTTTTCGATGGCTGATTTGCATGGTCAAACAGAATGACAGCAGTGGTAGATCAGAGAACGGCCGTAGCGTGGAGTTTAGAATGGAGACCACGCAACTAGCAGCAACTCAATTCCCCCTATCATCCAAGTAGTAACAGACGGATTCCAATATTCTTCAAGCAATTCACAAAGGAGTGCTGAGATTGGTTACGTATCCGAATGCAGACATGAAGCCTACGGCTGATGTTGGCATCATTTCCTCTTCAGGATGGTTTTGCCTTTAACTGGAAGTGGCCGGCTTAGCAGTGTTGTAGCGCGGAGAGTCGACAGCCTAAACATAGACTTCTGAATTGGCTGCCACCAGTGCCGGCCAACACAAGGGCAGGGACTTGCCCCGGTGGCTTTCGCGATGCAAATCGTATTTATTGAATTTTTAGAGGCCCGATGTCCCCGTGCGGCCGATAGAAACGGCTGGGTTTTGGTTTTGTTGGGAAGAGGACGAAGGGGTGTCACGTCAGGACTATTTGCAATAGGAGACATATGTTGACATTGTTGTCATTCATTCATTCCGCTCAAAATTTAGTCATCGCAGGTTTTGAGTCACTCGTCTTCTACTACCATATCTTCCAGCGCGTTGTTTGGGCTTGCGCCAGGCGGTATGGTTGATATGCATCGTCTGTAATTTCCTAACCTTTTTGAGTACTAAAGTTGGCCAGCCCGTTGGTTCGGGCAAGGATCCGGGTACCAGAACTCGGGGAATTTGGCTTGTGATCGCATTTTGCCATTCGTTGTCTTTTCTATCGCTTTTTCTCGTGCGTGATCGATCAATACTACTGTCCATCAATCCGCCATTTGTAGTCTTTCTGGCTCACACCTTGCAAGTTTCGCAAATCACGGTCACTCGACCGGGGACCGTTCCGTAGGCCATCTTCATGTGGCCGAGCTAGCGCGCTTCTCTCGGCACTATCTATTGATGTTATCGGTTCGAAAGTGCATTCGACGCCCGTTGAAACTACGGCTTCCGACAACCCATTGACTTGCCATTGACGTTAGATGATGGCCGTGGTTTCGGTTTGGGTGCTGTCCTCGCGTGGCAAACGTGACAGTCTTGAGCTCAACGCTTACATGTTTTGAAACGATAGTTTCGACTGTCTGTCATCTTGAAAATCCATATTCTATTTATCCGTGGTTTGAGCCTCATGTTAAAGATTTAGCCCAGTGCCACCCTGAATCCGACCTGGGTGTCCCGTTCCGCGCCGGTTTCCCTCTGGTCCGAATACCTGTGTTGGCAATGATCAACTGTATGCTCGGTTACGGACAGCTCAGCTTCTGCCGCTGGCGACATGCGCCGCGCGTTTCCTCTAATCTCCCCGTGGGCGCTAATTACTGGCGGCCCCGGGCGTACAGTGGCACTCCCCCGGAGGTCCGGCGGCGTTGGTTCTAGCGATGCGCCAAAATTCAGTCTTACACTGGTTTCCTGGAGTCCTGTGAAACAGCATGCCTTTGTCTCGAGAGGGTGATCTAGGGGAATGTGTATTATCTTCGTGCACAGCTTCCGGTGTCTCCAATTTCGGCTCGCATCAGGAAATGGGGCTTAGATGTTCTCCCCCTGTTTCTAGGGTAGCATACCACTGCTCTAGCGCTCCCCGACCGATGTTGGACAAGTCCGTTTTGGGCTAAGGAATCTGCGGAGCAAGGGGGTGACTGCCACTCTTGAATTTGGTTATAAATCGATCCCCATAAGGTTTGAACACCTGGCGCGCCTCCATGCGGGGTATCTGATTTCGGTTGCAGCTTTTATTCAAACACGGTCTTCAGAGCACCGAGTGACGTCACGCCTTGTGTGAGGACCAATAGCGGTTTACACCTCATCCCTCGTGTGGCTTCAGAGGCCGGTTCCGAACTTTGGCCGGGTCCATCCAGACACAGGAAGATCCAGTGCCGGAGACGGTGTTCCGCGGCTGACTTTTGACTTTATCTGTGATTGATCGGCGGACGCGTAACTCGAAAATTGATGGCAATCCGTTCACCGTTCACCATGTTAGCTAATACCTCGTCCGGGATGGTCTTTCTATCATCGATTTAGGAGCAATTACTGTGCGGGTGTTTCCCTTACCAGGAGACCGGTTCCTGATATATTTTGTCGGTTGATGGGTAGTGGGCTCAACAGCGATATCAAATGGAAAATCGTTATTGGGGACGAACAGGAAATGAAGCCCACCGAGAATATTAGTGCCATGTGTAGTTACTAAAATTACTCACTTAAATTGGTCAGTGTTGCTGAGTCACTTCAGGGCAAATCCCGGTCACATGTCATCGCCGTCACGGTTTGACTTTGTCTGTTTGTCTACAACGTCAGCGCCTTTGACCTCTGGCCTGCCTTGGTCTACATGCTCCGCCCGGGCTTCTGCCATTCACGTAGCCTGACCGACGCCGTTCCTAATATAACCCGGCAGTTCCACTGTCAATGGTGCTCCCTCCGATTTCGTCCTGCAAGCTAACACGCCGGGTTGGAGAAGGGCAAACATCCGAATAATTATCAGTAAATCCCTTCTTAGTAATGATAGGAGTGCTCAATTTATCGCTGGATATAAAGATGTGCCAACTTGAGCCAGTCGACTCGGACATCTTCAGCATTTCATCTCACCCTTCTTCGAGAATCCTGAGCGCCTGGGCGTAATAGTGATGGCATCTGCTTCATCTGCTTCTTTAACCCCTGGTCAAGCGTGTTTAGAATGTCGCCGTCGGAAAGTCGTGGGTAGCCGGTCCTCACGGCACTATTCCACTGATTCACTGGTGCTTTTATGTTACCCTATTTAGAAGTGTGACGGTTCCCGGCCGGTTTGCGGCCGCTGCGACCGCCTTCGGAAAGAATGTGAATACGAACAGATCGTTCGTCGCCTTCAAGTGGACATCATGGAGGATCGTCTCTCCGAGATTGAGTCAGGGATCCAGGCATATTTGAGACGTCCAGCATCAATGGAACATCCACTGATGAAGAAGCTTACTGGGGATGGTGGTGATCGCCACCACCCACAAAATTTAGTCAGCCCTTTCTTACCCTTGTATACTGGAGAACCCCGCAGCTCTTCAACGGTCGTTCCTGAATCCAACGGCTCTGTCACTTCTGAGGCTTTGCTCGCAGGATATGGATCAGTGACGCCCAGAACGATTCCTGAATCCGGTCTCGGACAAATTGGCGTTGACTCAGAGCTCCCCGCTGAATTGAGCGAGTACTTGCGAGTCCATGCCCCATCAATATTACGGGGAGTATTGCTAACGGAGAGCTGTGATCCCTTTAGGATACGAATGGCCCTTCCGTTCCGGAATCAATTTCATATGAATATGCACTTGCCAAGGTTGCTATTCAGGAGTCGTCTTCCGCCCACACACCCAGATTCGATTCACCCTGCTCTACTGAACTCCATATACCTGGCGGTATGCTCCACCAGCGGGGGACAGATGGCGGAATACGAGTCGCGCTTCTTGACCAGAACTAGGACCGAGTCCGAACGGGCGTTGGGTTTTGTGGATAGACTCGTCCACTTCATGTGGGCTTCTGTCATCTTAGCGTCCTACTATATTCGCCGTGGGCGTATCGTGGAGGCCCATAATACCATTTCGGGGACGGTCAGTTTTGCCGTGGCAGCGGGACTTCATCGAGCACCCGACGTACCCCATGGCACGGAGGTCATCGTTCTTCCGCCAGCTGACGCGGTTGAAACTCAAGACCGTGTCGCTCTTTGGCATGCTCTGACGCAACTGGAAGCATCCAGTTCCCTGAGGACCGGTTTTCAGACTATTGCTCCCAAGGATGTCAGTAACACTTCGGTTGCTTGTTAATTCGGTGATTAATACTAGACTCCATTTCCGAAGCATCAAGCCAGCATAAGGGCTCTATTTTTCGCGCAACCTGCCATCGTACGCGTGTAACATTCACTCATCTAACCGCGAGTACTAATAATTCGGATCACAGCAGGTAATACCCTCTGTGCCACATGTGGTGTTGCAGACTAAAGCTTCCGCCCTTCTAATGGGCATACGAGAATACCTCGTAGCCATCAAAGGTATGACCTCTGTCTGCTGCGTATCGAATAACTTAGTGAAGTCACTCCGAGATGTCGGAACCGCAGGGCTGCCTCCTGCAGCGACTGAACGCTACTCGATGCTTGTAACGTCCCTACGCATTATCCAACAAGAAATCCCCGCTGTAGACCGACCTCTCGGCCTTCAATCCACCGAGTCCGTCAGCAAAACGAATCCTGCCATTGTTCAACTCCATTGCTATGTGAACCTCTGTTCCATCCTGCTGTATAACGCCGCGGCCGCTGAAAACCCGAGGGACATTCAACTCACTGTGCGGTCTGCGGAATCGATGGCCCGTGCCTGTTCCGCTGTGCGGCGTGATGAGCCCCTATTGCTTATACAGGCACACCCAGACTTGGTGGTAAGTGTTCTGGGAATGACTCTTCGCCTCCGAATTGACTGGCCTTCCCAGTGGTGTCTCCATAGTGCTTGCGAAGTCCTCATTCGCGACTTCATGACGCGCAGAGCTCAAAATGAAAATAACGCTGCAGTGCTCGAAGAGAGAGAAGCATTTATTAAATCTGTTTTTGACGTCTTGAATGATCTTATTGGATTTTTCCCTTCCTCCGGTGAGTGGATAGTTAGTACATCCTCGCCGCCACTTATTAATTACATGCTTTCTGTATAGAACCTGTCATTGGCAATCTCCCTCAACTCCTATTGGGAGGGGATCAATATGAGACAATCTGACGAGGGAGGATACAAGATGCACGAGCAGGAATCCGGATCTTTCATGCAACTATCATCTCATCCATTTCATCCTGTTTCGTCGTTCCCATTTGCAGAACCCACATGGGATTTTCGAATCATTTAGAACTAGACTAGACGCACTTGTGCTTTTGAATCTATGATTTTGTCTCCCTGACCCAGTCATCCAAATTACACACCGCAACACTACGAGACGTGGGATACCCTGTTTGGCAATACTGTCGTCCACGCTAGATAATTAAAGATTGATAAGCACCCAAGGCCGCCAATGGCATGCAGTTCGACGTAAAAACTATCAGTGCTTTGCGGGCTTTGCCCCTAAAGTGGATGAGGGTACTGTCAAAAGCAGCTATACTTAGATGGGCGGAATAGAACGAACCATCGACGAACATGTTACGAGTGGCGGAAGGAAGCTGAGCGATAAGTCCATCCAGCTCACGACTCATCTTGACTTGACATCCCAATCGTGATCTAGATTGTGCATTAGCATACCAGGATCCCATTGCCGAGTCAAGATTTCCTTACGTGTCTGTAAGGCCAAACGCCATATCAAGCATATCATTTTCATCATCCTCTGGTTCTGGAAGCTTGTCATAATACTCTGCTGTAAGGATAACATGGCACGTGGAGCAAGCTACTGATCCTTCGCATGCACCTATGGTGAACGTGCCAATATTCGTGTAAGGGTGTTACCTAACGGAAACTAGGCAGGAAACACCTTCAAGATCAACATCATACTCCTTTGCCAGATCGAGTAAGGAGTCCCCTTCATTAGCCTCTACCGTCTTGAGATGATTCCCTTTGGGGTCTTTGAAGTGGACCTTAAGTCTGTCATGGCAATGTCTTTTATTGTGACCGAAACCGTTAACTAACAAACCTACCCAGTGCCAGAAATTGGCCTTTCCACTTGTCCGTGAGATCTGTCTAGGAAAACCTCCGTGTGTTGGACGATGGGTATTGTCAGGGCGAGGCCTACGTTGTGATGTGTGCAAACTACATGACGTGGGTAATGACGCGGGTAGTGACGCTACTCTGAGACAAGTGCACAAAAACGTCCGTGGAAAACTACTTGACAAATAAACGTTCTTTTGGGAGCTGAATGGCAGGGCTTTGCGAAGGGGAGTGACGAGACACCTTTGCAACGATTGTCGAGTTAAGGTTTGCATTCATGCAATAGTTACGTAAGCAGCCTCCCACGCCAACGTGGAATCTCCCCAACACATTTACTAAGCAATGCTGAGAGTGCTCCTTGATGCAACTATTGGAGGATGTTTATGCGCAAACTGGGGAAGTCTTTGTACCCATTCCCTTGACAAACTAAGGCAACAAGCAGTGCTCGTTCAGACAGTGACACAGCCACCTATTCTCGCGGGCTCCCACGGTGGTCAACTGATCAGCTTCCCCGCATCAAATGAGTGGTCAAGTTCCCTCGCAGTCCTCAATGCACGCTGAGAGCCCTTCGCAGTATGCGCGAACAAATTTTTCTGTTGGTTCCAAATGGGTCAAGCATTTGTCCAAAGATCGGCTTGGCACGTTCTTGGATGGGCGTTATGGAGACGTCAATTTGGGCGCAGTTCTCTTTACTGAGAGAATTGATGATTCTCGTCACGTTGAGCTGGAAGGGTGGAGTGCTCCTGGAAGGAGCAACCTTCTTTCGAGGAAGCAGTGAAACAAGAATTTGTTCCCATTAAGAAGGGTACTGCTTTTGGTCCATCTTGTGCGTGTTTCATTAGGAGCTACTTTGTATCCGAGCGCTCCTAACATCTTTACTTGTTTTTCTTGGCTCAGGGGTGCGTATTGATTTACTGTTGCGTGCACATCATTTCCCTAGCGAACCCTCCAGACGAACCATTGGGTCAAAGTTCACCTCAAGATACCTTCCAGCTGGGTCAAGTACGAACGTGTACAATGTTAGCTTCTACTGTACCCCAATGTGGGAATGTTCTTTATTGGCATCTTCTAATGCTTTCTCGATTTGTTCGGATGGTTTTTACCCCTATCGCCACAGTCGAGTTCGATCCTAGTTGCGAAGCATTGATATTTGACACCTCGGGGACGCCACTCCACGGCATCACGGGAGGCTATGGTGGCGAACGGAGGGTTGAGTATGTCTTGAGTCCAGAGATTCGAAGGAAGGGGAGCGTAGATCTTGTCATTGAGGTTTCCTGCAATGGCATGTTCGGGAATGGAGACATGGTTGCTTCACCGGACGTAAGTCTTCTCTCGTCTTAGACATTACTGCAGGGAGGGACTGATTTTGATGATAATCCCAGGACAACAGGTGGTTCAATGTATGCAACCTTAATTTCAGCAGGAATCATGCCGCTCATGTCTGAGAATTCATTTATGTCGCTATAGATCAACTCTGCCGACTTAGTAGTTCCCAACCAGGAAGCGTGGCGACTCATGTGGGACTTCAACACGCTTCGCCAACTCTCCGATAGCCTCCCAGGCAACCATCCGCTTCAGAACCAAGCCCTCATCGCTGCCAATAAGATTATCAATACCTTCAGACACGATGACTCCACCAGTATTTCTAGGGCGCGTCAAGTTGCGGAACAAGTTTTTGGTGAAGGGTGGGAGAAAAAAGGCGATCGAATCTACAAGGAGGGTCGCGGAGTCGTCCAGGTTTGGGGCATTGGTCATTGTATGTACCCCCCTCTGCCTCCTTCGGACTTAAAAGGTGCTCATGCCTGCCCTTGAAGGCCACATTGACACTGCATGGTATGATCGCAAGGCGTTTAGGATGTAACCACTTCTCAGATGACTTGACATAGGCTTTGGCCGTACTCTGTCACGCAGCAGAAAGTGGCACGGTCGTGGGCGACTCAGGTTGATTTGATGGAACGATTCCCGGAGCACCGCTTCTGTGCCTCAAGCGCGCAACAATGGAAATGGCTAGAACAGGTTAATCGACGTCGTACCTCTATCTGGCTACCTCTAATGCAAGTGCCATATTTAGCTATACCCCAAACTGTTCGACAAGGTGAAGGCAAAAGTATTATCCGGCCAGTTTCATCCCGTTGGTGGATCATGGGTGGAGAATGATTCAAACATGCCATCTGGAGAGGCGCTGACGCGTCAACTCATCTTTGGCCAGCGATTCTTTCAGAGCAGGTTTGGCCTGAGGTCGAAGACGGGTTGGTTGCCTGATAGCTTCGGCTTCACTGGGGCACTCCCGCAGATCATTCGCGAAGCAGACATGCCTTACTTCTTTACACAGAAGATCAGTTGGAATAACATGTGGGTCACTACGAATTGGAACCCTTTTGTCAGGATTTAATTGGACCATTAATCGATATTGCGCTCCTAGAAATTCCTTCCCTCACACGACTTTCAACTGGATAGGCATTGATGGCTCTCAAGTTTTGACCCATATGACGCCAGTGGGTCAGTCCGCCAGCCCCACATGGGTTGATCCTTCGCTAACGCCCTAACCCGTTGACCTACTGCAGAGACCTATACTGCTCAGGCCAATGCACGTTGTTCAATGCGTTCGCAGTGACTCAATCTCGCTAACGGGCTTAACCTCATAGGTAGACGATGTCAAACGAGCAATCGAAAACAACAAGGTTCGCCATTTTGTCAACGCGCGGGTACGAGCAGCTGATGCGCCGTCATATAGAATCAGGAATCTAATGACAAAGCATTGCTTGTCTTTGGTAATGGAGATGGTGGAGGTAAGAGGGTTTAGAAACTGGCATCTGGCCTAATATTCATCAAATCTCTTGTCCAGGTGGTCCACTACCTCCTATGCTCGAGAGCGTGAGTTCAAGATACTACTCGCGTATCATAGCTTATTTCTAACTGTGTCAGCCTAGTTGCGCCGAATTAGAGCTGCGGCCAACGAAAGTCGGGAGACACTTCTTCCTTTGGTTAGTATGGGTTCAAGCGTGGATGAGTTTTATGCAGCAGTGGAGAAGGAGACTAACGAAGGGAAAAGTCTTCCTAACTGGTGCGTCGTGATCGGTTTGATTGCAATCAGTTGTGTGTGATTGCCAGCAATGTCCACACAGGCACGGCGAATTATATCTTGAGGTATTTGAACGCATTTCGCATTCTCCAAATCCGCGTTTATTGGTTGTTCTATTCGCTGCAGTTTCACCGTGGAACGTGTGAGTGCTTCCGTAGCTGCAAGCATGAGTATATCTGACGGAACTCACGTCAGACACCTCCCATGGTGAGGATAATTACCTCAAAATGTTGATATTGGGAAGTTCATGGTTGTCCTCTTCTGATAAGGCATTATTAAGAAGGGCAATCGTAAAAGCGAGATTCTTCTTAGGGAAGTTGAGGTTAGTCATTTCACGTATGTGATCAGCTCACGCTTGAACTTGTGGAATCGTAGCTTGTAGCCACGCTAGCATCTCTACAAAAACATTCGTACTCCTATCCGAAAGATGACATTGATGCGTTGTGGGAGAACTTACTTCTGAACCAATGTAGGGCCAACTCACCCCTGATGATATTGATCTCACTAACAATCTTGCAGTCCATGATGTCCTTCCTGGATCTGCCATTGGCATGGTTAGCCCGTCCGTCAACTAGAAAGACGGTCATGCTGAAGTTCTTACCAGGTGTACGAGGATGCGGAACGCATCTACGATGAAATTGCTCGGAAGGGGAAGAAACTCACCGAAGACGCTATCCGGGTGCTCATTCCATCTTCTATTTCATTGCCGCTTGAGGATGGGGTTCTTTCCGAGCTGGGAAAAGGTCGTATTTTTGCTGTTAACACTCTTCACTTTTCTCGAAAGGAAGTCGTCACTGTTCCTCTGATTGGGCCAGCTGTTTTCGTCAATTCGCTAAAGAATGAAGCGGTTCAAGTATCTCGAGGCGGGGAGAATGGCTATGTCATTGTAGAGGTTGAGTCAGGTAGTATGGCACCTATCAGCCTGTCCCTCGATACGCACACGAGCCGCGCTCAAGCTTTTGAAACGCCGTCGGGCGATTTTGTCCTTAAGAACGCTAATATCGAGCTCAAGATTTCTAAGGGAAGGATTACCAGTTTGTACGACGTTGTGATTGGGCGAGAGCTCATCCCTGAAGGAAGGGATGGTGGGTTGATCATCTTTGAGGATAAACCCTTATTCTGGGTAATATGCGCCATTTCCTGTTTTACGCCGCATCTAATACACATCTCGTATTACGAACAGGATGCTTGGGATGTTGAATGGTACCATTTGCAGACCGGTCGGCCGCTACAATTCGAATCCCCCAGGATCGTGGAGACCGGGCCCGCTTACGCGTAAGAGGATTCTTTTTATTATAAGGTGGCACAGCGTTTAGAACCCATGGTGCAGTTCAATCGAGTCCATCATTAAGTACGACAAGAGTACGATCAAAGTCATCATCTCGATCACTGCTCTTCCAGCGACGGAGATAGCTGGCTCACGTTCCAACATTCGGTTCGACGCCGAGGTGGACTGGCGCCAACGCCATGAATTCCTTAAGTTTGAGATCCCCTTGGACATTCACCATCCCACAGCAACCTTTGACACTGCCTTTGGTAACTTGACCCGCCCTACGCACCGCAACACTTCCTTGGATATCGCCAAGTTTGAGGTTTGTGGACACAAGGTTTGTCTTGCCACATGCAATCTTCTGCAATTGAGGGACTAACCGAACCTAATACACAGTACGCTGACCTCTCCGAGTATGGTTATGGCCTCGCCATACTTTCCGAATCTAAGTATGGTTTTGCCGCTGAAGGCGACATCCTCCGCATCTCTCTTCTTCGCTCTGCCACCGCACCTGATCCCATTCAAGACCAAGGCTACAACTCCTTCGCATGGGCCCTTCTACCCCATGCCAACCACTTCTACGACTCGGATGTGCCACTCGCTGCACATCTATTTAACTCGCCCGTCCACCTCCGACATGTTCCAGACGTCGTTGGTGTGCCCGCTGGTATTCAGATGGGATTGACCCATCACGGACTAATTACCGTTGAGGGCGCGAGGAATGTAATTCTCGAGACCATCAAGAGGGGTGACGATGATGATTATTCAGCAAGGTGGCGGAGTAGAGATCCCACTGTCATCCTACGCTTGTATGAGGCATACGGTGGACATGCCAAGACGAAAATACGAATGTGAGTGACCTTTTTCTTTCCCTCAATCAGTTTCCATGGCCTTACGCGATTCCTAGCGATTCGAGGATTGGAGTGAAGAAAGCAGCCCTTACTAATTTCCTCGAAGATGTCAAGTCCGAGCTCAAGCTCGAAACTGCACCATCGCTTGATCGTCCAGTCGGATCAGACACTGAAGACACGATCCTCAGTCTGAATTTCAGAGGCTTCCAGGTTCATACGGTGAAGTTGACAGTTGCAGCTCACATTGCCGTGTAAGTTTTTTTCTCACCCAGGAGCTGACGTAAAGCCCACTGACACATTAAAACCCTGCTGTAGATCTCAGCTCGATGGTTGGATCAACATCCTCCGCATCTAAGATGGCAAGTCAACAGGAATATTTGATATCCATTTGGTCCATCATATGCCTTTTCGTCTCGTATGTACATATACCATAGCGAACACATAAAGTGAATTGTATCCGTTTCAGTCTCAATACAACGGTCGTTAGACATGAGCTGCACAATGTGGAGCCCGCCTGGTGAATATGGTGTCCCAAGGTAAGTCTTCTCGTGTGGAAGGCATATTTGGCTCATTCGCCACGGCAAGTTTGTGATTACATGTACGGGGGTCGGCCGGGTTTCCGGGGTACAGGTGAAAACATGGTGGTCAGTCTTTTGTATGATTGGAAAAAAAAGAAACTCTAGTACTTCTGTCCAAAGGGGAGACGGGCCAATCCATAGGGCTGGCATTGAGGCACTGGCCCGATCATCAGGAACATTACGATAGAAGAGATTGTGGACGATTACTGCATCCTACCATCTCAAGCTACTTCAGGACACGTCAAGGGCCCAAACACCAGTAACACAATTAAAATTGTGTTATGGGCTGCCGAACATCTTCCTCCAATAACTGTCAACCCTCAAACTTCTGCATATTCGGGAGAAAGGCCTAGCGCTTCAGCAGGTGCGAATGTAGCAGCACCTCTTCTTGACCCCACTCCGTTCATCACGCGCGGGCGCTCTGAAACCGATCTTGGCCTCTCCCCTCCGAGCTCGCTGGTGGGGGCAAAGGGTCAAGGCACCGACCCTCTCTGGATGGTCCGTCCTCTCACTGCCGTATGTTCATGGGAACTGGCCAAAGGGCTGGCTGCTGCGATTCTGGACGCACCTCGTGCCAACTCTTCCGTCACCACCCACGACTCCAGCCCCGCCTCCCCGGAATGAGACCTCGAGGATCAATTATAATCGAGGTACTTCGGGAGGTTTCCCCTCGCGAGATGTTGCGGCTTCAAGGCGTTGCCTGCAGCCATTCAGAAGCGGAAAAATGACACCTTGCCTATAGTGTGGCCCTCAACGAAGCGAGCATGTCCGGATAGTGAAGGTTCACTGCATCCACTGGGGTTGATTGTTCTCAAAATCGCGCTGGCAGTCAAACGGAAGGGGTGTGCCAATGCACCGCATTCTCGCCCAGCTCTTCGAGGCGGTAGCTCTCGTTCTTGTGTGCGCGCACCTCGGCACAAGTTTTAGAAATTATGGCAGTTCTACACCCAACGGAGGACGATAGAAGCGAGCATTGAGCCGTGACCAAATCTTTCCACTTGGATGATGGACACTTTGCATCGTTCCCGTACTGTCACTACATGCCCAGACGCCGGGATATTTATGCTTTCGGCTTCAGTTTCGTGATATGTGTGGTGGACTGAATGCATCCAAATGTGACGCTTCTTCGCATCTGCCCATGGGGGAAGAGCACAAGTCTGTTTTCAGCCTCTGCGGGTCACGTCGAGGCGTCACCTGGTTATACAGTGTGCTTGTGTGTTTCAGCTTGGGATGTACCCCCTTGCACCGCACCACCTTGAGAACCAAGCCGATATTATGGACCGGCATCCTAAAGGGCAGTATTTGGTAGATTTCACCACTGGGAGGGTGATCAATCGACCGGGACACCGGATAGTGTGCCAGTGTAAAAGCCGATGTTGGACGTCTGCGTGTTCTGTTGTTCACTCCGTTCTCGTGTCAGAATGCAATGCTTCAGAAGCACGTTTCTGACAACCGCAGGGAAGGGAAATCTGCCATTGGCACAGGGGAAAAATAGTGCGAGGTGGAAATGGAGTCTTACTGGTGTACCAGCAAACAATGAGTCAACGGCACCGATCCCAGATTCATCATCCCTGAGACCTGGCGCAGTGTCCAACAACCATTAGGGGAGTCGTCGCTTCGCAGAGTGTTACGTCAATATCAGCCAACCACTGAGTTGACCATGAAATTGCGGAACCGATTGATGTTCTGGACGTCTTCTCCCTTGAACCCCCCGTCCTGATCTACTTTAGTAGAGGCTGGGATCCTGCCTACCATCCTGAACGCATGTACAATCAAGTAACATCGCATTCAAGAGGCAGGTCCTCTCTTGAACAACATGCTGCACCGACCCGGCAATCGTGGAACATCCTCTCGGGAATACAACATCGAACTTACCGAAACTCTGGCTTCATATTATGCAGAGGCCAAGTGAGTAAGCAACGAATTCTAGATGCATTGTTGTTTGTATCTGGGGGCTATGATGGATCTAAGGATAGGTTAGCCAGATAGAGATGGAGGGGTCATTCGGGTGTATCCGACATACAGTGCGGCGCACGCCAGCAAAAGGCCATCGTTACTCCAAATGATAGGGCACATAGATAGTAGAAAAGACATGGGCGGTGTAACCCTCGGTGGTACTAGCATGGTGCTAGAGAACTGTTTATCAACATTGGTCGTACGAAGCAAAACGCCATGGAAAAAGCCGTCATTCCCCTGGCTATTTGCCAGGCGAGTAAAAGACAACACGCAAAGGAATTCATCACTTCAATTCGGAAAAAAATCCCATGAGGTGAGGAATAATGTGCCACCAAATAAGTATCGCCACTAAAAACATAGTAGCCAAGAATGAGTTGGCACAAACCACGCAAACCTCCTCAGGGGGATGGGCCACGACAAGGCACAGCAAAAGCTTCATGATGCGATTAGCATCATGGTTCCGCCTCGTTTTTTTTGCTCTTCCCACAGCTTTTCCCAATCGTCAGTAGCTTTTCTTTGTTGAATACCGGAGTGAAACCCCATACTCAGAGTGATGAAAATTTCCCCGGTGGATGGGTGCTGGGTTAATTAACACCTTGGTTCACACGGTGTGACTCATTTGATGTTGACGGTAACTTTCTTGCACGAACCTGATGCTAAATCCTAGCTGACCCCCATCCGCCGCCTAGGGGTGGGACTCATGTTAGCAGCGGCGATAAACACCGGAAGGCCACTTCACTGTGGCCTTAAGCCGTGAGACCCCTATATCCGTCAACCGCTGTCCTGAGTCGAGTGAAATTAACGAACGCGAGGAGTAAGCCCGGCGATTAGCCATTCCAATCATTGGTCACACTTGTTCCCCTGACTTTCTCATAACTGGTTGGATTATTGGGCTGAACTCAATAAAATGATGGTCCGCTCGCGGCCAGATTTGCCTTGCTGTCGTGGGTATGCATGGTTTCCACGTTATTCTTGCACGCTTCCATCGCATAACAAGAAAATAAGCACCCTCATCGTTAACTTCGCCCTCTATGAAACAGCTTTACTTGATTCTAGTGTCGAGTACCCTTGGATAAGGCAGGGAAGATCCTGATTTCAGCCTATTGTTCATAATCATCTCTTTTTGCGATACATTGAATGTTGGGCCACCTGCCTTTGTCGCTCCGCTTGTCGTAAGCGGAGGTCACACAACCCTTGATAAACGACCCTCCACCTATACAATAACTCGATCCCGCGAGAATGGTCCGTGACCCTGGGTGAGCTCGGATCTCAGCACAGTTTACAATTCAGGGTTGTCTTTTGTCTAGATTTCCAGTGACCTGGACCCATGCGCTGGAGGAAAAAGATAGAACTGCTGACGCGCTGTCACACGCTGATGATAGATGAAAAAGGCATTCAGTTAGTGTCTGCTTGCTTGGATGCTGGACCCTCTGTTTGTTCCCAGTGTTCATAGTTCACGATATCAAACTGGGTCAAATTGTAGGCAAGTGATTATTAGCAACTACGGGGGCACATGTCGCTGCATCACTCGATTCCGATTCCATGGCGTGGGCACTGCTACCGCGAGAGCTCACATTTGGAAATCGTGGGCCATCCGTTTGTGCTCGAGGTTTCCAGCGAGATATATATTCGGGTATGATAAGCCATATCAAGTTGGGTGAGTACCTCAGTATAGTGAATCCAATGTACACATCCCGTTCTAACTGGTGCCATTGCGCAGAGATGGTCTAGACTTATCGCAGCACCTAACAAGGTTATTCTCCATGTTCTGCAGGGGACTATGTTACCTTCTCGGAGACTAGCTGCCCCATATTTCAACAGTCTTGGCCTATCAAGTGTTTTGGGTATGGTGTTTCTGATCTGCCAAATTCTGGGACGTAGCTTCCATATGTGGACTCAACAACATACCTCCTAAAACGGCAAAATGCATCCTGTTGCCGTTTCTGCTCCCCACACGCCTGAGGCCTCTCGGCATCCAACAAACACCCCTAGAACTGGCCACTTGTATATGCCCTAAAGGGTAAGTAAGAGAAAGATGCAACAGGTGGGAGACCCGCACCTAAGGGTACCTGTTGCGCGAAGCCAATCTGGTGGCTCTCCCATGTATATCTCGGTATCAGGCAGTTTCGATCACACACAAAAGGAACACTCTACACTGAGAGCGATGACCGATTTTTCACGTGGTACAACCGAATAAATGCGGTTGCGTGACGCACAGATACAAATAGCTTTGCTTCGAAGGACACAAAATTGCCCGAGATTGAAGCTCTGTCCCCGAGTTTCGGTTCACCTGCGAGATAACTGGATATTCATTGTTCGAGTTCTCCTAATAGGTAGTTCAGTACCTACGACAGGATTTGTCCTATATCGTCACCGTGCTCGGTACGCTTGCGGTGATAAAGGCATTCCCTTGTGGAAGTGATGTACAATATCACTGCTCACTCCTGATCAGGTAAAGCAGTGTACGGGGGTGTGACGATACTGTGCAACCATGGGACTGTCGAGGGTTTTAGGAGCGTCCTTGCGCATCATGTGTACAGTTCTCGCATACAATCGTGCATTGCGTCAGAAAGGAATTGTTCAGTAAGTCCAACAATGAATTTGTCAAATCCCTCCTGTCTTGCTGGTTCGTTACGTGAGGAAACGGGACTCGTTCCTGACAATTCCATGGAGCTGGTCATCCGCCTCTTGCCCCTTCTCCCTCGTCTTGATAACTGATACAATATAGTAAGTAACGTTCTCGCATGCACAACAACGTGCGGCAGCATAGGGCACTGAGTGCACCATTTTTGCTTCGATCCGACTTCCCTAGCGCGGTCTCCACAGCATCCCAGCATCCCGGGATACCTACCATTATATGTACATTTATAATAATGCAATCACGTAACACCAAGTTCTCTTCGTAGTTAGGTGGAAACCGCGTCCCAGAACTCGTACCCGATTCCCAAGCCGTTTCTGAGTCTCAACCCCCGCGGAGATAGTATATATATATATATAGTACAGGGGCCCCTCATCACCCTCTCCGCTCCCGCTTTTGTTCTTTCCCCCGCGATCCGAAAAATCCGCCAGTGCCACATACTTACCATACGAGTGCAGATAGATCTCAAGATCCCATGATTATAAAACTGTTCACGTTCAGGTTCCTCGTTTCCCTGGTACGTGCCCACATACGAGGGTTTTTTTTTTTTTGCCCCCTTTTGCTCATCTGCTTTTTTCTTTTCTTCCAGCGTACAGTACAAGTGTGTGCTTCCGGACCCTCTGATTCTAGCTTCCCCTGCGGATCTTCTCTTCTGTTTGTCGTTCGTGAGCACGGGACAACTCAAACCAGCTCCGATGCTCCGCCATTTGAGGCTCAAGGGATCAGCCCATGCCATAAAGAACATGCAAAATGCAATGCAAATGCATGGATGCGGTAATCGATTGGATATGTCGCTGAAGGCTATTTCTTGGGTATCGTTGACCATTTACAAAGGTAAGACTTACTCGGGTGACTTACTCAGCTAAACAATATGATATTGCATGCAGCTAGCGGGGCTGCCACTAGTGTTGGGGGAAGAGTGAAAATGGAGGGACCGGCCGGGCTTATAAGCCGTGCGTCTTAATGACCGCGCGCGCCGAACATCAGCTTCGTCATTTACACTAGCTTGATCAGGCCAGACCCCTAGTACTTACTACATGGTTTCATTTCCGTAGACCGCTCAGATAATGAAAATAGATAATTCGAATTCGAACTCATCTCGTGCATGCGTGGGCGCATGAAATTCGATATTTAAATTGCCAATACGACGGTGACATTATGAACATATTGGAAACACTATGTAGCGCCAGGTAGTTACAGTCCTAGTAAGTACTAGTATACACAGGATTCAACCAAGGTCAGATCCCCAAGAGGGGATCGCCCGCGTGACTTAAGTAAGTAATGCTGAGAACGTTAGTACGACATTCCTCGTTGTCGGTCCACTTCTGTAATATAGAAACGTTGGCTTAGGGGGGGGGGAGGGTTAGCTGGGCATGAGTTACTCTTTCAAGTATAGATAGGTACCCTATGTATCACGCTGTATATTGTTTTGCAGCAGTAATTGCGGCGTGCGGAACTTGGTCAGTTTCTTCTAACTATACCTGTCTTAGCTATGTATAAGGTATATAATGTAGCAGATCCGGTGCTCAATTATTCATTCACTTTCTTGCTTTTTTTTTTCTGTGATTGCATCATCCAATCGCAGTAGGACCGCTGACGATCTGTTAACTCGGCACCGAGATCGGGTCGCCGGCGGAAAGCGTTCAGTGTCCATTGACATACGCTTGGATGTATATCGCCTTCCAAGTCAAGTCAATCGTTGCAGCGAATGATATGTAACAATTTGATCGCATCAGGAGACGTTATGGTCAAGATGATTTTAAACATGATTACTACTCGGCCACCACACTGATGCGGCGTATGTCACGGAAGAGGATAGCAGGGGAAAGCTAGTGTTGGGTTCATTCTTTGAATATACACGGGGAGGAATTGAGGAGGGATAAAGTTTGATGATTATATGATACAAGAAGAGATGTGCTTGGACGGGTTAGAGGCGTGATCAGACACACAATGACACGAATGAATAAGTTCATGCCTGACATGCGTCGTTGCGTCTTGGGAAAAGAAATTGGGCAGGGCTTGAGGAGGGTATATACGAGAAAAGAGGACAAAAGGGAATAGATAAGACAAGAGAACTAACGGCATGACAGGAAACGTCAGTGCCATTAACCTAGTAGAAATGCAAATAAAATGTTACCGAAGGGTTGCTAAGCGGAGTAGATCATTCAAGGAATGAAAATGAAAGGGGTGAAAGAGACTGATTACTGGGAGAGGAAAACGAAGCGAAAGGAAAGAGAGGAGGGAACCTCCCCTTTCATACTCCCATAGGGATGCACGAATCTTTACACTTCCGCATCACTCCCCTCCTCTTCCTCCTCCCCATACTCACTCCCCTCACATGCCTCGTCATCATCATCAGCCGGCTCAACATAACTCACTTCCTCGACCATCTTCTCCAACCTCTCATTAAACTCCTTCGTCACCGTCGTATCCAACCTCCCCAAAATCAGCCTCTTCACAGGACTCCCAATCGACATCCGACTTTCCACCATCCTCCCAATACACGCTCGATGAGGACCCGTCACCTGAAAACATGATAATTTCGGTACGGGTAACGGAAGATTAGGTGCTGGGTCTGTAAGGGGTAAGAACGCCAAAGGGTTCATTCCGTGCATTTCGGCAAACAGATGCGTCACGTTTGTCGCTGATCGTAAGAATTCTCCAAAGGCGTCCATTCCGTATGTGGTGTCGGATACTTCTATGCCTCGTATGTGGAGGTACGTGATAGAAGGGAAACCGGTGTAAGGTGATCGACCGAGGAGCGAGATGGCTGGATCGTATGCGTCGTCACGCCACTCCGAGAGGGTGAGAGATTGGAGCGTTGGAGCGCGAAGGAGATGGATGAGAGAGACGACGTCGCTTGAGGAGGTTTGACGGGAGATAGACAGGGTATGAAGATTGGGCAGGATGACAATTGGGACTTGATTTGAGTTTGCGTTCGTGGTTGGGGTGTCACTGTTGGGAGAAGGGGGAGGAGGGATATCATGAGAATCGGGTACACATGGTCCCGATCCATTAAAATGTAATTCCTCCAGTAAAGTCGAGTTTGAAAGAATATGGAAAAGTTCGTTCAATCGAGGCCTTACGGATTCACGTTCGTGTCGGGCGAGTTCGAGGTAGGTAAGATGAGGAAAATCCCACGATTTCCACTCGACGTTGATTGTGTTCAAGGTAAGGCGGGTCAAAGGTGTAGAATTAAGGTTGGGAATTTGGAGCCTTGGAACAGTCAGTTGGTTTGAGCGGTCGCATGTTATAGAAAGGGATGTCAATTTAGAGGTTGCCAGAGTTGCTGTTGTCGTCGCCTCATTCGTCGTTGTGAGAGACGAGGATGACGAGGGCGGAGGACTAGGAGGGGATAAAGGCTGAGAAACTCGAGTAAAATAACCATGGATAAGGTTGTAAAGATACGGGTTCGGGAGGTCAATATCCACTTTCCGCCACCGATACGACTCGGGTAACAAAAGATTGACAATCCTATTCGCCCCCAGGCTAATTGTTGCGGACTCCTGATCATCTCCACTTCCTTCCCGTGCTTTCACAGAGGGCCCAGGTTGTTGAGGTTGTGGAAACTGAACTGCTTCCCTTGTGACCGTTACGTCAACAAGACATTTGCTCGACCTTTGCAAGCAAGCCTCTGCCCATCTATACTCTGGATCCAAACAGGTAGTGAATCGAACGTCTTGCCAAAGGAAAGGAATATTCAATGCAATGGCCCTCCATCGTTTGCATGTGTGTGAGAGGACGAGGTTAACGTTACGGGATGGTTCATTCGAAGAGGCGTAACGGAAGATGAGGGAGATAAGTTCTATTGGGAGCGAGTTCCAGGTTGTGTTTAAGGTATTTGAAGCGGTGAGGGAAGCTGGGGGGTTAGTGGGGAGAAAGGTGGGGAGGAGTAGGATGTTATAATGAGTGCTGGACCATTGCGATGATCGTCCGAGTTAAGAAGAGACATGGTTGTGGTTGGGTGGCATAAGGTGAGTGAGTTGCAACAAGGGGGAAGGGGATGACCATGTCTTGGGCCACGGGAAGACGATGGAGCCTGGGTATCGGCTAATGGGTGTAAGTTTTAAGGAAGCGCGAGGGTTAAAAGGAGGGGAAACTTGCCATGACGAGGGGACATATGACGGGCGAGCATTATGAGATGATTGCGGTGGTCGATGTTGAAGGAGGAGGGAGAGGGGGGGGGGAAGAGGCCACGACGAGATTATTTAAAAGAGGAAATTTGAGAGAACCACTGTTCTGGGTAAACGGGAATAAGAGTTGAATTACCGTGAACTCGGTGGTTATATATATTTATAAATTTACAGTAGAAGGGATTCATCTGGTAAGAGGAAGATTGGGATTAGTACAAGTTGAAGATATTACTTTGGTATATTGAACCAGAAACTGGACGACTTACTTACCCCAGGAACACATATGCAGACACATCCCGGAAATCTTATTTCGACCTGCCTTTTCAAGGAATGAATTACTTTGTTCGATCTTCTAGAACTCTTGTTGTTGTTGTTTTTCTTCTTCATTCGGAGACTTTGTGGATGTTCGATGCAGTTTACCGGGTTTGATCTTGCATCCCTTGGCCACAATGATGTTCTTATGTTGCGTCTCAAAATCTTGTGTCAAAGTTCCCATATGAGGCAGTATCCAACGAAGGCGCTGTAACGCACTTTCCTTTTTTCGAAATGTTCACACTCAACTTCAGCCCTTCACATCCCTTAGTGTTGGTTGCTCTCGCTCTTTTTCCAGCCATCTTCCATAAATACAGCATACACACTCCTGGAATCCTGGAAACAACAATAACATCCAACAGTTCCCTTCGATGAAAACGCCATCCACGTTTTGGCGGCTGGCAGCGCCTGGTTGATCGATCCCATCGCCCACATCAGTATCACGCCGACAGGGAATGCGTTACATTCGACAACCCCCCATACCATGTGCATAGCCCTCAATCGAGCATGAGAGGGCCCGCTGCGAAATTTCAAACTTTCCCATGCATGGAATTTCGCCTGCCTGAACAGCTTCAACGTTCGAAATCGAACTTGACACGCATATGACTGATCTCCGACGGATAGTAAGAGGATCCCTTTCGGTCTCCGACCAGCTGGAACCCGCACGGAATCGGTATGCATGGCCCTTTTCCTGATCTCCGTGCAAGCACAACCGTACGTACACATACCAACACATAGAATTATCCATCAAACTGGATCGCCAGAGCACTTTGCAAAGGAGCTTTCAGTAAGGGTTACGTTAACCCATGGCTTGCACCGCCCATTTAACCCCAAGAACTCCGCCGATACCAATACCCATGTCCGTGGATGTGGGACGCAGTACAATGATCCCAGCACTTATGTGGTTACAGAAGCGAAGAAGAACCCATTCCCCCCCCCCCTTCCCCACCCAAAAAAAAGTTATTTCTCATTCGCTATCCAGAGAATGGGCATCCTTACTATTAGTATCAATTGGTATCCAAAAGAATGGGAAGAAGGAAGCGGGGGAACATTCCCTCTACAAAGTACTCAACGACTCGCATGAACGGGCCCGTTCTTCGAACCCAGGTACCCTTTGGCACAGCGCAACGTCTTCCAGATCAGTTGCGGTATAATCTACCCGGTAACTTGTTCCAAAGTCCACGTAAAACATACACACACACACACATACAACAACAACGCCGCCGCCAAAATTGGGTTATCTATCAATGAGCGCGCCCCGCGAGAGCCCACACAGAATTACGTGGGAAAATAATGATCACCAGTCATCTCATGGCCATGGCCAGCTTCGTCCGCGTTATACATACGTATATACGCAATGGGAAACCAAGAAGAAAAAAATCGAAACATCCGGGTACACTGCCCCTGTACGATGTCGGTCCTTGCCCGAGTTAATCTAAGTTCGTTGAAATACCGCAACCGAACACGCACACGCACACACGTTCAACTACTTGTACTTGCCTAAATAGTTCCACCACCGAGTGAACGATACCGAACCCTCTTTCGGCACTTGTACGCTTGCACAAACACCGAGTACTTTTTTTTTTGGGCTAGCAATAGCTGAGTAATTGATCATCTACATCTGTACATATTTGGAATCATTCGAATAGATAGATATAGACATGAGGGACTCTATCTGATCTGCCAGAGTACTCGTACTACCTCCCGCATCAAAAAAGAAAGATGAGTTTAGAAATTGAGCTCGTCCGTACTAACGTCGCTATCTCCACCGGTAATTGTAGCCCTCCTGACCCTGTTACCCTGGACCTGGCCCCGACCTCGATTCCGACTGCGATTCGATAATGGACTATTGAAAAAATAAAGTGGATCAAGTCCATGCTCTTCTTGCCCGTCAATCCCTGCAGATCCAAGGGGTCCCGCCTAGACGCAGAACTAAGACTGCTCCTACTCCCTACCTCACGTCCATCCAAACTTGATGAGCTAGATGCATTGTCCTCATCAACATCACCGTCCTCCATCTCCATATCAGAATCAGGATCACCATGAGCCATCAAAGTGTTCGCAGCAGCAGTAGTCGTAGCAATGAGAGTACGATAGTTGATTGTACCGCCGCCAGTACCGCCACCACCGTCAGCTTGGAGAACGCCGTCAAGAATATTGTCGCTGTAATCGCTGCTGTTGCCAATGAGATTTTCCAATACAGGCTCCAAAGGATCTCGAGGTTTCCGTGATCCTGCCGTCAACACATCAGCGATCATGGCACCACTCCCACCGACGCCGCTCTGTCCAGATGCTAATTCATCAGCAGTATCACCAGCAACACCACCAGAAGGAACCTGGTCATTTCCTCCAACGGCGGAAGCAGTTCGAGCCCGAGCCCGTGCGATATCAGCGAGAGCAACCTCCATCGCCTGTTTGATAGCCACCGCAGTAGCCTTCACATCCAGATTGATCAGATCCTCTAGACCCTCCCCCCTTGTCCCTTCCGCTGTTGTCGCACCTTCTTCAATCTCAACTTCTCCTCTCACTCCATCACCCACCTGTTTATCTCCCCGACCCCAACCCCCACGACCGGCCCCATCATCCCCCTCATTCGCATCATTCGCATCATTCCCGTCATCACCGTCATCCTCGTCATCCTCATCGTTCCCATCATCGCTACCATCTTCTTCTTCATCAGTTGACCAACTAGATGAAACAGATGATTCATCGCCCTCACTACTGTCATCCAGATCCACTTCTTCATCCTCCGAATCCTCATCATAATACTCAACTTCACACCCATATCTTTTCCACTCCTCAACAGGAGGTGGCCACTTTGCCGCCCTCTCCTCGTCTGAACTTTCATCGTCGTCACTTTCCGTGCCCCAGTGAGCATTCCTTCTTCGACCGGTTTGACGAATGAGTATGCGTCGGACCGGGACACCATACCGGTATCGTCTCGATAGGAAGGTAGTTAGGTTATCCCAGGGCACGTCGAAGGGTTTTAGAGTGTGTAAAAGCGGGAGGAGCACGGGTGAGCTTGATACCGAATGGGTGGATGAAAAAATTGATGGGGCTTGTTCTCCATCCCTCCGTCCATCATCTCCGCTCCCAGACCCCTCGCCAGTGCTCCTCGTATCGATTGGATTATCTCTCGGACTCATCCCACCAGTATAGGTAGCCTTTTGGCCGTGTTGAGGAATAAGACTCTCGAACGTCCGAATTGACATCTGTCGGCAGTTGATCGATAAATGAGTTAGACGATTTAGATCAACGAAAAGTCTCTTGAACGCCTCGATGGCATGAGACATGATTGACGATTCGATTCCAGCGATATTCAGTCGTGTAATGGACGGATAGCCCGTACTGTACGTTTGCCTTGGAGGGGAGGAATATGCAGACGGTGATGAGTTGGAGTCCAAAGGAACGTTATGATTGGCGTTGGTAGAAGAACCCAAATAGGCGATAATGTCCGAGAAATCATCGTCGTACCAATCTTTCATGACGAAGGTCTCCAGATTAGGAGCGCGAAGCAAGTGGAGGAGGAAACGGATTTCGCTAGCTTCGCTCACATGACCAATGTGAAGCGTCTTGAGATGAGGAAGCACGAGTTGCAAAGTGTACGGGAGCGAGATGTTCACACCTGGAGGAAAAGGACCTGAACCGTCAAGTTTAAGAAAAGATAGTTGAGGCGAGGAATGGAGCATTGAGATGAACTGAGCTGGGGTGTAGGAAACCCCTGGTGCATGATAGGAGAGAGAGAGCGATACGAGGTTTTTGAAGGGCCAAGATTCCCATGCTACGTGGACACCCCACAGTTCGACTGTGTTAACACGAGGAAAGAGATTGGAAGGGAGATGTACAGGAGAGATGGGATATGGTAGTGCGAAGGAACTTAAAGGATCGAAGTCTGAGTTGTTGTAGAGCATGAAACTTTCTAAAAGGGAGAGCGGCTGTTGATGGTTGACGAGTGAGAGGAGTAGAATGTAATTCATATTGAACGTGTCGACATTGTAAGAGAATTCACGCCAGCGGTGGGCATGAGGGAAGAGTATGTCTCGAACACGGTATACTTCTTCTTCGGTGAGTGGGTCTTCACCGAGTTTATCGTCATCCGCTGAGTAGTATAGATCGAGATCGAGAGGCGCTTCTTTACTTCGTTCCAGCCAAAGTCGTGTCCAGTTGTACTCCGGATCTGCCTCAGTCATGGTGATATATTGCCACATTGTTGGAGTGGAGAGTGCAATCTCTCTCCAACGTCGGCAGACAGACGAGACAATAGAGTAAAAGGTTCTTTGATAGACGTCATGCCTCTTGGGTCGTGACGCTCATCTCGAACGCCAATGAGGAAAATATGAGCGATAAGCTCAGCAGGAAGTCTGTCAAAGCGGTTCGGCCCCATATTATCTTCGTCTCTGAAAAGTTCCTCCAAACAGCCCTTAACGCGTCGCACGCCCAGCTTTCGCAGAGCAAGTTCTCGGAGAAGGAAGTCCCCAAGACCACTACGTGTAATGTCCAGACTAAGCAAATCGTATGACTAGGAGGGGGAGAAAGACAAGAGAGTCGGAAGACAAAGAAGGTCAGTTCAAGTTGCCGAATACAATTCACATTTCTGAATTCAAATGGTGAGAAGAAACTGACAGCTAATCCAAGCCTCGACAGGTTCAGGGCTTTCTTCATAGTGCCAGCACTCGAAGGATCGATACATCCATCGTCGAGCACCTTGACACAATTTCTAATTAGGTGATCAGTGGCTTCTCCGTATCTGTCTGCTTCCCTCAACCTCGATCTCGCTTCTTTTTTGGTCAAGGACATTCTCGGAGTGTTCGGCCAAGGTTTTGGCTAAAAGCACCAGCGATCTGGGCCTGTCTTTTTTTTGACTAGGGTCAGCAAGGAAACACGACAAGGTCCCGCCTGAAATAGCACTGTGTAGTCGGTATAGATCTTGACAACACAACATACAACAATATTAATCGGTCAACACCGTTACAACACGTGATATGCATTATTTTGAATTGGTAGCCTTACTTATCACGTATGCGGCAGATGCCAAGCCGATTTCACATATACCAATAGTTGGAGTGTCCATCACATATATAGCTGGCCCCCCTCCAAGATTGACATCCATCCATAGTACACGATGCCCTTCCTTTCCAGAGTACCCAAAAAGCAGAATACTCAAGTGGCAGATGTCCGCAATACTTCATCGACTGTTTGTGCGTACTACTTCCGATCTGATCATGCTGTTGTACGGACACCAACGGTGCTCTTATTCTTCTGCGTTATGTGCGGTTGCACAGATGGATGTTCCCTTGCAGGGATGAGTGTTCCACGTTATGAGGTGACCTGGGGCGCGCCGAGTATGATGACGGTTTCTGACATGCGAACCAATCGCGATCGGTATTAGCTCGCAGAAGAAGAAATGCCCCCCAGGACTGCTGCGCGTTTCATCCATGATCACTTGCTCCTGGACGGAGAACCTCAGCTTAACTTGGCTTCCTTCGTGACGACGTACATGGAAGAGGAAGCCGAAAAGGTGGGACCTGTACTGTTATACTCCAGATGATGACAATGACCAGTGTTGTTCCGTGGGGAATAGCTCATGATGGAGAAGTGGGTTGCCCGGCCACGATCTCCCTCGCGATTATTTATTCACATACTGATGCGCCTGTCTGATTTTAAAGCTTGAACGTCAACTTTATCGACGTGGAAGAGTATCCCGCAAGCGGTGAAATTGAAACACGTTGCGTGAACATGTGAGATAAAATCACTCCACACCTATTTTTTCCATCCACCCAGCTGACTGAATGGCCTCGTGCATGGGTTCCAAAAATAGGATCGCACGGCTATTCAATGCACCACTCGATAGGCCCGATGCGGAGGCTCTGGGTGTATCTACAATTGGATCTTCAGAGGCCATTATCCTCTCAGTGCTTGCTGCCAAACGCAGGTGGAAGAACAAGCGCGTAGCTGAGGGCAAGAGCACGGACCATCCCAACATCGTGATGGTAAGCCGTCCTGTCCAATGCGAATCACTGTTGTTTCTCATTACGCTCTCGACGTCGCGACATAGAGTGCTGCTGTACAAGGTGCGGGGATTCACCTGTGTCAATATATGGTAGATTCAAGTTGTTGACGTACTCCCTGTTTTTGGGTTCGACCCTCAATAGTATGCTGGGAGAAGGCTGCTCGTTACCTAGAAGTTGAGGAACGGTATTGGTTCTGCAAGCCAGGCCAGTATGTCATCAATCCCAAGGAGGCAGCAGATCTTGTAGATGAGGTCGGTCCAATTGTCCTCAGCGCCCTTGGTTTGTCGTTTTACTATCGTGGTAACAGAACACAGTCCTTGTCGTTGCCATTTTGGGGACGACATACACAGGTCAATACGAAGACGTAGCAACGCTCAACGACGAGCTAGAGAAGAAGAATAGAGAAGCAGGGTTGGACGTCCAAATACACGTCGATGCAGCCAGTGGTGGTTTCGTTGCACCATTTATCAGGCCTGATTTGGTAGGGACTCACTGAAAGCACCACGACAGATACGATACTAACATTGGGAGTGAAGGTTTGGGATTTCAGGCTTCCGCTTGTATCTTCTATCAACGTGTCAGGGTGAGTTCAGTGGTAGCCTGGAGTGGCATAGAACAAGACTGACTTGGACTCGATTAGTCATAAATACGGCTTGTCATACGTGAGACATGGCTTTGCTATTGTGATCTGTAATAATAACTCAAGTCGTCATCTAGGCTGGTGTTGGGTGGGCCATCTGGAGGAATAAAACTTTCCTTCCAGACGATATCTTGTTCACTGTCAACTATCTCGGTAAATATGCTCTGCAGAGATATGCGTTATCCTGTCTGACTCCTTCCCGAATCAGGCTCGCCCCAGGTGTCTTTCACGCTTAATTTTTCCAAGAGCGCAGTTCAAGTCATTGGTCAATGTAATGAACCTGCGTCTTTTCAGTATTTGTCGGTTAGCCGTCTGACATGCTCTTAGACTATCAGCTCCTTCGTCTCGGCAAGGCGGGTTACCGAGCTATTATGACGAACGTGCGTAACTGTTTTGATCGAACCGCTAATTCACTCATTTCAGGATCTATCTCCAATTAGTTAACAGCTACTTCCGATTACTTGGCAGAACAAGTTCTTTCCATTAAAGATGGAGAGCTTTTCGAGCTCTTGAGTGATATTGGTGGAGCAGGGTTACCGTTAGTTGCCTGGAAACTCAAGAAAGAGTTGAAATATGATGGTCAGTCTGGGTTGTACTTTGTCCATGAACGGTTCTCATCTACTAATTCGGAATAGAATTCGCGATTGCTCGTGATCTCCGTCAGAGGGGTTGGATTGTACCTGCGTACACTATGGCACCCAAGACCGAAACTATGAAGCTCCTCCGTGTTGTTGTCAGAGAGGACTTCAGCCGCGATCGATGCGAAGCATTCCTTACTGATCTCCGGCACACGGTTCGCCCCATCCTCAGACGCTGAATTACTAGACATGCTAATTTCAACGCTTGGTCCTACCCCTTTCAGATTGAGCATCTTGAAACAACTCCTAAAGTTGTCCTTGATCATCTTGATAATTCTCATCAGGCCAACATTCACAACAAAGCAAGTCGAAGCGAGAAGTACGTGCCTGATGAGGCATTTCGAATATTATCCTTGGCAATGTCTAATCGTCCTTCTTCATCCTCTTCGCGTCGATTTTCTATTCCATGGGTTTGGTATTATGCGCTGATATCTTGCGGTCGTCGACGTAGGCATCACCATCACGAGAAACATTCGCTTTCTGGAAAGTATGGGAAGACGCATGGCGTGAGTGCTAGTTGTGTTTTGTTCTCCGCGTGTCATTTTGCGGTGAAAATTGGACATGGTGCTAAACCTCTTTTCTTGCGCAGGTGTGTTGACAGCGGGTTTGTTTGGGGGACTTACTCTGTAAAGTGCAAGTGCGAAATCTGTAGGCTGTTGCCATTGTATAGTACGTATTGGGTTCTGTGTGTGAAAAACTAAAAAGAAATACTATATTTTTTCCGAGACAGACGGCAAGTTGTCGTTTGTCGATTCTCACCGCAGCGTTGGCTGATCCTTGTGTGATATCATTGCGTGGCCATCACCCATCAACTAAATGATCCAGAACAACTTATGCCATATGGTATATACTAGCATAATGAGATCTCAGCAGTGCTTCATTGTAAGAGCTGGGATCGGAATCATGGATTGGGCATCTCAATCTCGATGTGTGAGACGGGGAAGGTGAAATGATCTCAATCACACACGATATACATTCTAATTCTCACAAAAACCCTCAGTGTGAAGGGCATAGATAGGTGCTTTGAGGGTATTTCCACGCTCCAGCAGTGGTATCGAGCTCAGCATGTCACAGATCCTGGACCAGTCGTACTCGTGCAGGATATATATCGTCCGGCAGAAACTTCATGCGTGGGCAATGACGCGGCGGATAACATATACAGGGCGCCGTGTAGCCGAAGTAATTGATACCGTTAATTTCCTGACAAACTTTGAATCAAACAGCTAGCAATACGAAGGGGTTCACACTTAGAAGCTTTAATTTGTATCTGAATGAAGGACGTACGTAGCTGGTATCGACGTAGATTCCACTCTCACAGTGACTTGGAATTTAAATGGCTTTCTTCCAAATCTCTGAGTTACCTTCATCTTCTGCCCAGAAGGCTTCCGACAGCGCGGACTCAGTGAGTCCAGCATCATCACCCCCTTCTGAGGCACATCTTTGATCTTCACATCATCAACGAGTGACTCTAATGACGCGTGTGCCCGTGAACGAAGCAGATGTGCGACGTAACCTTTCAGCAAAATGACAGCGTATGATGCCAAGAGGACCGTTACTGCTCCCGAGGCTAAACTTGATGGAAAAGGCGAGTGTGCAGACTTGGCGTCCGAAACATAAGACAATGAAAAAATCGATGAGGGCCGTTCTTGAATTTGTATGTAGAGCGACGCGACGTCAATTTTGGGACGAAGTCTTGTTCAGCGCGCATGAAGGGGTCTAGGATGGCGATCAGAGCCACGTTTACCAATGCGCTGAACCATATAATGACGGACTGTGAGGGAAATCACGCGAAGGCGTAAGCCGTGTCGTGTCAGTGTTGCTGTGCAAAGGAACATACCCATGCGCTGGCCCACACTCTCGATCTATGAGCTGCTGAGTGAGAGGACGGGGTATACCTGTAGTGGACAAGCAGTTTGAGAGCATCGGCGCGCAGACGGATCATTGACAAAAAGAGAATGAGAGCTAATGAGTTGGTCAATGAAGAGCCAAGGTTGTGAGCGTGGCTAATCACCTACCTGGCGTTAATGGATATGCCGTACTCCACATAACGACGTAACCGAACTAGCAAGGGAGGGTTAGGTTCCGCTTTTTCAAAGCCACTTTGTTTCCTCACCTGTAAAGTCAATGTCAAATAGTCGTCTGGCATAAACTTCGATTCAGCAGGGTTGAATGAGGTTGAGAATGGGTGGTTACCAAAGATGTTACGTTCGGGTAACGATGCCTCAAATGCAATACGCTCAACAACTGCGGGACCTTTCCCTCCATCAAGGATCCTCTTTGGACCGTTCTTCCTCCTCGAATACCACCTCAGGGCAAGAGGAATGAGCAGCTCTGCCACAAGCGGCGCCAACTGCAGAACGAAAGTGAACGAGAACAATTGTTCCGACAACCTTGTGTGCGGTGTCGTCTTTGGGAGAATCGCGTTCAACCCTTTGGCAGGTGATGTCATCCCCTCTGCCGCATGGATTGCCTCAGAGACCGGGCTATTTCGGAGAAAATTGAGAGGTGGAAGAGGTGCATGAGTTCATCTCCGAAAGGGATGTATAGGCCAGCGCTCAGAATGAGCGCAAAGAACGCTACCATGGCGTTTACGGGTGCAACTTTGAAAAGAAGAGAGGCATCATGTGAGGGTTTGTTCGGATGGGCTTCCCATGACACAAGCTTTGCGGCGATGCCGGAGTAAATGGCCACGAAGGGAGGCGTGGTAAAGATGTTATATATTGTTGGAACAAGCGACTGGGGAAATCGTGTGAGCAAGCTGGTAGTAAAATCAAGCTTCCAGTCACTACTCACAGCAAGAGATTGAAATGGACCGTTATACATTCGCATGACAAAAGCTTCAAGAATGAAGGCAACAGTCATATTGAACCCAACGAAGAGAACTGCCATTCCAATTAGGGGAAGAGACAAAGCAGTTTTCAGCTCGGTCTTCCACCATGGCGAGTCCTTGGACCCAACAATTAAATCGGGTGGAATGTAGTCAGATGCTGCATTCCATCGCCGTGTGAGTTGGTGTTGTCTGCGCTTCCAGCCCTCTACGAAGAGAAGTGACCATACAATAACGGAAATAGAGAAATATGGTCTGAAGAGGGATTCTCCTGAGACCAAAGAGCTATGCCCGCTGCAGCAGGAACTGTGAGTGCTATGGTGTACGACGAAAGGAAGGCGAAGTACAATGCGACATCCACTCCATACTAAGAGATCTGTCAACGCGGAATAAGGAAGGTTCATATAGTCTCACTTGTTGCGCCATAGAGTCAAGAAGCTCATTGCTATAAGCTAGGCTCGGAACAGGGCGCCCAATCCATCTCAGCCACCCCTGTCTGAAGTCCTCCGGATGCCTGACGACTACACCCTGAATGTGTGGCCAATCGGCCGAAGGAAAAATTCCAAGACCCCCGATTGACGTTGGGGAGGTTACATACGAGTACAGTGCGCAATACTTCGTCGCTGGAGTACGTAATGTTGGGGACATGGCGGATGGTAGGCCAGTGGATCTTCGAAATCGAACACGTCAGGCTCAACAGGCTGGCGAAAGAGACAGAGCTTACTTCTCCCATTTCATAGCCCGTTCAAGTATATCTGAGCTTGCCCACAAACAGACGAGTAATTCACCGGGATTGCTCGTGCGCTTCCCAGCACCGCGAAAGCCCCCTTTCGTCGTAAGAGTTTCAAGTAAGCGTCCATATTCCTCAGACACCGACGAGCTTGCATCCTTCTTAAGCTCATCCAATGCAAACTTGAAAGAGACCGCTAGGTCGACATCCATCCTTGTCTGGATCGCGTGAAGGCTCCAACGCGTGGGAAACCCTATTTAATTACATTGGCACGTCACGGTCACGGGACATCCATTCGTTTGTCAAATGATTTCACATTGGTCTTCGGATCCACCCTTCCGATCGTGACTCTTCGTAACCCTCCCCTAGCCTTTCTTCGTAGTTGGGGGTGGCTGGTGCAATTCCAGATTCTCCTCTTCCTCACCCTGAACTTGTTGGGCTGTGAAGAATCTATCGGAGCTGTTGTATGTATGGCTGTCACTTGGATCGTAGTTGGTCCTTCAATGCGGATCGTTGGACACGAGGGCCCCAGCCCACACGGCGAGGGTCCGGCATTAATTGTGGCAGCCATCCTTTTTCTATCATCTCTTCTTTCCGATCGATCTGCCTGATTTAAGACGTCCTTGCTGGAACGCTCCCGCCCAATTTTTGGTTGTACAAGCCGCTCGCCCATGGTACCAGCGGCCGTCACTGATTATCCAAATGCTTCTTATCATGTGAATGCTCATTCGGGAAGGGATGACTTGCCGCTGAGATCGAATGCTACTGCAGATTGTTTGCATTCCGGTCCGTCTCAGTTTTCGATTACTCTTTCATCTTTGGCGATGGATGGCTTTGTATTGTGGCGTCGGGGCCATTATCACTTTGATAAAAACGTTCCGTCTCGTCTCAGTGCGATGTCCGTGTTTGTGTCTCGTTCTGCAGATCGTCTTCCGGGAACTTCGCCTCCAACTTTCCTTGTGAGACACCCAGCAGTGGTTACTCTGCTTCTATCCAACTACATCTCCGGTCCGGTCAGCTGCCCTCTCGTTCCTCGTTCTTCTTCAGGGGCCTGCGATCGGAAGGTTAATGTTAATCGCCTTGAGTCCCTGCATCATCTGTTTTCCCTTTTCACATCATATCGAGACTCCGCATTGTTCGTCATCTCGCGTTCATCTGCAGACCTCTCGGACGATTTCCCCCTTCTCCGATCGCAAATTTTACCAGGAATACCCCTTCCGATCATTCTGCTCTGTTCTGCTGCATGGTGTTAATATGTGGTTCGTCAAATTTGAAGTGAAATTCATTTGGTTGGTAAAATTTAGGGTCACATTCAAAAGTCTTTCCCCTCGCGTTCTGTTGCTCACATTGCTCGTTTCCAAGTGTTCTCTTAGTTACTCTTTCTGATTCCCGAAGTATTACCTTTTAGCTGTCTCGTGTGCAGCGTGGCGATGGCTGACAACCGCCGAAGCCTCTGAATTTGCAAGCGAAAAACGAAACAGGTTAGAAAGCAAAAACCTGCATGCGTGGATCCTCACCAAACGTAACCGAAGGTCACAACACCTTCACCCTCAGCAAGACCGAATACTTACAATCGGTACACACCACATCATTCTGGCAATAAAAAAACCGATCGTGAAGATGCAGAGAGAATAATAGGTGCGGGAGATTGGCCTAGGAGCAACTGGAAAAACTAACTACTAGACTTGGCCAAAACTGGAGGCATAACCGTGGAATGACCCAGTAAGAGCCCATCGACAAAGTATTGGCGTAACGAGAGGGCAGACAGAAATCCCGAAGCGTGCAAACGGACAAGTCTCAAATTTTAGCGGAGTTGTCCGAATTGATTTGTTATAACTATGTTTCAAATTCGATCTAGAATTATGCTCGCCATCGATTGGGTGATTCCTGTCAGCCCTCTACATCAGTTTCCCCACTCAACTTTTCAGACAAGCGCTTCACGCATGCAAGGGCTCATATTTAGTACCAAACGAAAGTCGGTAAAGAAGCAAACCCAAAACGCCGCCCCTCCATCCGCTTCTCAAGTGTAGGAGCCGATAACCTGCCTGAGTGGCTCAAGAGAATCTTGGTAGAGAAGCAACGCAGCACTTTCGTGTTGAGGAAGTTGCAAGATAGGGAAGATAAGAGGGAGGATTATAGGGCGCAGGCAGTCTCGTATGAGCATTCAGAACGTGAGGTGATCGCTCGAATTTGCATGAAGCCTCCTACTTGGGCTTACATCCTACGTCTCAGATCGATGAGGCAGAACTGCAGTCTCGATTTGCTTTCTACTCTACCCAAAAGGGGCGCACTTCAGGGAATAGGGCGCTAAACAGGTATTATGACGTGATAGCATACGATCGCGGGTGTTGTATGGTCAATAGCGGCTCATCCAGCGAAGAGCAGGTTTATCTCAACGGGAATTGGGTCAGAGAGCATGCGGGTGGAAGGTGGTGGCTTGCTACGCAGGTATGTGTCTTGATTGAACCCCCCCTTCTTAATTTTGAAAATTCGGATTGGATGACCTTGATGCAGGCGCCGCTGCCGTCCACTATGCACTCGTTCTTTGCACTTTGTACGCCGCTTACGCCTCCCCATCAACGAATCAGGACGATTGTGCAGCTTACGGCAGCTATGGAAGGAAGGTGGCGGAAGGCGGATCCCTATGTTCCTTTGACCGTTGGACCTGGGGGTACACTGCGTTTCGCTCCACCAACCAAACCAACGGACCCTTCGAAGGCTCCGCCGACAATTGAAGTAACGCTTCTGTTTAGGAAAACCTTGGAGGACGCCCAATCGATCCAGAACACGCTGCAAGTCCGGCTTGTCCCACCGAGCGCGTCGTCTGCTGGTGGTAATGACAGAGCTGGGTCTAAAAGTATTGTGGAGCACTTCTATTTCGATGCCTGGCCAGATAATGGGGTGCCGAATACTACAGGATCAATCATCCAGCTTGCAAAAGCCGTAGACAAGACCAATCGGGCATCTTGCTCCGTCACCGCCTCATCGAGTGGGAAGAGTGTCGCCGTTGACATGGCCTCATTGCCACAATCATCGGCACCCCCGTCGTCAGAGGTTTTACCATCGGTAGCGCCCATCATGGCGCATTGCAGTGCTGGGATCGGTCGCACCGGCACATTTATTGCCATCTCCTCTGTGCTTCGAGCGAATGGATTGCTTGATCACACAGGCGATCAATTGGATCCGTCTGCACCGCCCCCCGCCCACTCTCCGTTGGGTGAATTGATCAGCGCGGAGCTGAAGGCAGACATCATCGCACAGGAGGTGGATTCGCTGAGGGAACAACGACCGGGGATGTTGCAGCGGCCTGAGCAGACGTTGTTCGTGTATGACGTACTTGCTGAGGCCTTGACTGAAGCCCAAGGGCCGTCCAACTGGGACCAGGCATGAGACCGAACGGAAATACCTTGATTTCGGTGGCAATTTCGGAGTTTTCAAACCGAATTATCCTTTTTCCCCTTTTTTTTGCCTTTGTGTGGATGTACCTATACTGTTGATAGAGCCAGATGTTTCAATAATTTGACCTTGTACGCCCACAGTATTTCGTTTTACATAATGGTGGCTACAGGCATGTTTGAGGCGCCCATGAACACTTTTCCAAAGTCCCCTTGTTTCGCTTGTTATGCTTTCTTCCCATAAGAGTACCTATAAGGTTTTTGCCGAGAAGCATTGCATCTCTTGCGAGGCAGTGCCGGGTTGCGCAAACTGATCACAAAAGCAGTCAAGCAGCGGACAAAACCATTCATTGTTGGCAGGACAGCTGTTTCGGGCTCATCAGAGGCAAATTCCATCATGCTCACGCAATAGCTGAGTCTCGTCACCAAACACGTATATTTGCCGCGGGCGTGTTGAGTGGTTTCCGGGCACACTTGCACCGGGAATTGCCGAGAAGCGCTCTCTCTTTCCCAGATTCGTTCATCCCATTACTACGCTTCTGGTCACCTCGACAACTATAATTCCATTCCCCTCTGCTCCCCCCTTCTCTGGATCTCAGCGCTTTTCTGCATCTGGGGCGAATATTCCCTTCAACTCCACCCCTACGTTACCGCGCTCCCCACATGATTAGAAACCTTTCATGGCCGCAATCTTCGGGGCAGGAGCATTTGTTCTATGCCGTCGCTCTATATGACTTTGATGCATATGACGACGACATCCTCTCTTGTAGCGCTGGGCATGTTATAAATGTCATCGGCATGGACGCGTCGGGGTGGTGGGAGGGTGTGTCCCTCGACACTGGCCGAGGGGGCTGGATCTCGTCAAACTATTTGCGCAGCTCGACCCAGCACAAGCTGTACTGTACATGCAGGACCGGTACCAACATTTTCCTCTCATCCAAACACCAGTCCATGCTACAGATCCGGCACGGGGTTCCACGATGAACCCGACGTCCCGCATAAATGTTCCTAAGGTCAACGGAAAACCGCCAGTTGAGCCCCAAATCGACCTCGACAATTCGCCGTCGGGGCAGTTGTATCCTGACGATGAGTATCCAGCGGGCCCATCTGCCGGCGATGTTGGCCGAACTCACAACTCACAAAACAATGGAAGCATGTCTCCTGTGTCATACACCTCTAGCTCAAGCCAGTATTCATATTCCGCATCTCCAGTGTCTTTTCAACCTCAGTCAGCCCCGGCAACTGTATATTCGCATCTTCATAATCCCGCGTCTGTCCCTTTTCGCACAGCACATAATCGCCTGTTATCCCGCCAACAATCGCCCGTTACTGTCACACCTCGTTCATACCCAATAATAGTTGGCAGCCGATTTCTCAAACAGCCGGACCAACTTCCTCGTCACAACCTCCAGCACATACCAGATCTCATTCCGATGCACAACCAGCTCAGCAAGTGGCAACCCCAAACCGATCAGGGACCCTCGCACCTATTCCGAGCCCAACGACAAACCTGAGCATGACATGGGGTGACCAAAACCTCCCACGGCCTACACCGAACATCTTCTTCGTCCCTCGCTCCACTTCCTCAGCATCTGCGCGCCCGTCGCTGCGTAGCAACGCTACTACGAATGGTACCTCCACCCCTGTGCGAAGGCTCCAGCAACCAACTCTTCGTGACATTGACCCTACGGTTTCCCCAAAACGCTGGTACCTGGAACCAAGTTACTTTCCGGATGAGCTCGTGAAAGATCAAAACGGCAACATAACAGCCGGGACACTCGAAGCTTTGGTGGAACATCTGACGGAGGATGTATTATGTGCGTGTCTCTTCTCCTTTGCAATTCCTATTATGGCAATGCCTACTTTGTGGCGGCAATTGCCTGACCACATCGCACACCCGAGCTTTTCAACTGACTTCTATCCTCCCCTTAAATAGCAAAGTCGTTGGAGGCTAAATTCCGAGAGACATTCTTCGCCACCTGCCGGACATTCGCAGATACAAAATCTGTTCTCGATCTACTGTGCGGAGCGTACGAGAGCCTCGAGCCCCGAGAGCCATCGGATGAACCCCGAGAGTTATCGGATGCGGAGTTTAGGGAATGGAGGGATTGTAAGCTCCGACCGGTTCAGTGCCGGTAAGTTCAGTCCTCAATTTTGATCTTTTGGGGGAATGGTCTTGGGTGTTTCAACTCCTTGCTTCAGAACGGCTCTTGTGGCGCTCTCGTACTGACCGCTTTTTTCTTTCAGCGTACTGCGAGTGCTCGCCTATTGGGTGACAGAGAAGAACATGGTCGAAATTGAGGGCGAGGAGCAGGTCAAGCAGTTGAAGGATTTCTTGACATGTATCAGGGTTCCGTCTCCCAATACGGAGGATGCTAGAAAGTTGTTGGAACTAATTCAGGCACGTGTAAGTGACCTGCACAATCACTAATTAATTGAGCAGCTTCTCATTATTGATTCCTCGGAACCTTGTCTCTTCTTTATCTCGTTCTATGAACTCACATGTGTCTTCCTCTTTATGCGGCCTTCCACTCACCAAATAGGCGCCCGAACAACCAATCTCGCCTTCTTCAATTTCCCCGACCACTCGGCGGAGAAACCGAGCGATTCCACTACTACGTAAAGCCGTGAAAGGTGACCTCCTGAAATGCGATGCGGTCGACATCGCCCAGCAGCTTACGCTCATGCAATACTCGATGTACCAGAAGATATTGCCTCAGGAGCTTGCGTCGTGGTCGAAATGCCAGGATTGGGGGAAGCCGACGAAGTATACCAGAAACTTGGTTAGATTTGTTCAATTCTCGACAAGGCTGCAGACTCTCGTCACGTATGCCGTTCTCAACACGGAACAGCTTTCAAAACGCCGAGACATGGTCAATCAGCTGATCAAAATTGATGAGGCGAGTTTCTCGACTCATATGGATTGTCGTTCTTACACTCCAGTCTTATTTATTTAGAAATGTCGCCAACTTGGCAATTTCCATGCAGTGTTTGCGATTACTGAAGGCCTCCGCGCAGAGTGCCTCGAGAAGCTGCATCTTACTTGGTCTCACGTTGACAAGGGCCAACGTCTCGAACAGCTAAAACAGTTGGTCCGACCGACGAAAGGATGGGCTTCGCTTCGCGCTGCCCACGATGCTATCGGCAAGACAAAGCCTTGTGTTCCGTTTATCCGTAAATTTTTTGATCACTCTCGCATTCACTTTGCTCATCTCTACATTTCAGAACTATACCTCGATGTTATTAAAGAAATGGAAGATTCTGATTTTCACCCAGACACCGTTCCCTCCAAAATTCCTGCAACAATGCTGATCAATTTCAACAAACGTCAATTAGTCCGGGAATGGTGCGATGACGCCCTCCGATTCCAGAACCGGAAATTCCAGCCTGAAATAGAAGAGAACCCAGAACTGATGCAGTTCATTGAGGAGCAGATGGACGCTGCGGATAGCTGCCCTGATGAATGGTTTACGGAGAAAGCAAGGATTGTGCGGGGAGGCGAGGATGACCATTCCGATATTCGGTACGTGACGTTCGCGTTGCTGGTTTTTATTAGAGAGGAACCGCATGGAGCTAAAGCTTCTTTCGCCATGGTTTTGGTTGCCATATAGACGTACCCTTGAACAAGCCGGATTCTGAAAGTGGGCGAAACAGAACACAGCCCAACCTCAGCACTTGTGACAACCGCCTCGGATTTTGTTTACGTTGTTCTTGCCTTTCTCTCCTTTATGTTGCTGTCTACTTGTTGCTTGCTTCTCACTTGCTTATCACCCATATCATCCAGCCATATCTCCTTCCCCTATAACTCTCACAGACCAGCTGGTACTGCCATCGGGGCTCTCCGCTACCCGTTTAGTTAATGCTCACCCAAACCTGAACGTACACGCGCAAGCTATATGATACCTCCACGTATGACAACCCTTGTGTTTAGTATGCGACACACCATTTCTTTGGTCCCCTAGCTTCCTATTCCTCATACACTAACTTCGCCCTGACGTCTCTTGGGAGTTCTCCTTTCATTGGTTGTAGTACAGTTTAGCCATTCGTTGACGAGTATGGCGCTGCTCCCTTTGGGAAAAACGACCTTGGACATTGACCAAAATACAAACGAAGCCGAGTCAAATTTGTCATGGAGGGAACCACAGTGCTGCAACGTAGAAAATAGAAATAATAAATTACATTGCTAAGGTCTCGTCCGTTCAATCAACATAGCCAACGGGAAGTGAGGGGACGGGTGGTGCGTCATCGGGCGAATTTGCGCGAGTAAATATCGAACCTTGCTTTGCTGGCGGGCGCTTTGGAGTAAACACTCTGAGACCTTTCTCGGTGATGGCGCGCAGGCGAGAGGGGCTTCGAGGTGACGCCATGATTGGTTTAGCAGGAGTTCGATTTTCGAGCTCGTCATCGATCTCCCGCTTTCTCTTGCCCGAACTTGACGGCTCGTCAATGGTTTGCGGTTTCGCGGAGAGTGGGAGGTTGGGGGCGGAAATTGATGCGCTCATCATTGGTAGGCGTGCTGATGGGTGCACAGTCGGTCGAGTCATGGTGGAAGCTTTGGACGTGAATGACGATCGTGCTAAGTTGATGATGGTGGACGCTGCACTTGCATTTTGTTGAGGAACCTCCAGAGGACGGCTAGATCCAGGCCCAGTTGATCTCGAAGCCGCTAGACTTGACGGTGTAGGTCGAACGCTTGAGGCGCGAGACGTAGATCGCGATGCAACCTCAGGTGCCATTGCCGCCCCACCTGGGGCACGTTGTAGAGTTTTTAGTTTCTCTTTGAGCAAATGGAGTTGAACGTCCTTCTTGCGTTGCGCCTTGTTGAGCCTACAGTGGATCATCAAGATACGCTCCAAGTACTGCATAGTGAAATGCACATACTCTGTTGCCTCATTCTTCAGCGTCTCGAGCTGCTTCAGTGCGCCGTCTCGATCATTCACAAGTGAGTTGACTTTATCACGCTCGGCATTAAGCTCTGTTTCTAGTCTAGACTTCTTGTGAGCGGTTGTGATGTCAAGGTCGCGCATCCGACGCCTATGCTCTTCTGCCTGCTCATAGGATTGTTTCAACTCCTTTCGGATTCTGGCGACTTCAGCTTCACTGTACATATCCCTTAAGAACCACCCCCTGAGAGAAACACTGTCACTTACAGTCTCTTAATATCTTGATCCAAGAAGCGCTTCATCCCAGAAAGACGTTTGGCCTCCGCAGCGCGATCATCCACTTCCCTCCGGAGTGATTCCTGGGATTCTTCCAACAACTTGATGGAATCTTCCTTTTCCCTGATCGCCGATTGAGCATCTTCTAATTCCCCCTGAATCACCTTCCAATCCTCCTCAGTGTCATGGAGCCGGCGTCGACATACGTCAAGTGCCGTTTGAAGTCCTTTCACCTCGTCTGACCGGGAATTAGAAAGTGAATCAAGGGCTCTCCGTGCATCTGCCAGTGACGCCAAAGCCAAATCACGTTCAGCCGTCAAATTGGTCATTGCTATTTGGCTTTCGGATCTGAACCGTTGAATGGTTTGCTCCAATTCACCTCTCGACTTCTCAGTCAATAGTGTAAGTTGAGTACGTAGAGAGTGGCATTCCGCAGTCAAAGCCTGAACATGCTCGGCCGCTTGTGCTTGCTGGGATTTGTAATCGTTGACTTCAGACTCGTGAGCCTGAGACAGATTGGACAGTTTGAGGTCATAATCTGTCATGAGCGAAGTGGTATGGTTCTTGAGCTCTTCAGTGCCGGAGTTGTAATCTTGTAATAAGCGATGTTTCTCGACTTCGAGGCTCTCAACCATCTCCCGGGACTGCTGGAGTTGTTCCATCAAGTTTTGCATAATCTGCTGATTCGCCAATGTATCTGTATGCGTCTTCCGTAGAGCATCGACTTCGTCTTGCAATCTCGAGCAGGCAGCTGCGAGAACATCGCACTCATTGGATGCAGAATCCAAGCAGCGCCGCAATTCATCACGCTCCGCGGAGGTCATCTCGTGCTGCTGCTTGCGTTGCGATTCGGCTATCAAGAAAGCCTCGACCTGTGACCGAGAATCTGTCAACAGTTCGGACACTTCACGCTCCCTGGCGATGGCATTGTCGAGATCCTGGATAACCCGGTCACGAGCCTCCTCTGACTCCTGCAATCTACTTTCCAAATTAGCGGCTTCGACCAGAGCCTCATGGGAACAAGCAAGACCATTCTCTGCGATCCTGGCCCTCCCAACAGCAATGACGATTTCACGAACCATGCACGCGACTTGACCCTCGTCATAAGCATCTGGACGATCGGGAGGAAGCTGTCTTGACTTTGATTGGTCGATCTCTTCCTCCAATGCTTCAAGCCTTGCGATAGCTGCATCACGCACTGCACGAGCTTCGGCGCAATCTGCGATCATGTGGTTGTACTCCGCCGTCTTCGTCTCCAATTCGCTCGTGAGTTCTAGATTCGCATCCTCAAGGAGAGTGAGGTTGGTCTCAAGTCGAGCTATTTCCTTTTGATGCAGTGCAATTTGCTCCGTGCGCCTGTCAATCCGAAGTCGCATTTGCTCCAGTTCATCCTCAACCTCAACCTCAACCTCACGACGTTTTGAACGTCTGTGATCATCAGAGGGAGCTTGATGACTGTCTTGAAGTCGCTGGCATTCGTCCGTAGCGGCATCAAGTTGCATTCTGAGTCCTTTCACAGCGTCTTCCAATTCCTGGCACCGTTCCAGAAGATCATTCCGCTCGTCCCTCAGAGCACCCATCTTGGCGAGCGCGGTCTGTTGAGCCTCCAACGAATGACGTGCGTCGTTAAGACACGCTACCATTTCATGGTTATTAGCCTTCATCATGTCCACACGGGATTCACTCTCCTCGATAGCCATTCTGAGGTGCTCGATTTCCGATTGCCCAGCGATATTCTGGTCTTCAGACATCCTCTGAAGATTCTGGATAATGATAAAGGACGCATCAATTATCAAAGCAAATCGGGAGGCACGTTTCTTGAGGATCCTGTCCCGGGATCTCGAGTCCATCAGAAGCAAATTCGCATCAGCTTCACTTTGAGAAAGTCTCGAGTGGAGCTCAACAACAACGTTCTTGATCGCTGCATAGTCGCTGATCGTCTGCAGACGAAGCTCGTCGACTCGACCGAGGGCAATGAAGGCGCAAATTGCCAAACTCTGGTTCCTAGCCATCGAGAACTGGGCGGTCGCCAAGTCCCGTGAAGTAGCCTGCAACGCTTGAGCCCTATCATCCATGTCCGACTCGATCGAGCGACGGGCTGCTTCGGAAGCGTCCATTGTCAAGGCGAGTTGGCTCTCCAAAGCTTTGACTGTGCGTTTTGAATGAGATAGTTCAGTCTCGACAGCGGTGACGTGTGCACGGGCCTCCTCTCCAGTAAACTGAAGCGTCCGTCGTAGGTCGTCTCGCTCGGTACGAAGTCGATCAATCAATACAGCAATTTCTGCGAGTTCCCCTTGGCTAGAATCATCCGGAAATCTATGTACGAAAGTCACATTCAGTATCGACGTTGTAGCGCAGTTCATTTTTGCATCTCTGACCTGCAAGGCCCGTCTGTTAAACCGCCTGGTCCTGGACAAATTGGAGAGATCTTCGGCAATACAGCAGTATCGAGGAAGACATCATCAGAGGCTCCTCTCAGTGATGCCCGAAGATCAACAACACGAGCACCCAGCTCCTTCCGCGCGTTCTTCACAGCCTAGACGAGTAAGAACGATAAGGGAATCCATGTTAATAGTTGGGATTGTTCGGGAATACCTTGAGATTCTGACGCGATTGTTTCAATTCCTTCAAGTACTGTTCCTTTTCTTGGTGTTCTCGATTCAATGCAGCCTGCTGCATATGGATCTCTTTCTCTAACTCTTCGCATTCGGCCAGGAGGGCCTCGTACTCGGCTCTAGGAACAAAGTCGGAGGCACGAAACTCCTTATCAGCTCGAAGAGATTTCCCTGTCTCACTCTCGGTAGCCAATTGAGACTCTAGTTCCTGTATTCGCCTTTCGAAGAAGGAACGATCATCACGATTAACATCCTCGATTGATGACTGGAAAGCACTAGAGGATTCGAGTGATTTTGTCACGATAACCTGTGCGGTCAGGCGTGCTTCAAGCTCCGCCACCCTAGCCTGAAGAAGAGTTCCGTCAGGAACCGCCAGCGACAGCTTCGGTCCAGACGAGGGGGGATGTAAAGGGGGGCGGGAAAGTCGATTCTTAAGGCCAGTAAGTTGATTCTCAACCATCCTTTCCAACACCCCAAGAGACAGCACCGTTCGTTGACGGCGGGCCTCAATTTCTTCCACCTTCGCCTCAAGGGCATCAGGGTTTGGCATTGATACTAAGAACTCCCGGAGTTCAGCAATTTCATCGATTTTTCTCTCCAGAAGGTCCTTTATTTCCTCCGCCTCCCGTCTTGAACGTTGCTCCTGAGCTAGTTTGTCATTCTGTGCGACGATAAGGTCGCGTTGCGTCGATGCCAATTTTGACTTGAGCTTCTCATTTTCGGCTTCCGTATTACGACATCGCTCGAGCTCTTGTTCCAGACGTGTCGGCCTCAAGTCGGAAGTTACTGAAGACGATCTTGGGCGACGCCGCAAGGAGGATGCCACTTCTTCTCGCGAGTGAAGGGAGCGGAGGGAGGGCCGGATGCATTACGGGATGGGCGGGTGGGGCTGCTGAGGGGAAATGATGTGGCGGGTTGTGGTATGGCTGTGTTCAATAGGCGTGTGTTTTCCGCTTGTAAAGCTATGACCTTGTTTTCTAGTTCCAAAATTTTTGCCGCAGTTCTGGCGGGTGCCACTGAGGTGGAAGGTTTGTTACTAGAAAGCTCGTTTTCTAGCGCGTTAATACGACTCAATAATCTCTGGCGCTCCATGTTTAATGTGGGATTATCTAATTCTGATTCAGAATGTTGAGTGGCGATGTCAACATATGAGGCAAAAATACACATACCCAGTTGAAGATTCTTCGATCTCTTCACCTCTTGTTCAGCCTTTTCCGTCGCTCGCTTTGTCAGTTCTTCCAACTGCTGTGTGTGTAATTGTTGCCGCCGAAGCTCCTGCAAGGAGTTGAAACCGCGTCAACCACCGAGGTATGGAAAGGCAAATATCCTAATAACCTCTTGAGCTTTAGAAAATCTCTCTTCAGACTCCTGCACGCGTCTGGTTTCATATTGGAGATTGCGGAGAGCGTCATTGAGCTTGTTTCCCCGTTGTTGAAGTTGCGTGTCCTTATTGTGGAGAACATCTTTTAGGGCATCGCATTCTTCCTGAGTCTTACGCAGCTTAACATTAAGCCTCTGTACTTCGTGATCGTCGCGGTCCCAAGGACCTCTGACCGACATCGAGGAAGCGTCAAGCGAAGGTGGAGGGATACCAATTAGGTCACGGGCAAACCTAAACGACAAATACACTGCAACAACTGCTACCATCCAGTAGAATGGCACAAAGTTTCGAGGTCCAATTCGGGATCCATATGTGGGTGTTGGATATGTACGACAAACGCAAGCCTTTCCCTTGAGAATATCCACAGTCCGGAGGCCCTAGATTGGCAGTTGCGAAATCCTCGACACATGCGAGCATATGCTGAAGATACTTTCGGGCTGACAATGGCGCAGGGCGACCCCCCTTCTCGTCTAGAGACCCTTTCAGCCCTCGTTGCCGTCTATTTACTCATGCATGCTTCTCGCACTTGCGTTGTTCACTACACACCATTAGAGCAACGCTCGCACTCTGCATTGTTTTACACCGAGCCTTGCATGCTTAGCAGTTCTACTGTCACATCGTCCGACCGCCCTCCACCCCTGGCCCTTCCAACACGGTGTATGGCTCAACTCTCTGGCACTTTTCTCAACTATGTATACCGTGAATTCGGAACCTAGTTGGCATCTTGGGCTGGACTGTAAATACTTGATACCTCCATAAAAAGGTGGTGCAGAGACCCTGGCCAATGTGCAGCTCCAAACTGGGCTTATTCGGCTATATATGCGCACCGGGAACTCCACGGTCTTGCTGCTGCTGGCGCGGGATGTGACTATCGGTGTATTGCGTAGACCGTCTGACATCCTAGAATTTTGAAGGCATTCTTGGGGAGTTTCACGTGTCGGGCCTTAAAGACACACGCCTGTTTTCACAGTCCGAGAAGTGCTCTTGAGGCAAAATCCCCAGGTCAGTGCGTGGAATTCTGCCGTGATTTCAGTACCGACAAACTTCCCGATTGCTAAATGTCAGCGATACTCTGTACTTTTCTCCTGTTGTCCGGCACCCACGTCTCCCCGTACACTATTATATCGCAGGGCTCCAACCTTAGGCATTCCCACATCCAACATTGGATACACCAGAGATGGCCGATTATATTCGAGCTCGTCGATATGGCTGATGAATACCAATTCATATTCCTAACCCTATGTCTTGACCTGCAAAATAAGTGTCAACATTCCAAGTCAGTCTCGTTGATTTTTCCACTACAGTATAAGGGTCCCATCATATATCACAGCAACACGATTTATCCAGGAAACAAACGAATCCGATGATCTGCCGTACGACACTCTGAAAGCGACTGTCAATTCCTCCTTAGAGATGACCAAGCATATATGATTTTCCCGCTGCAGAGAATGACCGCCAGTGTATCCCCGAACTCCGCACGACAACCGAAGGGCAGTGACAAGGTATCGAATTTGATACTTATCCTAACGGGGAAATGCCAAATTTAGAACGGGAACTATTAGTCCACCTGCTAAACCACCGAGCAGGGCATTTTTACCTGGAGCTTGAGAAAAAGTTACTGAGCAAAACATCACGAACTCAGGTCAGTCTAGCATATTCATGTCCTTCACACGCAGCAGATTTATGTTAGACAACGACTCCGCTCTCGATTTAGTGTGGGGAAATACCAGCTGCACGTGACTTGGCAATCGAGCACTACATCTACAGGCTAATGTCATGGATTGGTGCAATCCGGTTTTGCAGTGAGGACCTCATCATTGAGGGCGCGGACCAGGGGGCTGCTTCCCAGTCCGGCACTAAAAACTGGAAGGAGATCAATGGCCGAGCCTTTCAATGGCCCCTGAGCTACTCCGACGTTACAACTGAAATCCCCTTGATCATGGTTATGAATCTTATGATGATTGCGGCCGCGCCCGAGCCAAAAGGACAAACGCCAAATCACCACTGAGATGAGCGCGCCTTACTCAACTATTATGGGCGGAGAGGCACCCAAACCTCTCAGGCCTGCGCATTTGAGGCCCGCCATTTACCCGAGGTTTGATCGCCCGAACTGATGCATCATTCAGGGGTCCAACGGCGGAAGCCGAGATGCATTCAATAACTAATGATGGACTCGAATTCCGCTTGGCCAGTGTGGCCCAGTGAATCCTCTATTGATGACATCGCTTTCTTCATACCAGCACCGTATATGTCGGGGAATTTTTCCTGACCATCCCTCTCAGGCCCCTCACTTGCGACAGGAAATATAACTCGCTGTCGTTGGTATTCTTCAGGCAGGTTACCAGCCGCTATTAGGTATTCCTATGCCAGACCCATGTGTGATACACTTCCTTGGACGTACAATTGTCGCGGCAGCGTTCAACTCAGTGTTTGTTTTCCGTCTTATTCACTTCAATGAACTTTTCCTACCACGCCTGATGCACCTAGATTATTCGGTATTGTCACGGTGCAGACCGCAACATACATACGGCAGTTCAGAGATGATTCATGGGTCTACCAATTTCTGGTGAGCGTCCTAATTTCTACCCCAGGCAGGGGACTCATATCTGTTTAATCATTTTAGGTCGGAATTAATTTGTGAGTGCATTCTCGAAACAGTTGAGATCCTTCCTGCCCGACTCATCCTGTTTAGCCTCATAATTCTCCTTCAAGGGTATCTCTCTTCGTGCTCACCCCTTATACCGCTCCTGAATTGATTTTCAGCATCGCACTGCCAGCTGCGATATTCCGCGTTATTGATAACGAATTCTCTCTGAATGAAAAGATACCATTTGGCTGGTTAGTTTCGAGATATTCCTGTACTCGATACTAGTGCCCGAATAAGTGCGCTCGCTTACCACAGGGGGTTTTTTGTACCGCTTTCAAGCGTTGTAAGGATTTCTTGTTAGCTTTTTTTTCGAGTGTCTGACATGGCCGCTCTTCCAGGCATTCATACCAGTCTTATTGCACTCGTATTTCGTTCGTCTCATCCATCTCGGTAGGTCAAGCCGTTCCCTTGGATGGATCAATAGAACTGATACTCGTTGACGGCATTAATAGTTGGACAAAAGCGCGTCCTGACCATCTTCATTGTGCGTTCATTACTCTTTGGCGTTACTATACAGGCTACATCATGACTTTCCAAGCTCATCCCCGTAATGGCCGAATTCGGTAAGTTACATAGGTGGATCTTGTTTAAGACTTCGCTTGCTTCATGTCTCGCGCGGTAGTTTTTGGCGTAAGTGAGTCCGAACGAACTTTTCACCTCCTTCTCGTACTGATATCTATTCTAGTAGTCATCCAACATGCGTTCGTCCGCTTTACGTGTCTCTGTTTATCGTCAACTCCTAATGGTCCGCCATAGATTCCAAATGCCGCCGACTACCCTTGGACGACAAGGAACTGGGATGCGACCATATTGGGGTGCATTCCTTTATATCAACGTAATGCTATTCTGTGACATTTCGACCACGGTCACATTGTGGGTTGTTTTAATCCGTCGAAGAGTTGGCGCCCGAAGGTAAGTTGGGGTTTACCTTCTTATTGAAAAGGAGACTTTCGCTGAGGGTCAAAAAGAGCAGATGGACCTTTGGAATCTCTGGCCTCTGGCGCTGCTTTTACTGGTATTATTACATCGTAAGCGTATATCTTGCTTGAATTCTTGGCAGCCGTCCCCTCATCCTTGTTTATCTCAGTCTAACATCCTGCGCCCCACTTGCTGTGTGGAATTCTTTCGTACTTCGATATGTTCAAAACTCATCTGCTGTGACCCAGGGTTCCATCATCGCACGCTTAGACTTGGTCCATTTGATTGGGATTTCGATTGGTTCCAGTAAGTCACACGCAGCACATACGTTGTCAGTTAGATCAAGGTGAAATGGTTCCCACAGTATATGCTGTAGCCTTAATGATAAAGTAATCTCCCTGGACCATTTCACGTGTTTGCGGCACAATACTTACTCTATTGCAGTGTACACCTTCGTTCTCGACTCCGTACAGCCTCCAACACGGCCACGCTGTACCCTAGAAACCGAGTTAGTAAAAACCCTAGCGCATTGCCTGCGTCTGCCAGCTTCTCTCATCAAAAATACTCTAGAAATCAATTTCCGTGATTGTGACAAGGGAAGTAGCACAAGAATTACAATCTGAGGGGAAGCATGAACGAACTTTGCGGACTCGAATGACCCAGCTTGATGTAAGCGCTTGCGCCGGTCTCGATCTCTCGCTAATGTGGATTCTAATAGTTGGAGTACCCAGCGACTGAATCACCCTTACATCACCCGGACAACCCCGCTTTCGAAGCTTAACACTACATTGCGTTACTGGACCATCTGTACATACTCTGTCGATAGTCTGAAGTTCCACAATGCTTATTCTGCTTACCGAAGACCCGGCCAGATTGATCCAACAAAGGACCATGCCCCGCACCCAGGTCAATACATATCAGGGAAGCCGTTTTCAAAGAAATCTGCGGGTTTGATAACATATATGTAGGTGGAATCTATCACTCAATTTAGCATTTTAATTTTTGACGGGAGGCCCAATGGTACCGTGGAACTCCCTCTATGAGCTGAATTCGATTGAACAATCCATTTGTCTTGGTCAGGAAACACCTTGGGCCCGCTGCAAAATATATCTTGGTTTCTGTTACAGTGAGGATGATTACTCACGTGTCCGGAATGCTCGCGGTGGTTGGCCGAGCTTGCGAGGCGTTGTTTTTTTGACCGTGGTTACTTGCAGTCCTGTACCTCAATGCAAGTTGTGCTCGATTCAGAAGCCTCTTTGTGCACGGGGCTAGCTACCATGCTGCTGAGCCACTGCTGCCTATGTGCAAGGAGAGAGCCATCACTGTCGATCATTGCTGTCTGTCAGGACGCCGCGCCGCTGTGCCGTTTATCTAAATGAGGAAATCGCCTTCACTGCCCCCGCAGATTGTTTTTGTGCATGTGGCAACTCTAGCAACCACACGGCGAGAAAACCGCTCTGCAAAGTCATCATCGATGAGGCGCACTGGCAGACTGAGAGGCACCCGAACCCTTCGCGCGAATGATGCGTCCATGGTCGACTCGAAACATTGGTACCGTATTTGCAAATTCCCCTGTCACTTGAGACAAGCCCAAACGGCGGAAGCCGAGAGGTATTCAATTACTATGGGTGGACTCGAATTCCGCTCGGTCCTCCCATTCCCTGTAGCTTCATGCCAGCGCCGTCTACGTCGGCTGGGGATTCTTCCTGACCATTTCCTCTCCCTGGCTTCTCACCTGCAATATCTAAGTCGTCAGTATTCATATGCCAAACCTATCTGCGATACACTTCCTTGGGCGTGTAATTGTTGCGGCGGCGTTCAACTCAGTGTTAGTTTTTCTTTCCACCTTATCCACTCCAGTGTGCTTGATTGAGCCTTTCCCATCGCGTCTGATGTACCTAGACTATTCGGTGTTATCACGGTGCAGACCGCAACGTACGTGCGGCGGTTCAAACATGATTCATGGGCTTACCGATTTCTGGTGAGCGCCCTAATTTCGACTCCAGGCAAGGGGCCCACGCCTGTTTAATCATTTTAGGTCGGAATTAGTTTGTGAGTACATCCTCAAAATCCTTCCATCCTGCCCGGCTCAACCTGTTCAGCCTTATAACTTTTTTTCAAGGGTACTTCTCTTTCATCTTCACCCCTCATACCGCTCCCCAACAGATTTTCAGGGTCGCACTGCCAGCCGCCGTATTTTACGCCGTCAATAACGGGTTCTCTCTGAATAGGACACCATTTGGCTGGTTAGTTTCGAGACATTTCTGTATTCGATGTCAGTGCTCGAATAGCGCGCTCGCTTCCCGCAGGGGTTTTTTTGCACCTGTTTTAAGCGTTGTAAGGATTCCTTGAAGACCAGTTTCTTTTGAGTATCTAACAGGTTACACTTCTAGGCCTTCATACCAGTCCTATTACATTCGTATTTCGTTCGTCTCATCCATCTCGGTAGGCTAGGCCATTCCCTTGGGTGAATGAGAGCTGATATCTGTCGATGACATCAATAGTTGGACAAAAACGCGTCCTGACCATCTTCATCGTGTGTCCCTTGTTCTTTCGAGTTGCTGTGCGGGCTAAGTCCTGGCGTTTGTAGTTCATTCCTGTAATTGCCGAATTCGGTAAGTCTGAATCTTATTGGTTTAAGGCTTTGCTTGCCTCACATGCCTCGCGCGGTAGGTTTTGGCGTAAGTGAGTCTGATCCAACTTTTCGCCTCATTCTCGTACTGATATCTGTTCCAGAATTAGTCCAAAATCTGTGCGTCCTCTTTGCATATCGTCAACTCTCTGTATATTAACTTGTCCGCCATATTAGATTTCGAAGGCCACCAGATGTCCTTGGACAACTGGGCACCGGAGTGCGACCATATTGGGGTACATTCATATATATTAACCTACTGCTATTCTGTGACATTTCAACTACGGTCACATTGTGGATTGTATTGATTCGTCGAAGAGTTGGCGCCAGAAGGTAAGTTAAGGCTCGCCATCTTGTTGAAGCGGAGGATTTCGCTGAGGGTAGGGAAGAGCAGATGGATCTTTGGTGTCTCTGGCCTCTGGGGCTGCTTTTACTGGGATCATTACGTCGTAAGTGCATACCCTGCATGGTTCCTTGGGAGTCGTCACCTTACACTCCTTTATCTTAGTCTAACATCCTGTGCTCCACTCGCTGTGCGGAAACACTTTCTTACTACTCTGATATGCTCAAAACTCATCCGTTGTGCTCTATCCGTTCCAGAGTAGTATCACCGATCGCTTGGACTTGCTCAATACCATCGGGAATATGATCGGTTCCAGTGAGTCACGCACACGCGGTGCACATGTTGTCAGTCAGATTAGGGTCACACTGCTTCGGTCCCTACAGTTTATGCTGTCGCATTAATTATCAAGTAATGTCCCCGGGCTATTATGTGTGATTGCAGCACAATACTGAGTCCGTTGCAGTGTGCACCTGCGTTCTCGACTCCGTGCAACCTCTGATGCCGCCGTGGTATGCCCCAGAAACCTGGTTAGTAAAAAATCTTAGCCCATTACCTGCGCTTGCCAATTGTTCGCTTAATCCAACTACGCAGAAGTCTATTTCCGTGATGGTGACGAGGGAAGTAGCCCAAGAATTACGATCTGAAGGGAAGCATGAACGAACTTTGCGGATTCGAATGACCCAGCTTGATGTAAGCGCTTGCGCCCGTCTCGATCTCCCACTGACATGGTTCTAATAGCCGGAGTACCCAGCGACTGACTCGCTCGTATATTACCGAGACAACCCGGCATTCGAAGCTTAATGCTGTTATTGGACCATCTGTACATGATAGTCTAATTAAAATTTCACAATAGGTACCCTGCATGTCGACCACGCCCTACGCCCATGTCAATGGATAAGAAAAAGGTTGCTTTATCCGTGTTAATGAACCGTTGTCATCATTTACCTAAACTCGCTGATCGGACGCTTACGGACCTCAACTCGAAACATCGATGTCTGTAAATGCGGCCAATTTCGTCTTGTCCTTTATCTCGCCCTCAACAAGCCGGTCAGCTTCGATTCCCTGGCATGGCATTGTAGCAGTGAGAAAATTCAACGCTACTGGATGGTGAGGCTGTGAGGAAAGAGACGTACATCCTGGAGACGGATTATTGTGGGTATTGCTAGATTGACACAGGGACAGAATGGCATGAAGTCAGTTTGGCGCCGTGCAACCACGTCTTTCACGGACGAGTAATGGCCAAAGTACCTGTGAGACCATATTCCAGCCGATACTTGTTATTTGGATCTTTCCATCTGCGACCAGAGATATTGGTATTTTGGCGGTGTTCCGGGGATAAAATATATTTACATACGTTGGTCTATTTCCAACATAGATTATAATGCCTGTCGGACCATCCTCCGCGCCGAAAGCGGCCTTTATGTCCCCCTCTACGTCGCGGCAGTCCTTTTGCATATGGATGTAAGTAATTACTTAGATAACGGGAAGCAGGATATATGCACTCCACACCACATTTTCCCCGTTTCCGGGTCTATGTCGGCATAGAAAATCAAATGGGGGCGGTTAGGTGGTGATGGCCCTTTGAGAGTGGCGAGAAGCGCAGGAAGCGGTTCCTCGATGAGAGGCATGAAGAGCGATGTGATCTTGATTATGTAGACGGTGACTCGATGAGGCATATATGAATGGTTCTTGCCAAACTTGGGATGTGCTCGCATGACTGCATTTCACCACATTTTATGTTGCTCAAAATCAGTTACTTATTCGGGCCGCGACATCACTGCGAATGCAGGTGGTTTACATAGGTAGTAATTTTTTGGCCTGTCCTGTTTTAAGCGTCCAATGATCCGTTCAAAGTTGCCAGGAACGCTTTGTTCAGTAGGGAAAGAAACTTGAGCAATCTAATGATCTATTCCAGGACTAAGATCTCCTGCTCATCCCAATTTACACCGGGCAAACACACCTGCGATCCCTTTTTTTGATACGGAACGTTTATGGGTGAGATAAGGCTCGCCGTCTCCGTTTGTTTGCGTTTCCGGAGTCCATTGCCCTCTAGTTCCTAGATGCAGCGGCGATGAATTTTGCATCTCCAGTAAAGCGGATCAATTCCGCTAGAATATTTCCTCTGTCATCATCCCCATGCTGCCCAAATACCCGAGATTCACCCAGCGTAGGGCGGAGTCCTGCCCAGTCTTTCACACCATAAAACATAACACCCAGCTACTCTGAGGGTCCCCACTGTGCTAGCGGTGTCGGCCATGAGCCAAGCGCCATCCATCCATATCTACCTTGGGATCGTGGTCGTTTCGAATATTTTCGCTACTTCGTGCGTCCCTCGAGTTTGACTTCAGATTACTGAAAACATAGTTCGGAAGTCTTTTTGGAATTATAACGGTCCAAGTCTTCTGCTACTTTAAGCAATTTTCGAGGGATCATCGAATACTGAAGGGTTTGGTAGGTACCAACTTCGTCGTTTTTGATGTTGACTTACCGTACAGTGCTACTGGGACGTGATGTACAGGTTATTGGGTTATGGTACTCTTGATTCGTCATTCTTTGTGAAATACCGTGTTAAGCTCTGGATTGCGTGTGTGAAGGTTTCTCACTTTACTCGATCTGTGCGTTCCCGCTTTGTACTGCAACCCACTGCATGAGGCCCGAAATACACTCTTGCACTAGCGGTACCCTGTGGACCGGTTTGTTCGTGTTCCTTTTCCATCCGACGTCTTCTTTTGCGGCCAAAATATGTTGGTGCGTCTTCTTTAACTATCTCGGGTCAGCATCTGAGTTATGACATGCTAACGCCCTCCCTTCTAAGGACGATGTTCACTCCAGTTCTTTGCGATGTCTGTCAATTTTTTTTCCATGAAGTCCGTTGTTCCTTGACCCAATATTCAGACCGTTGCCGCCATAGCTTCCCAAGCTTACCTTGTGCATATCCTGTATAAATGTAAGTGCAACATACTGAACCTGCGTATATTCCCTGACGCGTTATTATCCCCAATCTTTTTACATCAAACAGTTTGGCGACGCAAACTATTACTAGCTTTTTTTGTAAGTTCTGTGGTCCCCCATAACGGTTTTTAGTGACAGAAAATCGCATCCTTCCATCTAAGATCATTGCTATCGTCCTCGAAATTGGTAAGTCGGTCAACAACTGTGCATCAATTGTTCTGCATGTTATAACTACGTGTTGACAAATGGCGCTCGAAGGCTTTGTAACTGGTATGAAATTTCCGATCCTTCCCTATTATCAGGTATCAGGTCACCACATTCATCCACATATAGCTGCTACATCTAGGATGTAAGGACGATATTAATCTTTGACGATGAAGCCCCCCTGATTTTTCCAGGCTGCCTCTAGTATCAATGACATTTGATCCCATCCAGCTTACACACCTCTGGTATAGTGCCCTAGCTACCCTCCTGATAGCGTCCACAGATGCGTTGATTTGTGGCTCCCTTGCGATCTCAATATGGCGACGTGGCGCCGCACGTTCCAGGTAAGATTCGAATATTCCACGTTCTCTTTGGCATTCCCTGACCCTCCTTTCAGAGGCAACGCTCACATGTGGTTTGTTTCCTATATTTTGGCAACAGGCATGTTAAATTCGTGCGTAATTTATCTTCATGGTTCCTTGGTGTGGCTAAACTTTCTGGATGACACTTCAGCACGGCCTCACTCGGCGCCTCTATCGTATGTCTATTTGTCGATAGCTACGCCAGAAGTCCACCACGTACACATAGGGTGTGTTCTGTTCAGAAGCTCAGTTGATCATCCCTTTGAGCGTATTGAACTGTGAATGTGAGTGCCTGCCCGGGCGTGACTCGTAGCTATTGCAATTCCATTTCTAATTTGGTCTGCTGTATAGTCTATGTCTTCGGCTTAATGGTCAAGTAGGGAGACCTTAATTTTGTTCTATCCGGTGTTTTGGTTTCTGATGAATCATCCAGTCTGCACTCCCGTTCACTGTTTCTGAGTGCCCGCGAAGGTCGGGATGAACGTCCAGAATTAGTACATTTTCCCTCCTTTGAATACTTTCCCAGCACTGACCCTTCTGCTAGCCGCTTACGTCCTTGTTTGTATCGGTGGTCAGGGAAGTTGATAAGAATTCGAATCACGAGGGAGAATATGAAGCTGCATTGTGGACTCGAATGGCCAGGATCGAAGTGAATAAATATCCACTGTGCTCCCCTCTTCGTGCTAACCAGCTCACATAGCCGCCAGCTGCTGTACCAGAGTCTAGGACATACGAGGATAACCCAGCATTCGAAAGCTCGTGTATTCCAGTGGGCTTGGAATAATCCTTTAGTTACTCCTAACTGCACATGTTGTTTATCCGATAATCTATATTTGCAGTCCATAATTTCCGCCGTCCGGAAACCGAGGCATTTGAGCGCATTTCTTGGACAACGCGAGTCGCGGCCGCATCCAATCTGTCTTCATCCCTGACAACAAACTCCGACCCGATCCGCCCTACGTTCTGATGCTTTCTGTTATTCATAGAATATTTCATATATCGTTAGATTCCTTGCCGTCGAATAGTGAGGCAAGCCAAATCCGTCCAGACATCCATTCCCACCCTAAAAATAGTACACTTGGCTCCTTGTTGATACCCAGGCGGATCATTTGAGCAAGTCTATTAAAAGTGTCCTTGTTATCTACTCCTTTTTTTACCATGTAGTCATATTCCACCACGTCCGTAAGGAAACCCACTCAAACAAGGCTCCAGGAACTCACTGTGCGTTCGCCACGCATACAAAACCAATGCCATCTAGTTTTGAGGATCTAAAGGAGCCAGGCTCTGAGGCTCTATCCGTCTTGGAAGAGCGCCATGGATCGTGTTTGAAACTGTGAATGCGTGCAAGCTGTACTCTGGTTCTCGGTCGTCGGAGCTGCGCGTTGTGTGGCCCACGTACGAGTCCCCGTTCTGGACACTTATCTGATCGTGCACGGCCAAGGTAGTGGAGGCGGGAGCGGAGGGGAGAACGATTAAAATGAGGATCACTGGTGAGACCAAATTGCATAATCAACCATACCCTCAACAACCAATGGACGGAAGGTGCCTTCAATCACTTCTAAACCGATGAGTAATCGGGCCTGTCGTGACCCCCTGCACGTGAGTTGAGACTACTATAAAGTAGACAGTACTTGTGGTATTCCTTCTCACCCCGAGCCCCCCAAAAAGGTCTGGCAACCCCTTGAAAACGGTGAGTTATATAGCCACTTTACGGCGCTACAAATCGCCATTGGCCGAACCAGGCACTCTTGTTACTCACACCTGTATCTTCGACCATCTTGGTAATGATTTGACTGAAGATCGTTCAGCAACATTGAGGGGCTCTATTTGGATATCGTCAAGCGCTTGTTGAATTGACCTTCAAATGTGTCACGTGGTTTCCTCGAGCGTTTTCAATCAATTTCGTCCCTTGGCTCAACCGTGGCACATCCTGGACCGACATGGGCGTCATTATTCCTGATCTCGCTCTGGAGAACCTCCATATGTACAAATATTCCGGGGTAGACAAGTGTGTGCTGTTCCTTTAAAGTTATTTTTAGTGGTTCCTTTGAGATGTGTTATTGCTGGTGCAGATCCATTCTGGGCAGATTATGTCTAAACAAGTTTTGGACGAAGATTGCGATGTTATTCCCAAGATTTATTGCTCCGAACACTGTGGGTCGCGTTGCACACGCATTTATAAGCAGTGCAGAGCGTACACCCGAACTGCGTCTTCTTTCCATAGATTACCCTTGCTGGACTGTTCCTTGTTGCGGTAAATTTTGCAACCTTGATACATTATGATTACCAGTATCTTGGTGAAACGGGGCGCGCACCCGGTCCACCTCAATGGATATATTTTACGTGAGTTCCCCATACGTTCGCCGCAGTGACCGTGTTGTCTCATTTGCTGCCCGTCTTCTCAAAGCTGGGCTGCAGGTCTTTTCATATATCAAACCTTAGATGCATGTGATGGGCAGGTTTGCTTGTAGTTTCTTATAAGATGGCCCCACTCAAGTCTCTGATGGTGCAGAATACAGGCTCGCAAAACTGGCATGGCTGGGCCCCTCGGTGAACTGTTCGATCATGGTATTTTCAATTTCTCGTCCTGGTTTTGCATGTCTCTTCAGCTTTATGATATTTAGGGTGCGACGCACTAAACACTATCCTGGAAGTTATCATGTGCTTAAGAGCACTGGACCTGACGCGGTCTTGGTGGACGGTTGCTTCGGTGACAGCGACGGTGGCGAATTTCTACCTTACCACTTGGGAGGAATTTCATACCGGTTTGTTCGATGACATTACCAAAGGAAGTTCTACCTGATGCCTGAGTCAGGTGTTTTGTATCTGGCATGTTTTCGGGTCCTGTGGAGGCATTATTATTATCGTGATCATCTACGTCTTGACCGGCATGTTTGGTAAGTTCTGCATTTTAATGGAGGTTGCCCCTTTGACAACTGGGTACAGGGACCGCATTCTGGACCACACCGTTTTTCTCTTTGCCTATTGCCTCTCAGTTTGCAAGTGCGATGGGCCTCTCTCCATCGATTCGACAAATCCCATTGAAGATAGCTTTCATGATCTTCTCCGCCTTTGGTTTGGGGTTCAACATTATTATCAGGTGCGTTCCGTGCTTCTTCAGCCAATGCTACTGCGTTCATTGTCCTTCCGTTAGCTATCGGAACGTGTATAAATCTTTAAAGCGGGGGAATTCCGGTCTGATGCCCATCCTCCGTCTCCTGCCTTTTGCATCAGTGTTGCACTGCATGTCGCTTTTCTTTCCAGCCCGCTTGTGGGGAGTCCTGGGAAGTCAATAGTACGTTCAGGCTACATGATGCCATACCTTTGTGTATGGGGTCTCGAATTCGCACACCTAGTAATTCTCGACATCCTTTTAAGGTGAATGGTCTGACATTTGCTATAGGTGGGAAAGTTATCACGGCGCATATTACGAAGACATCCTTCCCCTTTTGGAATTGGGACTGGTTATGGATAGCCATAATCGCCACCGACGGGCACGCCCAGAAGCTTTTAGGGCGGTAAGCATCGATGTTTACGTTGGACATAGCCGGCTGCTCAGTTTTCGCAGTTCCCCAATTCTTGCATCGAGTTCCATCGGCCAGGCGGCTGTTGTCTTCTTTTCCTTGGGAATCCTGCTGTTCTCCTATGGGCGATATTGTACGTTGGTTATTCAAGATATCACAAATTATTTAGGGATTGCTTGTTTCACTGTCAGGCAAGTAGCTCATGGTTGTCATCGGCAGTACTCCTGTTAACGGGATCTATAGGAAAAAAAGTGCGCGTGGGGAATGGAAGGCCATCTGGGAGTTAGAGGCAGAAAAGTTCCAATAAAGGGATATGTGTCTATTTCCGTGCTCAAGAGCATGTTCTTTGGAATTACAATTACATGCCCTGTAGACTCCCTATTTGGCATTGCAGATGGATACGAATCACTCGACGCCCTCAAGATGTAGCACATCCGAACCTGCACCATATATGACATCCCAGTCAAGGTTGCATTCCTGATTCTCCTTAGAGAACGCACGGATAAGGTTGATGCGATCTTCACGATACTCTGGACTCTTCGGGGTCGTCGGTTTGGCATCTTCCCGCCTCTTTCCCGTTGCCCCCTGTCCCCATATGTGCTTTTCATCTGCAGTGCAGAAGGTACCAATACATCGGAATGTAAGACTGATACGAACGCCTTCGGTGTCGGGAGAGAGTTCGGCTTCCGATTTCTCGACATCAGGCCGTTTGTCACGATTTATGGCATGAAGCCAATATCGATTTGTCTTCAAACCCAGAATGAACTTTGAATTCACGTTCAGATTCATGTCACTGTGAACATTCGATGTGTTTACCATTGAGTTGTGGGGCAGCGGAATTCGGATCGGACGTCTATAATTTGGTGAGCCAAAGTCGGGAGTGGGTTCCCCTGCTGCCTTAGCGGCTGACTGAGCGGTTGACTTCTTCGGCCTGAGAACCATGGTACGCTGAGCGCCTAAGCTAACATTTACGATTTTGGAGTCTTTCACAACATCGATCGTTTTGTCAGAATGCTCCGAGATCGCATCATTGCCATCTCGGTACATCTGGATGAGAACATGATTGAGGCTGTGCGTCAGTACCTTCTCAACTTCGCGCTTGATGTAGAGGACGGTCGGGGTGAAGGGGAGACACGGTGGGGAATTGTCTGCAGGATGGCGGTAGATCGGAAAGCTAGGATAAACGATAAGCTGCACGAATATAGGTCCGAAGATTACGTACGTACGATCCATCCTCTTCCACTTGGCCCTGAACAGCGACGAGGCGGGGTACTTCGTTCCCGCGATGATTCATCGCCTGCCAGGCGACTTCATTCTTTAATAAGTCAAAGGCAGTGATGATAAGCTCTCCTTTCAACACGTTGTTTACCAAATAGCAGTCGTTACTGTCAAGCTCAAGCAGGGACGCCATGAAGCGGAGATGACTCCCTTAAAACTCATTGGAGTGCTTGCCATGTTCCAGTGGCTGTGCAACCCCGACGACGGATGCAACTGCCCACAAACGGAAACCCACAATAATCCAGCAGCCCCATTTATGGCCACGATACATGGCCCTCATCTTGCGCAAAGGGCTGCGCAGCCAGGATACAGGCATCAGAACCAGAACTACCAACCGGGATTGCTTCAGCCCGGACAAGTTATCCATGTCAATTCCTATGTGGTGACCATTGAGCGATACTTGAGCCAAGGTTCGTAGGTGATAACAACGTTAGCTCGGTGGGTGATCACGATCCTAACCAAACCTTTATGTTTCAAAGGTGGCTTTGCTCACGTGTATGTAGTCCAATCGCAAGCGCCAATCAATGGAACGCGCCAGCATGTGCTTAAAAGGATCGCTGTCTCCAATGAGAGTATGTTGAGAGATGTGAAGAAGGAGGTTGACGTCATGGTATGGCCTAGTAGCTTGGGCCTGTATCGGCTTCCCTGACTGTGCTCAAAGAAAGGCCTAAGGGGCCACCCGAATATCGTCAACCTCATTGATGCCACCTCGATTCCCTCCCCTAATGGGACATTTGAAGTATTTATCCTCATGGAGTTTTGCCCAGGTGGTGGAATTATTGATATGATGAACCGTCGGTTAAGGGAAAGATTGACGGAGGCGGAAATATTGCAGATATTCGTTGACGTTTGTGAGGTGCGTACCTCAACCATATTGTGTCTCAAGATCGCGCTTCCATTCTGCATATTCAGGGGGTAGCGTGCATGCATAATCTTAAGCCACCTTTAATCCATCGGGACCTCAAGGTTGAGAATATCCTACAGGCATCCCAAGCAAGCTTCAAATTGTGTGATTTTGGTTCCGCAGTAACAGTTCATCCACGTCCACCTTCGACAACCGCAGAGCTACGCGCCTTAGAAGCCGATATCAACAGGCATACCACATTTCAGTATCGTGCTCCGGAGATGATAGATGTCTATCTCAGAAGGCCTGTGGATGAGAAGTCCGGTGCGATGAGTCTTTAGTATCCCCACCCTCTACTTCTCAACATATTGTTGTGTGAACTCGGGGAACAGATGTTTGGGCGCTGGGTGTGCTGCTCTACAAGCTATGTTACTACACTACCCCTTTCGAAGAACATGGACAATTGGCCATAATCAACGTCTCCTATCGGATTCCCTCCTATCCCGTTTATTCTAATAGTATGAAGGTCTTAATCGGTATGCACGTTTTTCGATCCTGCTCAAATGCTAGACTAAAACACACCAAGCGTCTACGCTTCAAGAACACGGCGCACAACGCCCCACAGTTTTCGATCTCTTGGAACAGGTCCATCGTCTCCGAGGGACGAAGCCTCTATTCCGTTATGTATGCTTGGTCCACTCCTTTATCGCCAACTTCCACAGTTGACTTTGTTTTCAGGATCGACCTAAACTAAGCACTCTGCCGTTACAATCTCCTGCAACATTTTCATCAACATCTGTCATTCAAGCAAAAACCTACAACCCTTCGTCTGCGAAAGCGGCTGAAACTCAGAAGCAAGTCTTTGATGCACTTCAGCCAATGCGTAGAGGGCGTCCATCAGTAGGAACTAGCCTTGCTCCAGCATCGGCACCCCTCTCCCCTATCAAGTCTGGCCCAAGCAAAATAACCGAACGGCCAAGAAGGTTTTCTAAACCCACGGCTGATTCTGTGACTTCGAGCCCGTCAATTATCTCAGATATGAATGCATGGAGGATCGGAACGACTCACCACCCCACAACAAAGTCGCAACCAAGAGTGAACGGGTTTGAAGACTCTTTCCAGACATCATCATCTGCTCAGGTCATATCTCCGAGTCCATCTCCCAAACCCCCTCCTCTCCCGAACCGTAATCGACCGCCTCCCCCTGCGCGCCAACATCATCGGACTGGGCCGGTGGTGCCCATGAACGCGAAACAGGGTGCGTTTGAGGCCCTTGACCCCACTTTGGTGTCGAGACCTCCGCCGAGAACGCTCGGTTCTTTGTCCATATCTACGTCCGTCGATAGCTCCACTGGTCCTGGCCTACGCTCACCGTCAGCTCCATATTTGGGCCCAAAAGCTTCTAAGGTTACTGGCGATTACCTCTCTTATTCCAGTACAAGCAATAAAGCGTCCCGATCACCATCTTCGCCTTCAGCTCAACTTTCAGTTGAAGAAAGATTTCCTTCGCTAGAAGGGTTGGACCAGCACTTTGCCAAGGCAGGCATTGGTTCGCCCTCACTTTCTTCTAACAAAGTGTCGGGGAAATCATCATCGTCTGGTTTGGTCCTACCAACCCTTGGCAATACATCATCCAGCCAGACTTCGCCAGCCCCGGATCGCTTTCAGGCTTCGATTCGTTCTCTTGGATCTGGGACACCTGCAGGGACTCGGACTGCCTCCACTCGTCCACCAAGTCCCAGTGGTCCTCGATCCCGGTCCCCTCTGACGAGTCCAGAAATTCGGCCTAGGGATTTGCCACCGCCCAGTTCGTACGGGATGCAGCAAGCAGGCACTCGTTTTGCGACCGCTTCCTTTTCGCCTTTGTCTACACGGCCCTCAGTGGAGAAGCTTCCGGGTCATGGCGCAAAGCCACCGGTAAATCATGCAACGAAGCCATCCTTATCGAAACTCGATGTTGGGCAGAGTTCGTCGGCCCCGTCCTCACAATCTTGGTCCAAAGAATCTCCCGGCACACCTGCTGTTGTTGCGCAGACAAGGAACTTGCTGGATGAAATCTTTGCATCTGATGCGTCTCTGCCATCGCCATTGGTCGCAAGTAGTACCAGGCACTTGGTTCCACCGCCCGTCGCCACGAGCTACCGGGGAGACGCTCCCAGTATACCCAAAAGCCAAACGCCTTCTCCCCGCTTGCAAGGTGCTCTGCGACCTCCTGAAAGGAGAAACTCGCCCAGGAGTGGAGAATCGAGTGGAGGGGACGAGAACCCCGAGGACCCTGTACCGCGTCGTGCCTCTCGTGTGTGGGGTGTCCCGCGGGCCACTTCTCCTTCGCAATCCCCGAATTTAATACCCTCGTCAACTAGGGGGGTGTCCCCCACAGGTTCGAATCCTGCCCGGAAGAGCTATCATGGACCATCTCATGCGAGGAAAACCTCAGCTTATGATCTTATTGATGCCCCACCTCCCACCTCAAACTCTGTGGCCACGCATACCGGGGGTCAGAGGAGTCCCTCTCGTCAGGGACGCCGGCAGGCCTCTGCATATGATTTAGTGGATATTGAGAAGCCTCTTGCATCATCTATCACGCAGCCAATGGGCACGCAATTGGGACAGAGCCCTCAAGACAAACAGTTCACCGGGAGTCGAGTATCATATCATGATAGGCAATTTACAGGAAATCGGGTACCAGGCGGTACTTACTCTTCCCCCTCTCTGTCGCCCGTACCCAACCCCGCTAACGCCAAGATACAAGGCGGCCCCCGTCCGCGGCCTCAGTCGATGTTCCTTACAAGCTCGAATTTGTTAATCCCACCCAGTGTACCTTCGGATGTGTCTACACCGAACGGAACAGGTGCATCACCGAGACGAGAATCCCATCGTAGATTATCGATATCGGATATGGTGTCGAAGTACGAAGAGGTAGTACGCGGTGCATTAGCTCCGGAGATTTCGCGTCAAGGAAACGTCTCAAAAACTCCAACTGGGGCATTCCCCCTTACTAAGGTTACTACACCAAAACTCCTGCCGACTACAACGCCACCATCGACTTCCCCAAGTAAAGCACACGCTACACAGCCATCTTCGCAATACAAGCCTCAACGGTCCCCAGTCATGACTTCTTTCCCGCCCTCTGGTCTTGCACAGAGCACTGATCCTGGTCCTTTGAATTCCCCTGTCACAAGGAGCTATACCCGGCCAGCGGCCAACACACCACTACAGCACACTGGCCTGCCCACTGTCAAAAGACTTAGGGAGCCGTCACCCGAGAACGAGCAGCAACCATCACACGCTCCGCGGACGGAGAGCACAAAGTTGAACGTCGTTCCCCCTCCCGATTTCACGGGCAGGCAGGACCGACCGCCATCGCCCGCTCGACCAGGGAGGGTCTCTCCCGCTGCTCACTCGCCCACTCCTGAGCGACCTTATCAAGGCGTGAGTAAGCTTATCGATCAGTGGCAGAAGAAGTCTGAGGCTGCGATGGGTGAGTCGAATGTCATTGGGAGAAAGCCGCTAGGTTCTGGTCGGACATTCCGGTAATGCTGAGTAGATGAGATTTGGTTTTTGGTTTTTATACGGATGCATTGTACACGGTAATGCTCAGATAGAGATTGTTCCTGAAGTCCACATTGAAAGTTCACGATAAACCTAACCAAGAATCTATCGGATGCAAAGTGCGAGGAAGAGCTTGACCCAAAGATCATACCGCGACCCAGGGTATTTATATAATGTTATCTACCATCCATCCGACTTAAAGCGTCTCTGCATTGAGGTCGAAGAATGATCCAATACCCAGCGCCTACAGGTGGCGCCTCCCTCATGTTATGCTTCAAACCAACCGGTAAATCTATCCTTATCGTAGGATCAAACCATCTTGCGGCCTCTCGGACATTCTCATCTCTCGAAGCGGACGCAAAAATTGTCATTGCGTCATCCGCACCTCGCTCTGAGGCCTGTGGCGAGCTGCGATGGAGATTAGAGAACGGGCAAATATCTCAATGGTTCAACTTGGATCCTGGACTCGATGGCGCAGATATTGCAGACCTGCTCGATGATCATCTCGACATCACTCTCGTTTGCATAACGGATACACTAGTGGGCCCTGATACAAGAAACCGTCGTTCGTTTGCATCTGCATCTCTGATAAAGCACATATGCGCCAAGCGGAGAGTACCCATTACCGTCGCCGATATTCCTCCTCTTTGCGATTTTGTTTTTCCATCCACACACCGCTTCGACCTGAAATCCTCTAATCTGTCTTCTCATCTCCAGATTGGTATCACTACGAATGGAAGAGGTTGCAGGCTTTCCGGTCGCATCAAACGCGACATCGTATGTAAATTGAACCCTTCGTTCCCCGATGCCGTAGAGAAAATGGGTGAACTGCGAGATATGGCTAGGAGTGAACAGCCCCTTCCCAACGGAGCAGTCATAGATGAACTGGACAGGGATGATGACGCAGGGGCCACACCGCTCAATGCACCCGTGACTCAGCTAAACACTGCTGTACTCGCTCAGGAGGGTCCAGCAGATGTGGCCTCTAGGAGGATGAGGTGGGTGTCACAGGTAAGCCAATACTGGCCTGTGGATCGACTTGCGTCGTTAGACAAGGATACGATGAGCCAAATACTTGCTCATTCCTTGCATCACGCGAATGGTGGTTCAGCGAATGGCGATGGGGTAACATCAAGCCATGCAGCTGAGCTGCGTGATGGCGAGTATCCTCAATCCTTCGCCTATCTCCCATTAGACTAATCACAGTATATTTCAGGGACTCAATCTCGGCATGGCATCCACCTCCCCCGCATCAGACCGCAAGGGAAAATATATCTCGTCGGCGCTGGGACAGGTCACCCTTCCATGCTTACCGTTGGAGCAAAAAAGTGCCTAACCGAACTTGCCACACGCGTACTATCCGACAAGCTGGTGCCGGCGGAAATTATTGCCCTTATCCCATCTCATATACCTGTATACATTGCCAAAAAATTCCCAGGAAACTCAGAAGGCGCACAGAATGAATTGTTGAATATGGCTCTTGAGGGTGCGCGGAACGGTGAAGTCGTCGTGCGGGTGAGTATGGGTTGGGATCCTGTTATACAGCTGCTTATAGAACCTGTGGATGAGGATATCTAGTTAAAACAGGGAGACCCAATGGTGTATGGCCGAGGTGGCGAAGAAGTCCTCCATTTTAGAAAGCATGGTTTCGAACCGATTGTCATACCTGGTATATCCTCTGCGCTCGCAGGTCCTGTTTTTGCGGTATACCTGCAACGCAGCGGGGTGTCTCTGAGATGTTATTAATTGGTACGGGTGTAGGGCGGAACGGTAAAGAGGTTGAATTACCAGGTTACGAGCGTTCCAGGACACTTGTTATCCTTATGGGCGTTGCGAGGTTACCGCAGCTCGTCGGGAATCTCACGAAGCGTGCCGATGGGGACGTGGGACGGAGAGCGAAGGGGGCTGGGTCACCATACCCTGATTATTTACCGATTGCAGTTATCGAGCGGGCATCTAGCGTGGATCAGAGACTTGTTGCGTCGACACTTGATGGGATCGTAGATGCTATGGAACGAGTGGGAGAACAGCGGCCACCAGGGATGATGGTTGTTGGATGGGCCGTCCTTTCCCTTGAAGGGGAAGGGGATTTGACCGTTTTGGATGATGTGGCCAAATGCAACGACGATGAAGGTGTGCTGGAAAAGAGGGATATGGAAAGGGTAGATAGGTGGCTTGGGGGAACCAAACATGTTGTGAGGGACGGGCTAGGGAGTGCGTGGCAGGAATTTCTGGATTAGCTTTTGTGTTTAGGGTTTTCCTCATTCGCACTTGTAGTTTTGGAGGTCCAGCTTGGAAGGGATTTCTGAACCGTACTTGTTGCTGATTCTGGGACAGAGTTCCCAATGAAGGGCAGGACCATTTGTAGGTCACTACCGCATTGCCATTCCTTGTTCTCAGCGTGTATCCTGAAGTGGTGGTGATATTCCCCTATGGGGGCATGCCCGTGCGGAACTGCGATCCAGCTCCCTGAAGCGGTTGGTCGTTCTTAGTGAGCGTGAGATGATGTGGTTCGCTGCGTAGAAGCCAGAACGCGGGGTATTCGGTGTGTTCGCCCAACGGTGTTGCCATGCTTCTTCCTCCCCCTCTTGTGCAGGTCCACTCACGGTAAGCCAGCAATCCAAGCAAATTTGAAATAGGTACACAATTTGATTATTGAATTTGAAGTTCTTTAAATTCACATCACATGACCGTGTTGCCCTTGGGCTCGGCACTCAATCCATTCTTCACCATGTTGCGCGTTTCTCGACAACTGGGGAGTCAGATCTCTTTGACACATAGGGGAGCTGCTACTTCTCAGATAAGAGGAATTGCTCAAACCGTAAAAGTATGTGCACTGAGTAGTAGCTTACAAACTCGGTCTGATTCGATGTGCTCTATCATTATCCCTCATACGGGCACCTCTACTTCTGTTTTACAGTCAATCCTTCACGGTTCCCCTCAGGCGAAGAGGGAAGGCGAGCTTGAGATTCTGCAACATTCTAGGCTCGTAGGAAGAGGGAAATATATTGTGCGTCGGCATCCGATTTCTCCCTGGTGCTGGCCGCTGAGGTCCTGATCAGCTCATATCCTCACCAGCATTCATTTGAGAGTGAGCCTGGCTCGACTAACGATTGGTTGTGCTTGTAACATGTCTGAATACGACGCAGCCCATCGTGTGAAGCCTGACCGGTTGGACGAATACAAGAAAGCAGCGTATGAGATGTCGTCGTTCTTAGGAGTGGCATCCATGCTCACCGCTCTTTTGGTGCTGCAGCGAAGAGTTTTACACCGGGATAGTTAGCGATGAAAGTTTGCACGTCAAGCTTACAGGTGAGCCGTTGTTCTTCCCATGACATGCCCGCTGAAGACAATGTATGTGTAGGGAGCTGGGAAACAGTCGTGGGCGAGCTAGACACTTTCGGTAGTCTCTTTCATGTGGTTCTGCATCTCGTATGTTCGGCCACTGAACTATCTTTTCTAGTTCACATACTTGAATACGAGAATTACGGCGGTTTGGACAAGTCGTCTGCCCTCATTCGAACATCGAAGGTTAGCCTTCATCTTTTGGGTCTTTTATGCAGAACTCACGCTTGCGTTCATCTCCCTCTCTCTTTCCCATGCGTGTGTTTGGCAGCATAACGATGTTTTTCAGAAGATCCTACCTCACATTCAATCTCGCTCGACTCAACTTTGCCAAGAGTTCGCCTTCCTACCTTCTTCTCCACCGCGAGAGAAGGGGGGCATATTTGAACTGAGGAGTTATAGTCTTCGACCTGGGAAACTGCTGGAATGGGAGACGTCATGGTATGCCATGCTTTGAGTCCATTTCGCACTTAAGGATCACGCGTTCTGGGGTTTTTCCTGATGCAGGCGAGCAGGCATTGAAGCACGCAAGAAGACTATTGCCCCTGTCGGCGCTTGGTTCTCGCAGGTCGGACATTTACACCAGGTTGATCACATCTGGCAGTACGTCCGGTTCATTGATCTCAGCCTCGCCTTGCCAAACCTATGGCCCTAAAATTGACGCCATATATCAGGTACGACAGCCTTGAGAGTCGGAAGGAGCTTCGGGAAACAGCTTGGAATACACCAGGTTGGAGCGATACTGTCGTGAAGGTTAGTCGGACGATCGTTTCCTGTTGATCGTTTACATTCTCGCCCTGTGTTCCCTTCAGACCGCCGATTTGTCGACTTCTATGCATACGTCAATCCTGCTGCCATTGCCATTCAGCACGTTGAAATGATCTGCAATTTACCAGAGGGCAGTTCGCCCTATATGGACTTCCAAATTACATCTCCATTTGAGTCTGGTTAGGGAATATGATGTACACAGTAAAATCAAAACGTGTGAGCATAATAAGTACTTCGTTAACGAAATGCACTAGTCCGCTCGCCCGAACTCATAAGGATACCTGTACAACACATAAATAGCTACCATCATTTAATGGACCCAGCAAGCAGAACGATACGATACGCAAGAATTACTTGAGCCTGAACGGCGTGACTAGATCATAGATTTCCTCGTTCCCTCCCCTAGCACCTTTCTTACGGCCTGGCATTACTCTGTTGAACATCCCCACGACGTTGAGTCGTCGACTCGGCGGCCGCCGGTGGCCTGAACTTGCCCTCCAACTTCTCGGGCAGCATCATCATCCTTTGGATACAATGAATCAACGATCTTGCTCAATCGGCGTAAACCGGAAGAGTCGTTTGAGCGCCGAGACTCAGCAAGTAGATTTTGGAGATAGATCGTGACATCTGGGAGTTTACGAGGCAGAGGCAGTAAAGGATCTTGGCAGACGAACACCTGCGAGCCATGACCCAGGTTATGAATAACTGCCTCTGGTAACGCAGTGCGATACGGCCTTCTGGAAGTATCCGTGCTCTTGGAAGATGGCGACAAGGACTGTGACACTGGGCCCGCACCAGCGCCGTTTACCCGATTTTGAGGTTTGGCAACCTCGAACCAAAGGACGGTCACCCACTCGTTCGTGACTGCAGGCCTGCGAACAAATTGGAGGGTGGGACGCAGGTAGACTTCATTCATGTCAATCGCCATGCGTGCTTTATGGGACGCTTCAACAAAAGCATGACCAAGGGAAGCGAGGAGACGAAGAAGTTGGCGAAAGTTAGGGACGGCAATAAAGAAGGCTTCGTGCGCTTCACAGGGTATTTCATCCGGGAAGGGATGGCTGAGTTTGGAAGTGCATCTTTCGTTACAAGTCTGAGCTGTCCAAATCCGAATGCTAAAAGAGAAACGATGATGAGTTCCTCCGTAACTAGATCGTGCTCCTGAATACCTACACACTCCCCGCATAAGGTCGCCGAGATAGGACTCCTGGGAAAGATCAGGACGCACCACATTTGGTGGTGGTAGGTTTGATGGTTCTGTGTCTGGAAGTGTTCGTGTCCTTGCCAAGGGTGGGCGGGTTGAAATGCTGGGAGAAGCATCTTGTACAGTGTCAGAATGCGATCCAGCCCGAGGTCTCATGCGAGGGGGTTCAAGACTCGGCGGGTACTGCGTCAAATCTGTGTTGGTAGGAACATTAAGTTGGGTTCTTGTGCTATTGTAACTCGGTGATGTTCGCAGCGTGGGCGAAGTTGTCGGAGCAACCGACGCAGCATAGCTAGGGACTTGACTTGGAGGACTCAGGAGCATGGATTGCTGGATGGTCTCTCCCGGTGACGAAATCCGACTTGAAAAATGATCAGATCTGGGACCTTCAGACGTGATAGTGTGCGGAGTTGCGGAGGATGGTTCATGAGAGAGACTTGAGTTTCGAGGGGCATAATTCGGTGGCATTTGTGAGTCTCTTTGTGAATCTCCTGGGCTAGAAGGCAGAGGATTACCCCTAGGAGACGTTCTAAGTGGTATCAGACCTTTCGAAGCAGAGGTGGAAGGAGGCGTGTAGCTCGGCACCTGTGGGAAATAGTCTGAGCTTGGTTTTCGAGGGACGCTGGATAGTTGCAACTCTTTCTGTGAATCTCCTGCACTGAGAGGTGCATTGCCCCTGGGGGATGTCCTAAACGGTATCGGGCCTCCGGAGCCAGGAGTGGAAGGGGACACGTAGCTCGGTAATTGTTGGAGATAGTCTGGGGATGACGTGTTCGGAACGATATCATGAAAAAACGGTTGCGAGGAGAGGGAGACAGGAGACGTTGTAATGGGTGTCGGAGGATCCACTGATGACAGTGATGCATACGATAGGGAGGATTGCGGGCTAGCGGGTCCATATTTCGTCGCAATTACCTCGGGATTTAACATGGGGTTCACAGGAACACCAGTCTCTTCGGAAGTGTGTCCAACTTCGGACTCAGATTGCTGTATTGGAGAAGATGTGACGGAGATGTTGAGGCTTTCTTGGATGGCTAAGCGGAGGCCATAATCCTCCTCTTCGTCTTCGTCTTCATTGAACTTCGCACTTCTGACTTCGAGGTCAGACGACATCCCTCCATCCTTTACCGAAGAAAGAGTGCTGTTTTTAGTGGCTTCCTCGTACGACCTTTGGGACTCCCAGATAGCACGCCTAAACCCCTCATCTTCCTCGTCATCAGGAAGCGGGGTTGTAACAATATCATGCAGAGGGAAAACAGGGGATGCTGAAGGGAGAGGTGAAGGCGCCGAAAAAGATGGCGGCTCCGAAGACTGTGAGGGCTGCCATGCTGGAAGCGGTCGTGGGATATCCTCCTGGCGTCCCAGGAATTCTGGGTTTGAGGTAGGAGGGATGCCGGGAGGGGGGCAGAGGAGGAGCCGGCACTTTGGGTGGAAGAGGTGGAGGCCGAGGGTGCTGTGGTTTTTTATCTCAGATGTGGAAGCAGAGACTAGCTTTGGAGGAAGGGGGGGCTGTGGGGGTAAATCGGCGATCCTGGGCGGGAGTGGTGGTAAAGGAGGGGCGGACTGGATCATCTATTGACTGGTGAGGAATGTGCATGCGATTTCAGAAGATGACATACTGGGGATAGGTAAATCACGGCCCGTGTACTCGCTCCATCTCTTTGGTATGACAGGTGGGCGGCTAGCGCCTATAGTTGGCGCAAGGGATTGGCGTAGAGATACGCTCCACTTGACTGTGATCTACCACGGGATTGTGGATGGGTCTCAACGGAGAGATCCTCTGGTACCGGGGCGCCTTGGAGACTGCCAGCTCAGCTTGAGGAATTGGACGATAAAAAGAACTTATAGTGGGGAGTGGCGGAGGAACGCGGGTCGAGCCCGCTGAGAGGTCAAAACTCGGGTACCATGATGAAGTGTTGGAAACGTTCGGGTGACCACCACCGTAAGTGAGATGCCTGGTGAACTGGTGGGACGGATAGGTTGCCAATGCCTCGGAGGCACCGGGCGATCCCGCATGATTGGGGACATTAGGTAAGATACGGGACAGATCACTAGAATCAACCGAGTCTACATGTCCACTATGCATTTCGCAGGAAATTTTTCAAGGTTAAAGCAGCACCCCGGAGGTGGAGAAGCGAGGTTGAGGTTAAGGAACAACGGATCGAGACGCTTGATCCAGCCAGAGTCCGCCTTGCTTGGGGCTTCCAAAGCGTAAGAAAGGGACTATGGGCGCAGCGATGATGGTGCGATTAAGTAGCTATCAGGTTCCCAGCAACAAGATTTGGCACCGGAACACCAGCGGGGGCTAATATGCAGTGATAAGCACGTGATGTGCCTTGAATTTCAGATCTCTCCTGGCGGAGCTCCAAATCGCACAGCAACCTGTTTCCCAATCCCATTTTTAAACGCTTTCCCCATTACTCAATACTCATCGAAAACTCTTGGTCATTGAGGAGGTTTCATGGACCATGACTTGAACCGTTGCCCAAATCACAATTACTTTTGATCTGTTCGATTTGTGCTGTGCGCAAACTTTCAGCATATCGCGCATGCAGACTCCGAGATAATTTAATAAGCGATGCCCTGCTGTGCATTTTTCAGCCTCAGTGCTTCATTTTGTCGGTTACCACGTCTGGCCGATTTTGGCTCTCAGGCTAGCCATCGCGATACGATTCTGACTTTCGCTCCAGCTATTTACGGTACAAATTTCCCACAGATAGGCCAGGTTCATTGATACATCGTTGTTAGCGTCGACAGGATTAGGAGCTGTGATCTGGGTTCTCGGTGTCGTTGCATCAATCCAAAAGGCTCTGCACTGTTATGCGAACCGTAGACACCGTAGCTAAACGAAATTTCAGGGGAGGCGCGGATTTGGCGATGATGGGCTGTAGCACGATCATGCTGTGCCACATTTACCAGTGTTATAGTCGGATTGATGATGTCGGGGAGGTAACTGTCACAAATGCGTTCAATGGTGACAATAGACTGAGAATGCCAAGCGTGAGGTTTCTATTCCGAGTCTGAAGAAAACGTCTAGGTTCTGACTGCGTGCTCAGACGAATTTGCCACCCCCCTCATCATCATCATCATTTTTTGGGTGGGACCCCCTGTAGCTTTCGCAAAGGTTGCCTGGGGGTTTGGGGGGAAGGCTGTTCCTTCCGGGATCATCATCTTCTGTCAAGTCGTTAGGCCTTTCGCCGGGTTGAGACGTCCTGTCGACCAGCCCATTCATGCTGTCGGATGAACCAACAACTCCTGGTGCAGAAGACGTACCGTCATCCAAGTCTGTGGACAAACCTGCGGTAGAAGAGTGGAAACTATCACCAGGCGGCAACAATTCTTCCATCGATTGGGGTGAGGGTACATCACCGGAGGCGGCAGGAGATGACGGGCGATCGGAGGATCGTGATGCCCGAATCCGAGGCCGAGGTCTTGGTCGGGGACGGGGCTACTGTGGTGTTGGCTCACGGATGTCTCCGTCGCCACATCCTCATCCCTATCCACACTCTTGTCTTCCCGTTTACCACCCCGTCTTTTCTTTCTCGGAAAGACTCCAGATAGCTCAGCGTCCGTATGGACCAGCGAACTCTCTCCAGGAGGATTCCGTTCTGGCTGCCTTCTATGATGGGGTGGGGCAGTTTACTGGTGTCTTGTTCCTCCATAGTCATTTGAGTCATCCGGCTAAGTTCTGCCCTCTCTCCTAACTCAGTGCCACTATCATAAATCATCTCCGCAGAGTTGTAATCCATTTGTTGCTTCTTGCACCTAACCGGTGCATGTTGTGTGCAAGTCTGTTGTCCGTCAGACTCATCATCGAGTTGCTGTCTAGTGGACGGCAATCGTCTAGTGCGTGCAGGTCATTATTTTCCGGAGCATCTCTGACGCCTTCCTCCAAGGTCGAGTGGGGGTTTCGAGACACCTGAAAATAACATCCAGGTGTGTTGGAGCGCGTCGGGAGTTATGGCTGCGGGGAAATACCACTGGAACTCTTCCGCTTCAGGACTTCCAACCGGCAGTCGATTAACCAGAGAAGCAGCTTGAGTTGAGGGTCATTTGTCGCTGTTGTACGTCACGGCTAAGAATGAGGGTTAAACTTGGGGGGTCAGAGTGATTAGCCTTTGAGATAGGTACGCACGAAAATCTTCTTTTCTAAAGCAGCGGCCGACAGCTCCCTCCGTGCTTCACTGGAAACGTCATCTTCACCGCGCCTTGCCGGCCCATTGTTTCATTCACAATTGCCGACCGAATACCGAGAACTGTCATCAAAACTGATGCCACATGAAAATATTTCATGGATCACTCCTTAAATTGATCAACGCAGCGATCGAAGCCAATCGATTAAATCCATCCGACCATCGTCGATGAGGCACATGACGACAATTCCCAGTTTCTCGGAGTCTGTCCAGCCCTTTTTGACGTCGACATCTGCTAGCGGTTTCTCTGTTCCAGCTGCAGAAGGTTGCTCAGTTTTTGATTAGGTACCTGCACCTGAATGTTTAGACATGGCCCTTACTTTCATTGGGCCTTTTATGATGTCATCGGGAACGACCCTCTGAAGAAAAGATAAAATATCTCCAAAACCAGAGCACCATAAAAGAAGGATCCGTCGCGTTTGCAGCAAGGAACAAGAAGAGCTCAAGGGCTTTGATCTCCTGAGGCACAGATCTGAAATCTGAGATTGTTCTGCAATGTGGCATAAGCAAATGGCTCCATCAAGCGGGCGGACTACCCACAACCAAAGTGAAAAATGCTCCGCTTGGTCAGATAACGCATGGGCATTCACCGGCAAGTCTTTAATGAAGGCAAGATTGCGAAACAAGTGAAGAGTAACGTTGATGATCTGTCCATCCCGGACGTTGTATCGGTGACAAGGTTTGGCCTCTTATCATCAGAAGCTTCTGATATTTCCTACCGTTTCGGCCTGTTCGTGGGCCCCGCCATCAGTGACTTCAACACATTATGCCCCCAGTATAAGACGAACATGGAGACTAGCGATCTTGTCGCTCAGTCCGCTATGCGTGAACTGAGGAAAGTCGTAAGGTCCAAAAATTCGTCAGGTGCTATGAATGCGCACTGACTTCAGCAGCTACTGAGCCAAAAAGGGTCAACAAGGTAAATCCTAGACGTCGCAAGACTCAACACCAACAACGTGAGTTGGCCTCAGCGTACGCTTGAATCCCAAGAAATCTAATACCCAGGTCGTGACAACAGACTGGATATAAGCGAGTACTATGTTCTGCGACGTCCAACCTATCGGCTTCAATTCAATTGATCCCCATTTGGAGTCTATCTCGACGCTGCATGCACAAGTAACGAACTTCCCGCACATCGGACTGGCCAGCGAAGGGAAGGCATTAATTCAAATCCCATGCCCTTATCCCGGTATGTTTCAAGCATCACCTTCCCAGGAGTGTCATACATATTAACCAGCCCTTTGCAAACCACCCCCCACAGACACAATCCAATTGCCACCTCACCCAGAGAATCCCAACATGCATCACAATCTTATGATTCAACAGGAAGTGATGCAGAGACGATGCCACTCCTCCAGACATCCGAATCTTCACCGTCGCCATTCGACTCATGGCCCCAAGCTCGCCTGTCAACCTTTGAGCGCACTCTTGTCAAACAAATTGACATTCGCCTCATGCCGCTCCTGTGTTTGTTCTATATCCTGAACTATCTCGATCGCGTGTGTGAGAGTTTCTACCTCGATGATGAATGCAGAACTCATCACCTTGGATCCTTGCCCTCGTTTGTTGGTTAGCATAACATTGCGTCCGCCAGACTTGCGGGCCTCGAGGATGACCTAGGCTGACAGAGAAACAATACGACACATGGTGCGTCCCCATAGTCATTCCTATTCTTGATCCCAGCAAAACAGATTTTTCAAGTGTCTCGATCCTCTTTGTCGGGTACAGTACGTTCGCAGCCCTAACGAGTCGTCTCACGTCCGCTGAACTTCAATTCAGTCTTGATGCAGGTCCCCTCCAATGTCGTCCTTTCTCACATCTCTTACCCCGCATACTACATTTGCGGCTGCATGGCGTTTGGGGATTTCTGTCTGCCTGCACTTCCATAACGCAAAATTTCACCGGCTTACTGCTGTGCAGATTCCTACTGGGTTTCGCAGAGAGCGCATTCTTTCCTGGAGCTATGGTGTGTATCCCGCCATTTCCCTTTAAACAATGCCAGCGATGATACACCAAACACCCGATACATTATACCAGTTTTACATATCTTCATGGTATAACAAGAAAGAATTAGCTCTTCGTGCAGCATTTCTCTTTAGTGGCTCACCTATAGGTAGCGCTCTCGGAGGACCTGTCGCCGTTGGGTTACTGAAATTAGATGGGACATGCGGGATGGCTGGCTGGCGCTGGTTATTTCTCGGTGAAGATTTCATTTCCCAGTGTTCATCAAGCGGTAGTTCTAATATCTGTGTTTATGGGTTTCTGCCAACGCCTCGCCCGTGCAGTGGAAGGCCTTGCGACAATCGCAATAGCTCTTTTAAGCATATTTATTCTCCCCGATCTCCCATCTTCCCCACATCTTCTCGTCTCACTCGAACCCAACACGAATTCGCTGTGTGGCGCCTGGAGCGGGATTCCCATCGACGGAGTACCAGGGATGGAAGCGGAAATGCGAAAAGGATCAACCTTCTTGAGGCTTTCTGGATGGTGATCGTCGATGAGAAAACTTGGATGTTCGGCGCGATTTTGACATGTATATGTGCGTCGTCTTTTTCACGATACATAATGCGCGTAACGCTTATAATCCTGAATCACCCGAATAGACACGACTTCGGCCGTGACGAGCTTCTTCCCGTGTAGGTGGTGTCCATTCTGTTGCCTCTATGTGTTACGCTTATTATGAGGATCATTGCAGCTGTTGTCCAGACATTGGGATACTCTCGAAGTATCACTTTGCTTCTGACAGCTCCTCCGTACCTTCTTTCTTGCGTTGTTATGATGCTCAACGGCTTTCACTCTGATAAAACCCAAGAAAGGTATATTCTCATCACCCTCATCCCATGTTGAGACCCTCGTTCTCTGACCCGAGCTTGCTTCGCGTAGGTTTAAGCATGTTTCAATCCCCCTTGTGGTGTTGGTACTTGCGCATATACTTGCTTTGTCAACAACTGCAGTGGTGCCACGATATCTCGCGATGCTAGCTCTCCCTTCATCATATTCCTCCTCCATTATAGTCTCCCTTACTTGGATATCGGTGAGTTATTCTTGGGCGGTACTAATTTGATTCGGTTTGAATTGCAACCCAGGAAACGTTAAATCAACCTCCTGAGAAACGAGCGGCTGCAATCGCATTTCTAAATGCTGTCGCCCATACTGTAAGCTTTAACCCACTCATCCTCTTGTATGTCTCATTAATGTCAACCTCCATTCCAAGGCGAACGTTTGGACTCCTTACCTTTACACTAGTCCACCTCGCTACCTACTTGCTTTTAGCGTCAATATCGCTGCGGCACTTCTCGCGATCATATCTTCTGCGTTTACAAGACAGCACTTGAAAATATTGAATGATGAAGAAGAGAATGAAGGACGGAGGGGACAATACATCCTTTGACATGACCCGATCATCCTAATAGATTGGTATTCCACGTTAGGTAAAATGGCAATTGTATTGACTGTTGGGAGATGGAGTGCTGACTAAATTTTCGACAAGAGTGATGGATGGCCTACACAAGCAGCATGTGTCAAGGGGGCTCGACCTATGTTTTTCTGTCACAGGTGTGGAAGCAACGACTCACAGGTTCCTTGGCGGTGCGCTTTCAATTTTATCGTAATGGGGTTTGTCGGGACATGGGTGATGCTCCAAGCTAGACACACTTGAATCAATGAATAGATACATTACATGAAGGACCTACGTGTCCTGTCACTGTACACTTCAGTTCATATCGCGGACACGATTGAGATGATGGGGCCCTTTTAGTGTTGTTAGTCATTCCCGATGGAATGATTTTGTGGATTTCTGCAGCGCAGTATCAAGGGTCGCGTCCACCCTTGGAGAAACATGGATGACTATATCAAACATCGCGCACAGCTATCACAGGTAAAGATTATATATGGCCTCACTGCGAGATAGTATAAGGTAAGTACACGCATTCCACTAGCTTGGTTAGGAACAGGGGTTTGGCATATGTGGAATTCAATGCGTGGCGGAGGTTTCTGCGGTGGGGGTTGTTTATTGTCCCATCTAGTTTTTCTCCTTTGACCCTAGGCCTAGGCCTGTTTTGTTCGACGGGTATGCCACTGAGCATGCGCCTTGTTCAAATGGGTAAATTTTTGAACTCCCCCGCCACTTGGTTCTTTAGCTGGAGAATGTGTGGCGCGGCGAATGTTTGCGGCCTTTCCCCTTCTCCCTTCTGCCCGAGGAGCAGGCGCCACCCAGCGTATACCACGCACAAACACAGCAAACCGCTATGGCGCCGATTCGGCCTCCTCTTTTACAAGATGCCACCGAGTCGCCACTAATCTGACGATATCTCTCCATTCGGTCATGGCCCCTACACCTGAATACGGAGTTCAATGATACGGTAGCCTTAGAAAGCAGTACCATACCAATCTCGCCACAAGCTAAGCTTTCCCTATCGGACCAATGACTTCGTATCCGATGACTTCTTTGATAGTCTTCAAGTGCACGGCAGTCAGAGGATGTTCATACATCAGGGTGTTCATTGCGGGGAAGACGATCGTAGGTGTTGTGGGCGCCAAAGCTCGTAGAAGGGAGGTCTTTGATAACTTTATAACAAGCTCTGGTCAACAAGTGAGGAATTGAACAACGTACAACCAAATTATCACAGATTCCGTTTGCTATCTTTGCCATCGTGTTTGCTGAACATGGTGCAATCAGCACAACGTCTGCCCATCGCCTGAGCTAGGTGCGAAGTAAACATGTGCGCGGCGGTACGTTGTTGTACAAAGAATTGTTAAAACGTACTTCGATGTGTAAGATGGGATCTCCAATTTTTCCCCATGACTAAACAAATTTCTTCGCTAAGCAGCAGACAGATATTGAAGAATGGGACACTAACACACCTCCCACTCATCGTCATCCGTCCAAACTTTTACGCCTTCATTTTGGTGCTGTGATTCGACAGCATTACGATTAAAGAACGCAAGAGACGGTTTTGACGATGCAACTTGAACGCGAACGGTTGAGTACTGCGTAATCCACAGGAGTTCGGATTATCTTCATTGGTAACTCTTGGATCTGGTGACGTTACCTGAAGCAGTCCTTCCACGATCAAAGGGGCCTTCACGGACGCTACACTTCCCGTTGTTATGAGGAGCACATGAAGACATCCTGCCACTCGATTCGAAGCTGCTTCGAATGTCCTCTTCGTTAGCTGGCCTCGGCCTGTGGACTCCAGCGTCATAACTTATGGAACAAGCTTCATTTAATGAAGTATCAGCATAGCCACCAATCTGCCAATTTGGTCTGTTCGGTTTGTGCTGTGCGCAAACTTTCAGTATATCACGCATGCATACGGCTGGGACTCAGTTCGACAAAGCGGTACCTGCTGTGCAGTTTTTTTCCGTTTTTCGAATCTCAGTGTTTCACTTTGTCGGTTAGCAGGTTAGGGCATGACGAATTACTTCGTCTGGCCGATTTTGGCTCTTCAGGCTAGGCATCGCGATACGACTCCGACCTTCGCTCCAACTGCTTGTGGCAAAAATTTCCCACAGATAGGCTATTGGAATTATGAACTAGTCGCGAATTAGCGCTCAGTTCCAAAGATGTGAACTGTTGTTATTAATCATTACCTAGTCGCGAATTAGCGCTAGGAAATATATACAACGTTAGACAATATTCCAAGTGATGAAAAGGGAGTCTCACCTCAGTTCCAAAGATGTGAACTGAGGAGAGAGGAAAGAGAAAAATCGCGCGAGGTGGCTTTTAAGCCATCCTCGACTGCGTTCATCAACATGGATGCCAAAAGTAGAAGCATCGGGCAATCCTTCATGGAAATGCCCGTGCGCAAGATGTATAGTCCGACGGTCTCAATGGACGGTCCACAGCGTACCAAGAAAACAAGGATTTCAACATAGGCATTGTTCATTAATACATCGTTGTTAGCGTTGACAGGGCTGGGAGATGTGATCTGAGTTCTCGGTGGCATCGCATCAATCCAAAAGGCTCTGCACTGTTATGTGAACCGTAGATACCGTAGCGAAACAAGATTTTAGGGGAGACGCAAATTTGGTGATGCTGGGTTGTGGCACAATCATGCTGTGTCACATTTACCAGCGCCAGTTGGATTAAGGATTCGCACCTGATATCGGGAAGGAGGGAATGTGTTCATTGGTGATAATAGACCGAGAATGCCAAGCGTGAGGTGTCTATTCAGAGTCTGAAAAAATCATTTGTCGCCGTCTGGGTCCTGACTGCGTGCTCAGACGAATTTGCCCCCCCTCATCATCATCCTCTGTCAGGTCGTTAGGCCTTTCGCCGTGTTGAGGCGTCTTGTCGACCAGCTCATTCTCGCTGTCGGATGGGCTAACTCCCGACACAGAAGACGTACCTTCATCCAAGTCTGTGGACAAACCTGCGGTAGAAGAGCGGAAACTATCACCAGGCAGCGACAATTCTTCCATCGATTGGGGCGAGGGCGCATCACCAGGGGTGGTAGGAGATGGCGGATGATCGGAAGATTGTGGTGCCCTAATCCGAGGCCGAGGTCTTGGTCGGGGACGGAGCTGCTGAGGTGTTGGCTCACGGATGTCTCCATCGCTTCCTTCACCCCCATCCTCATCCCTATCCACACTCTTGTCTTTCCGTTTACCGCCCCGTCTTTTCTTTCTCGGAAAGACTCCAGATAGCTCAGCGCCCGTACGAACCAGTGAACTCTCTCCGGGAGGATTTCGTTTGCGCTTTAGCTGGCTGCTTTCCATGGTGGGTGGGGGCAGTTTACTCTTGTCTTGTTCCTCCATAGTCATTTGGGTCATCTGGCGAAGTTCTGCTTCTCTCTGATAGAAGGCTTCATCATCCCCTAACTCAGCGTCACTATCATAAATCATCTCCGCAGACTTGTAATCCATTTGTTGCTTTTTGCGCCTAATCCGGCGCATCTTGTGTGCAAGTTCGTTGTCCGAACTCGATGCGTCAGACTCATCATCGGTTGCTGTCTGGTAGACGGCAATCGTCTGGTGCGTGTAGGTCGTTTTTTCCGGAGCATCTCTGATGCCTTCCTTCCTCCAAGGTCGAGTGGGGTTTCGAGATACTTGGAAATAATGTCTAGGTGGTGCTGGAGCTCGTCAGGAGTTATGGCTGCGGGGAAATACCACTGGAACTCTTCCGCTTCAGGACTTTCCAACTGGCAGTCGATTAGCCGGAGAAGCAGCTTGAGTTGAGGGTCATTTGTCGCCGCAGCTGCCTGTTCCTCCTTGATGTACGCCACGGCTAAGAATGAGGGTTAAATTTGGGGGTCAGAGTGATTAGCCTTTCGAGATAGGTACGCACGAAAATCTTCAAACTTTTCCAACGCAGCGGCCCTCCGTGCTTCACTGGAAACGTCATCTTCATCGCGCCTTGCCAGCCCATCTGTTTCATTCACAATTGCCAACCGAATACCGAGAACTGTCATCAAAGACTGATGCCAGATGAGAACATTCGTGAATCACCCAAAATTGATCAACGCACCGATCGAACCCAATCGATTAAATCCATCCGACCGTCCTCAACGAGGCACATGACGACAATTCCCAGTTTCTCGGAGTCTGTCCAGCCCTTTTTTATGTCGACATCTGCTGGACGTCTCTTTCCCTGCGGATGGAGTAAGCAGTCTTCTGACGCACTACAGGCCCCAGACAAACCTTGGCCTTTTCAGCCCCAGCAGACTGTCCGACCGCGGGTTGCCAGGTGGAAAAGTGCTTCCATGCCCCTCGGTTCTTCGGGAAGAAAGCCTAGACGGGTGTTTGAATTCAGTTTGTCCATGAAGCCGGTTGTGCACACCTCTATCAGTAGTAGCGGTTGCTCCTCCATTTTCTTGAAGAATTTCCTTAGGATGAAGTTGACCAACTGGATAAGATCTTTATAGGGAGTGTCCCGGGGAAGGTCTTTTTGATGAGCGAGAATCCGGTTGAAGAGCTCTAGGGTGCTGACCTAAAAATAAAAGAAGCTGATTGTGCCATTCACACCAGGGAGGTCAAAACCTACTTTAAAGAACAATCCTTCGGCCTTAGTCTTGACTGCTTGGCGATGCAAAAGGCTGACCACACGCTTCACTTTATCGGAGTCGTCGAATTCTTTCCAGCGATCAAGATATGCAAGGCATGCCCTCGTGATATCCTCTTGGGCGAAGCGCTGCAGCATTCACATGAATGCCCGCGCTATCTTGAACGAGATGAATCCTCATACTTACATTCTCATATTGCTCGAAGGTGAGCAAATGTTCGTTAAATGCAGGTTTTGACGTCACCTCTTCATCAGAGACTGTGTCAACTGGCTCATTTTCCTCATTGGCTGCATGAATACGATCAGTGGCTGAGATATCTGCACTTGGAGTAGCGCACTCGACTTTTTTCTCCGTACTTTAACTGCTTTACGCACAATCATCTGACCTTGGTTCTTGGCCCATTTCTCGAGCATACGCAGCAAGACGTAAGAAAAGTTTACGGCTGAGTCAAGGTACCTGAAACGAGCAGTGGCGTCGATCGATATCTAATGAATGTCAAGGATGTCACTTACGCTACACTTTGTTCCTTGTACTGGCGAAGACATTCCAAAGATATGTCCAAAATCTCGCCACTATAATACATTTGGTGCTGTAGAAGCGAGGAGGATTCTATTATGAAACCAGGAGATGATGAATGCCCCATGATGTCCAATAAGGAAAGCTAATCTGTGTTTGAGATCAGGCACCTTCCTTTCAAGCACAATAACTCACGATTATCGATAAACAATCCATTCCTGCTCGGAGCTCTGTCCACTGTTTTGGCTAGAAAGCATGTTTAGCTATTCTTCCGTCAATTTGGCAACGCAGAACCGAACCCGATCGTCCATAGATAGGCGAATTCGCTTTAGGATGTAGCCTATCCAACCACGCTCAGCAATTTCGCCCACCATTTCGAATCTCCACTGGCACTCCTCGTAGTTTAGAGGCGCTGAAGCGTTTGCAAGCTCTCTTTTCTTGAGGCCGACAAAGTACTCAATGAACCAATTGACTACTCGAAGAAGGCGGATATTATCATGTTCTGTGATTTTGGGGCGTTCAGCTTTGATGTCTCTCAATAAGGACGAGAAGAAAGCTGCCAGTAGTTGGAGGTTGAGATCCTATCGCACGACAAACGAATTGAACAGACCTTCGAAACAGCTCTCGAGAAATGAAATTGCGGTGGATCTGAGGATAGACAGAGCCTTCGAACTGAGCTCGTCAAAGCTGGCCAATTCATCCTAAGGCGATTTGAATTAAACAGACAAGTGTGACGAGAGGGCATGCCTACTAGTTTCTTCGTCTTGTGCTTAATTTTTTTCTTACTCATGTCCATCACTGATGTGGTGTCGGAGAATAAACTTTTTTGTTTGTGCATAACAAATGTGTCTTTCCCCTGCACAGGATACGGTGAGTATGATGATGCCATGCCTGGGCACGACTTGACACACGCTGTTAATCGCGACAGTAGTACCGAAGCGACTATGTCGGGACGAAATGCCCCGCAACTCGTCTGAGCGGTTTCTCTGTTCCAGCTGCAGAAGGTTGCTCAGTTTTTGATTAGGTACCTGCACCTGAATGTTTAGACACGCCTTCCATCGTTTGGAACACCCTTACTTTCATTGGATCTTTTATGATGTCATCGGGAGCGACCCCTCTGAAGAGAAGATAGAAGATCTCCAAAACCAGAGCATTATAGGGGTTAAAAACAGGATCCCTCGCGTTTGCGGCAAGGAACAAGAAGAGCTCAAGGGCTTTGATTTCCTGAAGCACAGATATGAAATTGTTCTACAATGCGGCATAAGTAAATGGTCTCATCAAGCGGGCAGACTGAGTACCCCACACCTGAAGTGAAGAATACTCCGCTTGGTCAGAAGACGCATGGGCATTCGCTGGCAAGTCTTTAATGAAGGCAAGGTTGCGAAACAAGTGAAGAATAACGTTGATGACCTGTCCATCCCGTCCGGTGCGGTCGCTGTATCGGTGACAAAGTTTAACCTCTTATCATCAGAAACTTCAGATCTTTCCTACCGTTTCGGCTTGTTCATGGGCCCTGCCATGATGTCCATTAGCGACTTCAACACATTGGGTTTCAGTAGCGAAGCTTTGTAGGAGAGCTGAGCTCTCAGCAAGGTTGTATAATCAGTCCCGGCATCCAGCTCATCGTCAAGCTCCTGGAGCTCTTCACCAATGTCAATCGGCCATGTCATCGCTGTGATTAAGTCAGCTAGCATACAGAATATTCAGCTGATGCACAGTAATTCAGGCCCTCTAGGAGGCACCAACCGCATGCAATAGCACGTTTATCCTCTACCATTCCTTTGCCTGCCGTTGTCAGTACGATATTGACGAGGTCATCCGGAAGAACTCTCGTTTCCCAGAAGATGCGCGCAACAGTCCTTTCGTCGTCCGTATCGTCTTTACGCCAAAACTTCTTCAGGTCTTTCAAGCACCCCAAACACGAATCGCCCATCTCGTAAACGCGACCGACTGGCGTTTGCTGGAATCCACCAAGGGCAGACACGGAGGACTGAATAAAAGGCTTGAGGATCTCTCTTCGGGAGGGGGAGTCATCCTCCGCACTTAAACGCTGCTCAGTCCGGCTCATAGTGGGTTTTACGAGCGTACAATTAGCCCAGCCGAGTTCAGAACGCGACGACGCGACCGGCTTGCACAGCCTCACGGAGAGTTCCGTAACCGTGTCTGTCTCCCTTCAAGGATCTCATGTCCACTTCTGGTGCGAAGAATGGTCTAATTTCACCCGAGTGCTGCTGATGTGGGATCAATCACAGGGGCTTCCTCCCCAACGCGTAAAAAACCGCGCGTTTCCGGTCCTGAGCTTAGCTCCCAGTCTTCCCGTTTTGCCTCACCCCTGGCGCCAACCAAGCCCGAAGCTCGTCGGCGACGTAAAAGAGCTATTGAAGAAGTTTTCGCCCAAACATCTCCAGTAGAAAAGCGCGTCAAGTCGCCTTTGTCAGTTAATCGTGATGAGGGAGGTCTCTTCAATACAACAAACCTTTCTCAGGCGACCAGCCGACTTCCTGAGACGCAGGATCCTCCAGTTTCCTCTCAGATCAGCAGGATAGCTCCTAGAGGCGAAGTGGAACCCAATCCATTCGTGTCTCAAACTTCGTCCGTCGACCCCAGTATCGAATCTACGGAACTAGATGCCGATATGTGGGGCGACGTTACAGAGCCTGATCTAGCTTTCTTTGAGGCCCTCGAAGCACCATCTACCCCGTCTGGTAATCGTCCGACTAAATCACTGCCCGAACCCGACCCAGACGGACCGGCCATCCCAGCTTTCCGAACAGGACGTCTACGTCCACTCGAGTATGATGCGGAAACTGCTGCTAAGGCTCGGAAGATCTTGGAAGATATCAGTGCCGAAGTCGAGGGCACAAACGTAGATAGTTCCAGCCTTCCGTCTTCCAGTCAAAGTTTCTCCCACCTTCGAAAATCACTGCCTGAATTCAAGACGCCGTTCAAGACATCGCGTATTCCGGACTCTGTAATTGCTATGAGCCAGGCGTGTCCAAAAGAGTGGCAAGGGCTCCAATCTGAGCCTGCAATTTCTTCTACGCCCTCTGCTTCGAGCACAGCCCTTCCACCCCCCACCCTCAGCACACCGCAGCGAAGCAAAGAACTGTCAGCATATGAACCCTCACGACATTATACGCCACTTACACGTCTGCCCGCCTCCCACTTGACCCCAAACGCTAAGCCCTCGCCACATCTTGGTGGATACAGAGCGCGCCCTTCTACAGCGACGTTTGTCACGCCATTCAAGCCCGGTTTTGGACCCGGTGAACCAGGGAGAGCACAATTGACCCTGAAACCACCGTCGTCACGGAGATCATCCAGCCCTCACGTGGAAGTACTTCCAAATTTCCAGCTGCAGCCAGTTGCCAAGGGAAACCAACAGGCCACACCATTGCAATCCAGTTCCCTGAACCGGGGTGAGTGCTCGCCAAGGTGTGGGAAGGGAATGCACTTACATTCCTTCGACCGAATTTGCGAGCAGAACGCAGAACTTTACGAGACATAATACCTGCGCCGGGGCGATACACCTTACGTGAATTATTGACGCAGGGAATGTAAGGATTAGTTGTTTCGACTAGTATCCCCGCGCCATGCTGACGATGCAAGCATTTATCTAGCCCCAAGGAAATCCCCCAGATCAGCCCGGATAATGCTGCTTATTACTGTTTCCACGACAATCAAGACCTTGGAGACTCCTCCGAACACCATCTTCAACCGAAGCTGCTAGGTCCTCAGGAGGCTTTATCTCATCTTGTCGGACGAGGATGTTCCCATGCCACTCAACCATGGGTAGAATGTCATTGGTCACTGATCCTTTGGAAAAAAGCATCAATGATTTGTTGCCAGCCTAGATTATTTGATTCGATGTGGAATTTTGAGTCAGTTTGCAAGGACCTCCTCCATCAGTAGGTTTTTCGTCCTTGTTCCATTCCTTCTTCCCTAATCCATTGCTGGTCCTCTGGTAAACCCAGCTATAAGCGCGACCTGAACGGAACGACCCGCCCCCTGGTCAGGATGATACAGGAGCGAGATGCCCCACCCTCCCGGCCAATGGTTTTGTGCGTTTCTGGGATATCATGGACTCCAGAGCGTTGGGATGAGAACAAGAACCTCGTCCAGGCGCACCCGGAACTGGAGCTAACAGATGGATGGTACAAGATTAGAGCTGAAGTTGATGAGGTCCTGGCCAGAGCCGCGCGACGAAGAAAGATCAGGCTTGGCACCAAAATTTTCATATGTGGTGCGCGGGTAAGTCTTCATTCTGACTTGGGCTCAATATATCTCAGGCTGAGTCCTTGGCAAACATGTTGATGCAGCTGCAATCGCAAGGCGAGCCTCATGAAGTGCTCAAATCGTACAGCAGCTCTCGCATGCGGATATCAGGCAATGCGACCAGGCTTGCACGATGGGATTCTAAGCTAGGGCTGCAACCTCGTGCCCTGCAAATTGCCACATTCCGAAGTTTAAATCCAGATGGGGGGCTTGTGCCTCTTATTGATATTATCATAGAGCGAATCTATCCGGTAGGTTTCTATGAGATGGACAGCGACGGTGTTATGCTCCCGGCCCATGATTCGGCCGAGGAAGCGGAAGCTCAAGCTAAATGGGAGGTGAGCACATGGGAAAATGGCTCGTGCGTTTGACCTGACATTGTGATTCAGGATGCGCGGGCAGATCAAAGTTCGAAAATTCGGTCTGATCTTGAGCGGCGATGGTTTGCATTAGAGAAAGTTGCTGAGCAGGCGTCCCATGCTGCTTATGGATGGGAACCCAAGCCAGATGGTACGTCCCTTTGTGCATGAGAGATTCGCTTCCCGATGATCGCATAATGCCGAAAATTATCAGAAGAGGAACCGAGTATGCTGGATGACATTTTTGATGAGCTTGAAGAAGCAACGGATATGAATGCGCTCTATCGTAACATGCACCTCTCCGCACAGGAGTATGGCTGGCTCTCCCTTCACATCGCCAGAAACATACAAGAGCAAAAAGAAAACCTTCCCCAACTAATTGAGAAAGAACTCGAGGCATGGCCTTATTGATCCCTTCCACGCATCGAATCTCTGACATCCGAATTCTAATTTGTAGTGTTCTCTTCCATGCCGTAATGTCCGCAATTTCCGTATTATCAAAGCGAAAGACGCTCGCAATGGACGGCGAAAGGCGTCACGTACCGCCCAGATAACTGTCTGGGATGTTTTAGGCCTTGGGGAGGGTTTCCTTGAGGAAGGCGGGCGATATTTGGTAAGCGCAGCTGCCACCACATGTCCCATTTTGGCTGACTAATTCGAAGGTGAACAATTTGTACCCTGGCCAGCTAGGAGCGTGGGGGTCACTGAACGAAGGAGAAGTCTTCTTGAACTCACGACTGGGGACACGTTGGACTCGATTGCGTGGCAACACGGACTAATACATGTATATTACCAGCTTCCTATTCATCTGAACTCGTGTTCAGGGTTTCTGTATGTAGCAACTGATGGATGTTCTTTGTACCTTATCTCGTGCGTGCAGTAGCTCCGAATGGAAAAATGAAACGGTTGCTTGTTCTAGAGTTAAATCATATCCATTGTAATGGACCAATTGCAGGCTAGGGTTATTCCATCAAGCTAATTTGTCTTGCGAACGCATGGGCACTGTTTCCGAGTATCCTTCACCAGTGACGAAGTCGTCCCTTAGGGCTTTACAGGCATCTTTCCCTGCTCAGAGCTGACAATTGTAACCGAGTATTCGGTTGCCAAGTTCACTTCCATATCAAGCGCCGAGTCGTTAACCTTATTTGCATCGGTTACGTCCTTTAACTCCGTGCCAACGGCTCCGCTCCGGCCGGTGATTGGATCATTGGCGCATTTCCACCAGTTGCGTTCATAAGCAGAAGGGTCGAGTTGAGGCTGGGACTGCGCCTTCAAGTCACCGCCAGGTCCTCGTCCGTCCCTCTCCTACCGTCGGTGAGCATCTCTAAACCAATAACTTCTCTATGCGCCACCGGCCACGGTTGGAGAATTGGGCTCGCTTCTAACTTGACTTCGTCCCAGTTTGATCGCAATTACAGATACTCGATCACCGGAAACCCACGTTCATTCGTTATCTTCATCTTTAATTTTTCTTCGTTCTCTGAGGAATTGCTTGACTGAACTGGAAAAATGGCTTATGGACGCGACGAGGGCACTGAGCAACCCTCGACTCCACCAAGAACACCACGAGTCAATCCAAGATACCCTGTTGCTAAGCCTATAACCTCACCCTCCCCAGCCCTGAGTGTCTCTCAGCTGGGGAATTCTCCATGGAATGGAGGCTCGATTCTGTTCGACTCTGATCAGTCGGAAGTTGGCAAAGCCAATGGCGCTGATCTCGTACTTCAGGCTGGCCGTAATTCACGAAACACTTTTGGGTCCATTCGTCTTTCGACACCTACCAGGAGCAACTCTGAACACTCCTTGGGACCCCACGAGATCCTCGCTTCCTCAGAACCACCTGTAGCTGCTCCGGAGCGCCCCTTGAGTCATGAGAATTCTGAACCCGGTGAGCAGAACTCACGCCGCGCCTCTCATGCATCGAAGAGGGCATCGGAAGCTTCTCATGTATCATCAATTTATCCGTTTTCTCCTCCTGGCCTCTTAGCCAACATTTCCAACCCCACATCACCAGAACCCAATATAAAGCCTCGTAATTCATCTGAAGTCGAGGACAAAGACCATGCTGTAACTCTAAAGGATGGTGGTGCTCCTGTTGTGGCTGCACCTGGCGTGAGCCCCGCTTCTAGCTCGGTACCGAGACATACAACCTCCAAGGACATTCGTCCTTCAGCTTCAACGTCCGTCTCTATTCAAGGCCCTGTATTCTCCATCAAACGTAAACCTCCGCCTTCAGTGGACGACTATTCGAAGGCAGAAGGAACACGTGGGAGAGAAAGCGGGGTAGAGCCAATTCTGGAACATCCTTTTCGCTTGGCTGCCGCCTCGTCATCTACTCATAATCCACCAGTACTCGCGCCTTCTTCATCTCTTGGTCCCACATTAGCCTCGTCGTTGTCTCCCTCGAATCGTGCGCCGAGGAATCAGGTCTTGAAACCCAGAACAACAACCACAGCTCCTGCGTTGAAACTTCGACCCAAAACCTCGGCTGGAGAGAGACGAAAAATCCCGCTCAGCGCTATGCCTCTAAATGACAAGACATGTCTCCCGGCTTTCAACGCACCCCAGGCTCAACGCATATACCATCCGCACTCTGGAAATCTCGTTGGTGCAAGCAACAAGTTATCGACATCGACGTCTTCTTCGGTCACTTCTCTCAGTTCCCCGGACGAACCGTCCCATGTCGCAGCGAGGGACTTCATTATCTTCATTCATATCGATCAAGAGCGATTCCGCGAAGTTTCCCCCGCATTTATCTTCCATCGATTCCAAAAGGGCGATCGTTTACCAGGATCAAACGGGGGTGATGTGCAGGAAAAACCAGAGAATTTTCTCGGTCGGGCAATTGTACAGGACCAAAAAGCAAAATCGGATCGGTCGGATTCGATTGGTTTGGTTGGATCGAGTTCGCGTGGAACACATGCTCGTCTAGCGGAATCCTCTCGCAGTGTCCTGGTCGAATACAAAATGAGCGGAACGGACTCATTTTGCTTTCATCATTCGGTAAGTCTTACTATTCAGAAACTCGGGCTACTTATATCACATCATCACAGGCGCTAGATAGCTCTCCGACGTTGCGTAAACTAACGGTAAACGGGGATAGCAAGTATGATTATCTGTCGCGGGAAGCCGCGTTGGTTCTGAAAACGAACGGAATGTACACGGTAAAGGCATCGGAACTGAAGGGAGCAGCGATGTGGCAATTTACGTACTTGGTTGATGATAAGAGGAACTCCGCCGGCGATCGAATCCCGGGGGAGAAGGTGTGTATGGGTTTGGATACCTCAGACATCCGCAGGGCTTATTTCTTGTCTCTTACAGCTCCTGACGCCACTGAGCTTCGTTTGCTCCGCCGGGTTTCTCAGCCCTGATCGCTGCAAAAAGAGTAGTTTTCTATTTGGCATGAAGAAATCTATCCTCCCAAAAATTGTTGCTACCAAGATCGAAGCACTCCCAACGGCTGGGGACCCGGCCAGACTTGGTGCCTTGTCTTCTCGCCTTCACCAAAGTCCGCATGTTCCCTCACTTGCCATATCCGAAGTACCATCCGCTTCGACTCAAAAGTCATCCATTCCATTACTCTCCTCTGTCCACAATCCGCAATCTCGCCCTTCCACTGCACCTAAACGTCCGTCCACTAGCGGTGGATTACGTTCCTTGTCGAAGAGCCTCTCGATTTCCAATTTGTTTGAGAAGGCCCCGAGACCATTAACTTCTCGCGGTCGGCCCTCCACTCCACGTTTTCCGACAGTGAAAAGACCAGCCACAGCAGATGGTACCAAACGGCTGATTATAAGCTCCCCCATTGGCCCTCCAACTTCTCTTCCCAATCCAGCCAGTTCTGGGGGGCCTGCCAGCTCTTCACTCCATGTAATTTCATTTGACCGCCCTGGGCCCGTTCTAGTTAATCAACAACGCGGACCACCTGTCGTTTCTTCTCATGATAACATTTCCAATAATGAGACCGGTGACTCAGACCCCATCGTGAGACCAATAGCCAGCAAAGAGCAAATCAGGCTATGGCTTGCTTCCAAAGCTACCGATCAATATTCCTCTGCAAATAGCAATCAAAAACCCTCGTTGCACCTCCTATCTCCTTGGATTCTTCAACTCCTCGCATTCGCACTGCATCATCAGTCACTTTGAACAGCGTCACTGATAACCCGCGATCTCCAACAGCGGCCACAGGCGGTCAACCTCGTTCACCCACCCATAGTAGTAAGAGCTCTTGCCCGCCACCCCCACGAAGTGGTGCTACAGTTCGCCTTCGCCAGAGACCAAGTACCGCGAACGAGCTGAGCCAAATCCCGTCCAAGCGGGTTCCTGGACAGCTGCGTAATAATCATCTACCTCGGCCTCAAACTACCTCTACTACCTCTTCAACGTATCTTGATTTTCCCCTTCGCACTTCCCCCATCGTGTGATGGGCATTTCGATCCTTCTCCACATTCGCCACCACCACCTTACATTTTGTCTGACTTTTGACTCACGAGTTTTCGTGTTATTCTATTTCTTTTGTCATGGGGCAGGCTCAAATTCCCAGTCATCACCATCGTAGGCCACTAATGGAGCACAACAAATCGCTTAAGTACTGTAGTACTCGTCACTGTAGCTGCACTCTCCCCCTTCTAGCTAATATGTCCGAGCAATACATTAGTCGTTGCACATCCCTTCCTCAAATCTCATCTGCACAGCTCGATGAATTGAGCGGGCGCCCTCACGTTCCATGTATTCCGCGATGGCGCTCTCTACCAGCTCGTCTGACGCCCCTGTATTTAACCATTCTGGCCGAACCTCCTCCCTGGCTATCAGCTCCGAAAGCGTTTCTGATGCGAGAGCACGCTGCTCGTCAACTGTGAACGGTAAAAATGGTAGAACAGCATTCACGCGGGAGACGATAGAGGCCTGGATCGCCAAGATCTTGATAAACGTAATCATTTTGGACGAAGCAGCGGATACTTACCCCAATTTCATCAGCGAGACGGCTCCTCATCCGTGCCATCAGTTTAAGATACTCTTCCCGCGCTGACTTGGTAGTCATATCCTTCGCGTGGTGACATTCGAATACAAGTTCTTCCCCAGCATTTGACGTACAGACCCAGATAACTGGAGAGGTATTGAATACTAACTGGGGTGAAGCAGGAAGCTTGCCCAACTCCCACGGCATTAGCAAAGCATGCAACACCTGCTTATCAGCAGTCTTTTCGATCTCCTACATAGACAAGAGTAAACGGACGGACTCCTTGCGTGAATTCGCATGCATTGACGTACCTCAAGGATCACTACACATCGCGAACCTTCATGCCGTGCCAAGAAATGTTGCAGATTATCTGAATCCTAGTGCAGCCTTCATCAGCTAACTTGAATTTAAGTCCAACACAAAGCTCACGTCTGATTCGGATGCTAGCGATTTGGCTTGCAGCAGGTCCTCTTGCGTTCGCAAGTTGGTCATGTTGACGATGTATTGGGGGGACTTGAGCAATGACCCAACTGAACATCCACAGCATCAATCCCAACGCCAGTTCGAGACCACACTAGCAAACCTACTTTTGGAAGCAAAATAACTTTTTCCATGTCCACTTGGTCCTAATCTTAAGTTAGTACCCGCCGCTAGTTGCAACAGTCCAGACATACCCACTAAGACAAGTGACAGCGACGCAGATTCCTTCTTTCTCTTGGAGTGGCTTGCCACGGCGCGTGTCATCTCTTGCAGAACAAGATCTTGACCAATCAGGTAGAAGCGTGCTTGAAGCAGAGGTTCGTATTGTCCAGCTTGCAATGCCTCCCTTTGTCCCTGAGTCACGGCATTCGGGCGTCCGATATAGTAGCTTAAAGCAAATACATAAGCCATAATCTGAAACATCTCAAGAAACATACCGATGGCCGGGTTTAGCGCGATCCGAATTTGTCCTGCAAGGGGCGACTCTTCTAAATCTTTGCTTTCCTCGTCACTGCTATCATGAGGAACCAAATGCTCCACAGCTGATGGATCTGCTCCATGAGCTAACAGTGTTTTGACAATCTCGGTCTTGTTCAAAAGCTGATCGTTCGTCAGACTGAACACCAGCGCCGGAAGATCCTGCGGACCCGCCGTATCGTTGGCGTTGGCTTTCCCTGAACTCAAGAGTTTTTCAACTTGATTTGGAGAATCTGAGGCCAGAGCAAAGAAAAGATGTGGTCTTGATGTCGATGACCTTTGGGAGGAAGCCGTTAATGGCGGGGATGGAGTATATGATCTAGCTATGGATGCTCGAATAGACGGTGCTTCTAAGGGGCTTGGACGTCGTGCGGGTCTGTCGCGGAGTCTTGGGCTAGATAGATATTGACCCATCTTCAGAGTCCCAACAATGTAATCACGATATGATGCTTACGATTGCGATACGTCCAACCTCTCTTCTGGCATCATGTAACTCGGAAATAGATCCTTCAACTGAGTCCTGAGATAGTGGTGATGGCAAATGAGAAGAAACTGCGGAAGCAGTGCGCGCCTGCAATAAATGTGGTCTAAAGAGCGGAGCGACTAATACCAAAAGATCCTTACCGAAGTTGGCCTCTCTGTTCTGTTGATAGGCTCCGTGAAAATCGACGCTGCGCTTCTGCGATTCGATAATTGGCGGGCTGGGAAATGGCTTGTGTCTCTCGAGATATTCTGTTTCTCTGGAGTCGCGGAGTTAATTCGTTAGATTATGCTTGTTCGTTTACGTCTACATACGTGGTCAGGATCGAGTGGTGAGGGGACCTGCACTGGATCTGGGGCTATTGGGTGTGATCTCTCCTCTGCTAGAGCAGATGAAGCTCTCAACGGCTGCACCAACGAGGCCACAGATGATCTCCGCGATTTCTATGCAAAATGCTAAGCAATCGAACCTGGTAGACAGGTGAGAAAACTGACAATCACATCCTGCTCCCTGAATCTTTCCACCCTGGAAGTTGGCAAGTTGGGCATCTCCAAAACCTGCTGTGCTGGGATAGGGGGAGACTCTATCGGCCCTAATGCCTCAAGGATGGATGAATTCCTCCGTGATTGTGTAGCGAGTGGTTGATACATGTTGAAGGAGGAAGGTGAAGCAAGCAAACTTCCCTCAGATTCAGTCGTGGCACGTTCATGCACGGATGCAGTATCAGTTATTGGAGTGTTCATCATGTTAGAAGTATGAGATGAGATACTAGAAAATCTCCCGCGGTCTTTTGGTGATGTCGATGTGGTGCTAGAAGATGCTGAGCGCTGTCTGGGAGCGACGGTAGTTTGGATGGATGTCATTGTGGACACCGACACTGGTCTTGAAGAGGGTGCATCAGATGATGACGTAGGGAGTCCCGAGTAAGAGGGCACCGAATCCTCAGGCTAGCAGGTACGCTCAGATACTTGAATGGGGCACCGAGTATATATACTCGTACCATGTAGTAGGTGGGAAGCGTCGATGACTCGATTGGGGTGGACGAGCGACGGCGGTTACTGGAATATCCAAATGTTCTGGCACACGATACGGAACACAGGAAGGATTGTCTTCCGGGGAGTGCTGAAATGGCTCGCTGAGAACCGATAAGGGACTACTACGCACAGATGGCCAATGAAGATCTGAAGTGTATTGTTGGGGGAATACATGAGGCTGGTATTCCTCCAAACTAGAGCCTCGTGAAATTGGTCTCTCGAAGTTATCAACGAATGGATTATGCTGGACAAGTGCCGGCCGGTTGGGAGGTCACGAGTCAGGTTCTATGGTGTATATCAGCAACGAATCAACGCAGAAGGTGGTGGACCGCACTGGATCTAGGGCACTTGATGCCCACGGAAGGGGTGGAGTCGATTTGCCTTCGCTCATGGAGGTGGTTGCTCCGTGTTGAGAAGGTGATTCGAGAGAAGCCGGAGGCAACGATATGAGGGAAGGCTGAGGACGCAGACAGAATACCCGATTATCACAGTTGTAGCATCTCAAGTATTGAAACTCACAAGTCTGAGGGGGCGAAGAGCCTGCCGTTGTGCCGGGGTTGAGGTCATAGGGTTCTCACCTACGGTCTCAAAATTTCGAGACAAGGATATGTCACGGATGGAGCATCAGACCCAAATGGCAGCGAAAGAGACTCAGTCGGTTTTGGAGGATCCGTCGTCGGAGATGGGGGAGTGTCCACTTTCGAAAGGGAACAGTGTTTTTCTTGCGATGTTGGAGAATAGTTGCATGATCCAGAGTGAGCTGTCAAAAATAAGTTCGTCAGATGGTAGACACAGCACTGATCAAGAAACTAAACACCAAGGTAAAGGGGGTCTCTTCTTCCTCCGGAAAAACGGAAATATCTTGAGGGGTGATTGGCATAGGAATGTACTTTTTTTGGTATTGCTTTAGTTCATCCAAGAACAGTAAAGGCTCCTGTGAACCTGAGAAGGTGGATGGCTTCGGCTTTCGCACTGGAGTTAGACGGAGAGGGGTTCTAGGCGTTGGAGCAGACAAATGGGGAGGCGGGTCCTCAGGGGCATCTCCCCCCAAAGCAGGCTCAACTCCCCGAGAAGCTCGAGAAGACGGATACGAATGGTCATAAAAATCTAACGCGAACTCAGATATAGATGCTGTTGGTGAGTGCAAAGTATCGTCAGGTAGAGTGTAATAGATCTGCGGTATATTCTGTTTCTTCTTCGGTACAACGACTTTGACATCGTGCACGAAATTGCATGCATCCAGAAAGAGGCAATTCCCTTTGCTGAAGAACGGGCAAGGTCGGCCTAGGCACAACAGTAAGTCCATGGACAATAGGCTTCAAAACTTACATACTTGGGACCCTCCATGAAGGATTAGGCACCCCAGGCATAGGGTGCAGAGCTGATTAAATTGCAAGCATGCGAACAATGGTGGCACCAGTTGCGCCGTTGATCGACAGCACGACAACAACCATACACAAAGAACCGCTCGAGCCACATCCTGTGAGAATGATAGTTTCCCTCGCTCAAGAAGATTATCAATATTTGATTCGGTGCGAAGGTCGGACTTTCCGTCCGAGGCTTGCCCTCCGATCAACGTCTTTGTCACCACGCTTCTCGATAAATGATGAAATACACCGTCGCCATTGTTCGAGTGATTCTCCGTCGGGGGCTCTGGCATGCCTCTCCCGAATAATTAGATTCCAGTCTCGATCTGCCTTGATGCTTCCAACGGCCCACGTATTCCTGGGATTTTATTTGGAACGTCCTGGTCGACGTTTGGTCTCTTGAGACAAGACACGGGGCAGCGCCATTTCTGTCCTGTTTCTGCGGGACTCCCATGCTGTTGGATATTAGGACAACTATCAGTCCGCGACCAGTTATTTTCTCAAAGAGTTGTTACGATGAGAACCCAACTTTATGTTTTCCCCAATCGTTTAGGTTGCTAGTCAGTTCAGTTTATCGCATATGTGGGCTCCCAGGAGACTCGGCGAACATTGCCCAGTATCGTGCGCGATTAACTTTGGCCCCATTATCGATCGCAAAGCCAGTTGCAACTACAATCCTGGAAGCCATACACATACTGATTCCCATAACTGGAGTAATTCTGGCTTGGCCGTCACCGTCAAACTCTTTCCTATATCCCCAATTTGCTAATGGGCCCCTCGGGACTCGTCCAGCGCCATCACAGGGTTTGGTCTCACATATTCATTCCTTCGAATGCTATTGCTGCTTTCCCCGCGTTCCGGAATGAGAGTAACAAACAGCATCGAATGGATTTGAAAGTCGATGCGTGGATACCTCCGGCTCCGGAGAATATCTTTCAGGTCCTATGAAGGTTTGGTAGCCAACCCAGAGTCGCCTTCATATTGAAAGTTGTCCGAAGCGTGCCCCTAGGGCCTGTGACAAGTTTGACGCGCCAAAGAATTGGCTATACTTTGATGCGCTGGACATGGATAGCCTGGTGAACGAACTGCTGGTTGTGGCAACTCATTATTGGTCCATTTTTTGAAGCACCTCCATGTGAACGGACCCCTTGTGCCTCACAAGACGCTCGGCGTATCTGATTGAGGCCCCGTTGAGGAAGTGCCTCATGATGATGCCTACTCGCGGTACGTCAAGAAACAACCGGTCGGACATATACATATCCATGTTCAGGGATTTTATTAGGCTTTCTAGTGCCGTTTCTTGTCACCTACATACTCCGTAGTGATGGGATTCTGACATTTTGTAATGACGGGAGTAAGGGAGTCAGAATTCGAGCTGTTCGACGATTCACAGGGACAATGCAATAGGCGGTGAAAAATATAATGAGGGCTCAGTCCGTTATAAGTACAAAATATAAACAAATCAATTACACAACGAAACTTCAGCGCCACATGTAACCGAGCAGGAGAATGGTGCATATTCCGATAGTGAGGCCGAGGATCAAACTGTCTCTTCGCCGTCTTGATTGAATCATCGAAACCAAAGAATTGATACCAGGTAGAGCATCTACGAGAAGAGGCGGGCGTAAGTTGGGGAAGAGCTCACCCGATCTACACTTACGTATCAACCCTTGCACGCGAGTAGTAACCCCTGCAAGTGAGGACCGCTGTCGTGCAAAGTCTTCACGCGTCTCCTGCGCCTGCCTGAACAGAAAAGGCTCCATTAGCGTGGATTTGGGCATCTGAGCTACAGAAGGCACATTATCAAACCATCCGTCATCCGGTGTGAGCTGTCTATTCGTCCTCTCTCAGCCAGCAGAGCATCGGCGTCTGACGCATGAGCAGTTTTATACGCACTAATATGGACGCGTCGTGATTCGTTGGACGATACGGGCTATTGCAAATAACTTACTCGATATCATTCCGCACGGAACCTAGCAAGTTCGCTCTATCCAGCGCGGACTGCACATTTGCCTAGAGTTCAGAATATTAAGCAAGCACTAGTGTGCAGAATACCTCCACCGTTATGCACCTTTGCTCTGTGGAAGTCTCGCGTATAGTCTTGTAACGCATCTCTATGCCGTTGTACTGCGTGCAGAACGCTTTGGGAAGGCGCGGCGACAGGGTTGTTTAATATAGCAACCATTTCTTCGTGAGTCTCTTTTAGCTATGAGTCGTGTCAGGGGCGCTTTCATCAGGATTATAATCAGACGAGCATAGAATGAAGAGAACAACTTTCTCCAGCAAATCTTCCAGTTCATGTTCCATGTCTACCCGTCTGTCGGAATTGCCTCCAGCTTCCAGATCCTGACCCAACGAAATAGAAGCAGCTAGCCTAGAGTATGCTGTGAGCTTAGCATCGATGAGAGACTCCAATGTTCGCGTTTGACGTCTTAAACTGTCATACGTGGCCATTGTCGCCTTGCGGTCGCTGCAGCGCTCCCTCTGGATCACGTGGTTAACAATTGACAATTTTGGTCCGGAATTTGTGTTTTGCAATATATAGTTTTTGGTCAAATTACATGGAAAAATTTGCGAATAGCATCCAATAGGAATGTCATTTCATACCCCATAATTGCGAGGATGGAGGAAAATTCAGTGAGCTCCTGTTATTTCACCATGTTGTTGTTGTACTCTATTTTGTTACCCCGCGTTCGCGTGACGACGCACCTTCACCATGTAACATTGACCACCAGGGGTGGCCTTCCACTGCGTTATTTCGGACACTCGAGTCCTTGCACGTAGAAATACACCCCCAGGGTCCTATAATTATATACATTGTGGCTCCCTCATGCGAAGAAAAAGACGTAGCCAAGGTAACTGAAAAAAAAAAGAACAAGAAAATCGGTATTCAAGAGATAATATGCCATAACGAGTGTCACTCACGCTCCAATGAGCAAAAGGATGACTCTCGTCTGAGAGTCCAACCCATTCCACGTCGCAATAAGACCGCCTTCACCATCATCGGCCGGAGTCTCTCCTGGACTCGACGATCCACCTAGCGTTTGTCCCCTCCCGCTGAAGGCAACCGCCGAACCATCTGCATGTCTCTTAATAGCATTCTCCAATCCTCTCGGATCGGCTCCACGAACTAGATCTACCTTCTGCCCATTCTTGATGAAAACGAACGAAGGCATAGCAGAAATGGAGTATTTTTGTGCCACATCCTTGGCTTGGTCGACATCGCATTTGGCAAATCTGACATTGGTGTATTGACGGCTTAATGCCTCAAATTTGGGTGCAATCTGATGGCTTGAGCGGGTGGAAAAAGGTGAATATAAGATGTAAAAGATGAGTCTGAAGTTATGCAGCAATAAGTAAAATCAATGCGCTGAGTCATGACTTACCATGGTCCACACCTAGTGAACGAGAAATACGCCACACACATAGTTCAGCTCATGCACGAGCATATGAATGCGTAATTGACTAACCAAGTAGCATGGAAGTCTATAACCTGAGTGCGCATCGAGGGAGGTAGTGTCACCGTCAAGCGCACCCAAAGCAAGCATCTTCAACTAACCGTCAACTTCGCCCCGCCATCCCCCAGTATCCTGTTTAAGTCGGAAAGCGAATCTATATGCGTAATAGTGGTGGACATCGCGACACTCGCAAAGTTGGTGTCCCCAACGCAGCGGAATGAATTGATCTCGGTTGGCTCCGGACTTCGCGGCGTGGGTCTTGATGACTGACTCAAATCGATTATACCATTGGTGAACAAAAAGTCACAATGAACACTTCTAGATGACGCCAGCATCTCTCAATGCTTCCTCGACACTCCTCGAGAATACATCGCCAATTTTCTCTATTTCCTCACTGGTGACGTTGAAGGCGGGTGCTAATATCGCGAATTCCCCCTTGTTTCCATCGATGGATCCACTCATTCCAAATATGAGAAGTCCATTCTTGAATGCAATGTCCGATAAATGAGGTCCGAAGCGCACCCCATTAACGTTGGGTAGCTTGGCTGGATCAGGCTCAAACTCAATGCCCCAGAAGCCGCCTCTGCCTCTGATATCCACAATGAAAGGCTTGGCAGGCGAGTTCAGAGCCGTCAGCCTCGCACGAAGAAGTGCCTCGAGCTGAGCTCCTCGTTCACATATGTTCTTCAAGAGGTTCTCGGAGTGTATGACATTTTGCACCGCTAAGGCGGCCGCGCAAGAAATTGGGTGTGCTTGATATGTATGGCCGTGCTTATAGTAGGATTGTTCCCTGTCAGTTAAGTGGTGGAGGAAGAACGAACGATCGTGATACCTTCCACATCCCTTTCTTGTCACGAATGGCACTGGCTACTTTCTGGTTGATGAGCAAAGCGCCAATAGGTGCGTATCTTTGGAAGAAGCAAACCCCTCAGCACTTGGTCGGCATTGTGGAACGTTTCAATGAAACATACCCCCCTCCAAGTCCCTTTGCAACCGCTTGGATGTCGGGTCGAGCCCCGTCACCAAACGACTCCCATGCGTGGAGAGTTCCCATTCCTGCACCTTTTTTCTCAGTCCCTTCGTTTCCGAGCAGAGGCTCACTTACGTCCCATCCCACTCATAACCTCATCAAGTATGAGGAGTGCTCCGTACTTGTTGCAAATCTGTCTCACTGCCTTGAAGTAGCCCGTTGGAGGGATTCCGACGCCATTAGCTGCTCCGACAACGGTCTCCGCAACGACTAGCAAAAAAAAAAACCGATTGTTCAAGCTGCATGCCACTCATCGGGTCTGGACTCACAGGCGATCACGGTCTCTGGTCCGAGCTCTTGGAACTTGGCATCAAGTTCTTCAGCCAGGCGCTCGACGTATTCCTCATCCGTCTCATCCGCATTCTTGTACCATAAAGCGCATGCAGGGGACACGTGGTGGTAATTGCTTGTGGGTAAAATGGTCTCATACGGCAGTCTTCTCCCAGGATGGCTGGCCAGTGCGAGCGTTGCTATGGAATTCCCGTGGAACGATTGTTTACGGGCGATGAAATTCACTCGGTGAGGTTGGCCTATTTCAAAGTAGTATTGCCGAGCGAGCTTAATGCAGGACTCCATCGCTTCTGTCCCTTTAAAAAAAGTAAACGGTTCGTTTGGTTTGGGCTGATATATCTCTGGAGAATGGGGAAACGAACCTCCGGCCACAAAGCCAACGGCAGCAAAAGCACCCTTGCTTGTTGCCACGAGCAAGTTAGCGAGCTCTTCTGCAGGCTCGTTCGACAATTGCATGTTGTACACATCTTTTCCCCCGGCACGCGTAATTTGTCCCTCTTGATGACGATAGAAGGAACCGGTGAATTAATTTACTCACATGAAAGTTTCTCGACTTGCTCTTGGATAGCCTAATAAACAATGTGGCGTAACAGAGCGTGAGAAACGGGAAAGGACTGGATATCCGGAAGTCTAACCCACCCTGACTACTGCAGGATGGCCATTGCCAATGACCGTCACTGCTGCACCTCCAACAGCGTCAATCTAGGCAACCATCCTATGAGCATGAACATGGTTCTTTGCGAGGCGATCAAGCTAGAAGATATCACCATCGTCCGGCCATCCTTCAATGTGATCTCAATGCCCGTCCCTGCTGTCGCGATCGGTGGTTCCAGAGGGGTGCGATGCAGAATGGCCGATAGGTAGTCATCCTGTACGCAAGATCCAGCCATGTTTCCAGCCTAGAATGTTGCAACTAGTCCAGGGGAACTGTGAAGGATTGACTATAAGAGGGGCCCCTTATGTCTCACTCTCAAGGTGTTCACTATATTGAATCGTTGCTAAGGCCTCCTTGTGTGCACGGTACTATAGTAGCGTGGCGGCCCCGACAACCGCCGAAATTCGCAAGCGACCCCCAAAAAATTAAAACCTCACACAGATAACACGGGATCCTACCCGCCAAAGCTACATAACCGATCGAACAAAGTTCGGCGGATGCCAAGGCAAGATTGACAGCTAGAATACTAGGCACGGAGGCCGGCCGATGCGTACAGCCGGGACATGGCTGTTGTATCTACTCGAACCGTGCTAATTTTATAATTACCTTGCTTGCAAGGTCTCTTTCGCATACACAATTCGTGGGAACTTTTACTTTCCACATGTTGATATTGGTTTCTTTGGACCACGTGTGCTCTGTGCCCCTCCGAAATAATTGTGAACAACAACAGCATCATCGGAATTTTTCCCACCTCTACGTGTTGCTTCGCTTGCTTTCTCCAACCTTTCGTCTTCTGCCTCCAGAATGCTACATGCTGGTTGTCTGAATTCTTCTCATCGAATTCTCGCAGAAGTTGTATCGTGTCACGTCCAGAGCTCCAGACAACGCAACATAAGCGTTGAATGGCGTCAGTCCTCCTGTTGGTGGGGGTGCAAGATCGATCAAATGTCCCTGAAATGTTGATTCAACTCATTATATTTTTCTATGCGTTTGAACACGGCTGTGAAAGACATGATTGCTTAAAGTTAGTACTAGAGTGCGATGCAGCGACTAGTTGCAAAGTATGTGCAAGCAAGGTCATGGTGCGAAGCAACCTTTCTAGTATCATTAGATATGCAGTGAATTACACAAGGGGCAATTAGCGTATAAGATTGCAGTGAAGGTATCCGAGAAAATGTTGTATGTATTAAGAATAACAAGGTCACTCCCCACCACTCCCCCTTCGTCTTATGCAGCACGATTATGATTATTTTTCTTCGCTTCAGCCACCCAAGCGACGAGACCATCCATATCAAGTTCACGCACTCCATGCTCGGCGTGAAGATGACGTGCAAGGTCATAGGCTCTTGAGAACATGTAAGCGCATCGGTACCGTTTGGTTCCCCCCTCGTCGTCCGCGGCAGGTGTAGAATACGATGGTCCGACCAAATGCATCTGAAATGCGTCCGGCCAAGGACAATGAATGTCTCTTCCGGTGCTTGAGTGGTTGTTTTGGGATTCCGGGTTCGTCGTGTAGTGAAGTCCAGTGAGAAAATCGATGGCTAGTGATCTTCCCTGATGATTTTCTTCTCTCTGATTGGCTACGCTCGTAGTGGAATCATCTTCCTCATCATGGTTTTCTTGATCCTTCCCCCGATGCACTTTCTCGATATGTTGACGCAAGACGTGTTTATAACCAAACGTCTTTTGGCAGTCCGCTTCCGGGCAAGTAAATGGTTTGAGTCCAAGATGAGAGATGTTGACGTGTTTGTTGAGTGCAAATTTCTGTTCAAAAAACCATTGGAAGTGAAGGTTACCATAACGGAAAAAAGGAACTCGTGCATACCGACTTGAATGCCTTATCACAGCTATCCTCCGGACAATGCCAATCTCTCCCGATCTCACCACCTCTTCGACGCTTGACCGCTCTCTCGCTGGATTCGTCGTGCCCATCATCCCCATTACACTCATCTTCCAGAGCATGCAATAACTCGGCTTCTCTTTCCCGTTGCTCATGAAGTCTCAAATGAGCCTTCAGACCCGTCTTGGTGGTGAAAGTCCGTCCATCGCATTCGGCATGAGGACAAGTTGGAGGATGCACGACACGAATATGTTGCTGTAACTCTGTCCAAGTGCCAAAGTACCGAAGGGTGGGGCTAGACGCGGAAGTAGAACCATCCTGGAGCCCTGATTGAGTGCACGAAGGATGCACGCATGCATATCTATTTACTGAGGGTATAAAGTTGTCATGTCAGGGAAGAGGCAAAAAAAAATTTTTTTTCTAACAATCAAAAATCACCAACATTCATGACTTTTGGCGTGGTTCCGCAATTTCTGAGATGTAGGAAACGATTTCAAGCACCCTTCGTGTCCACATGGAAACCGTTTCGAACCAGGGGTACAGTGGGCTGCGACGAAATGAGTACGAAGCTGTTGATTCTTGGAAAATGCTTCATTGCATCCTTCAGCTGAGCACTACATACATAATTCGTATGGATCAGTTATGGCTCACACAATCCAAACACACACACACACAAAAAAAAAAAACGCGACGCGAATTCAATCTTCACACAATTTTTTGAGCTTACCTCGAACAATTTAGCTCGCTCGTGGACGCATTGAATATGAGTTTTAAGTTTTTGCTCCGTCCAGAACCTTTTATCACAAGTATCAGCAGCAAAGTTGCATAAAAACGGACGTTCTTCGTAGGAAAGATGCGTGCGAGAATGTTGTTGGAGATGAGAGTCGCGCAGGTATGCCTTGGAGCATGTTTTGCACACATACGGCCGCTGGGTATGAGTCGGGAAGGAAAGAAAAAAAAAAACATTGGCCTCTATATAAGATTAAAGTAGAAAAATAGCGGCTCACCACTCCAGTGTGACTACGCTCGTGCTCGGACAATTTGAATGCTCGCGAATAACTTTTTGTACAATTGGGATATGAGCATTGGTAGGGTTTGTTGGGCTGGGGTTTCAGCAGGCTTCCCGTTTTTTCCGCTGAAGACTCGCAGGCATCCTCTTCCGCATCCGTGTCGGAATCTGACCGTTCATTTTCTGTGTCGTCAGTTTCCCTATCCCCTTCGGTGTTGTTGTGACCGCCGCCGGGCTGTAACAAAAGGGACGAAGCAGGCTCAAAGCGAGGAGAAGAAGTCGGTGAATGAAGTTCTTCAGCCCTCCGTTTCCCGAGAACGACAGGTGCCGGTGAGAGAGTGAGCACTGGCATCCTGTCGGGGGAAGGGGAGAGGGCAAAGCCAAATTTTTTTCAATTCAACTCAATTTCTCTTCCCGTCTCCCGGTGACAATAGATGCAAATAGAAATCTACCAACTTGCCCTGCTGTGACAATGGTGCTGGCAATTGATCAATATGCGCCTACGTCGCGGTTATTGGATCAATATTCTTTCACAGGGCCCGCTTGTGCAGCGGCAGTCTTGATAACGCTGGGAGATCCAGCAATTTTCAGCTCGGCATTCAATGAATCTTCAACAGTAACACTCTGGAACGCATCTCGTCTGCGGGGGGGGCAGATAGTGCTGCCTATTCTGTCTGCGCTATTACACGGGACTTTGAGTGTTCTTCTTCTTCTCAGTTTATCATGCGGCGGAGGAGACTCTTCAGTGTGAAGCATGATCAGGATCGCCTTTGCGCCAACAAACGCAAGATAGTTTAGATGATCAACAACAGCTAATATACATTCGACGAACTCGGCCAACTCTGATTCTTTCAAACACACTGAGCACCTTCGATCGAGACGATCAATGAGTGCAGTGACCAGAAACAACTTTTCGACTCCCACGTAGCTGGGCAATGTTTCCCTGCTCTGCTTGCTTGCGGAGCCTGGTGACCCATGGATATCTGGTCAGTTCATCAGTCCTTTTGCACAATTATTGGTTTGTGCCCTCACCACATGAGATTAATAAGGGGGAGGAGGAAGAAAGGATCACATCGTTCGCATTACTGCTTGATCGAATGCATCCGCTCGACCGATCTTCTGTGGGTGGTTTTGATTCTGAAGTTTCTCGCGTACCGTTCCACCCTGGACTGCTAGCAATGGTGCCTTCGAGCCACGCGAGTCTGTGGAGTTGACTCGGGTGGGGAGTGTTGTTGCCCCAGTGCAACCCGCCGCATGCGTCGGCGCTTGAACCGTTCCCGGGACGTTTGTAGCGGTACCCTTCTTCTTGAACAAGGGCATGGAAAAAACACTGCACCAAGTAGGTTTTGGGACGAGATCTCGAAACCACTCCAGTCCCACATTTATACCAAGCTTGGTTGGCTGAGCGCTCACAAGGTCATTGTGGCGTCGACACGATAACCATCACTATTGGAGCGAGATTATATTATCCGCCTGACCGGCGCCCGCGATCTGGTTAGAATGACCCTTCTTGTTCACGAGTCTGAGGTGATGCCTTGCTTTGTTATTTAGATTCGTTCTCCATTGAGTTGTTTGTTATATCTGTTGTGTTCCCCATTTATGTGGTTACGCATCCGCACGGCTATAAGAACTAGCGATGTAACAAGCGCTCAGTTCCAGATATACGGCAGCGTATATACATATGCTGACAAAGTACTGTGGGACCCGGGGGGTCCGGTGTGCGCGTCTGGTTTGCCACAGTAATGACTCGTAGCCGGCGTATCTAGTATTACTGATTTGCCTGTTCCTTGACTGTGCACTGAATCAGTGGAACCCGGAATTATATGATTACCATGTAAAGAGGAATGACTCTAACAGATATTAGCTTGCCGAGTTTGCCAAGGCTGCGCAGCACATGTACGTGCGTCCATCATTACATACGATGCCGTACACAGGCCGCACACAATGAGAGTGGGTCTTCAGATCTAGAGCTTGCCAAGTACTTACTTACAATTCCCATCAAGCACGGGTACGGTCCATAGTATTGTCAAGTGATCAATCCTCATGCAAGCAAAAACGACTCAGCCCTGTCAGGGAAGAGATATGATACAACGTGCAAGTCTCCGATTCCAAAGGTATCAATCAATACAGTGTAAAAAATGGGCGTAGCATGTTAGCATACAACTGGCGACTGCAACTGCGAGTCGACGAGATCATGTCATTGTCAGCGCATGCCCTTGGCAGTACACTCCGTTCCGCACCCCAAACCCATCCAACCCCAACCCCGACCCCGAAGGCAACAGTTCAGGTCTTTTTCGTTCCCTGACCCCTTCACCGGTAACATATGCATGAGGTCGCCCTGCAATCCAATATATGTGCCATCGATTCAGTCATCTCCATGTAGATTCACTGGTGTGTATACCCGACCCTCGTTCGTTTTCCAGAACGTGGATGAAAAAACGCCGTGGAAGACCAGCGCGAACGACAGCAACAAAGCGATCGACATGGTGGCAATTGTGAAATAAAGTTCCAAGCGTGTTCGCTTGAGCCCCCGAATCTCATTCTGAAGGAAGGTGGTGGTAATGTTGTTACTGGGTGTGGTACCGTTATCCGTAGGCGTTACTACGTCTAAGCGCGTCCTGCCTGGTGGCATGAGGAGCTCCTGATTCTTAAGGCCTATATTCGTGCCAGGAACAGGGACCTTCACGTTCAACTTTGGATCAAAGGTCCCGCCATTCTCCAAAATCAATTGAGTGACATCTTGTCCTGGAAATAGAGTTTGATTAGTCCCGCAAAACTGGTTACGGGTTGGGTATGTATCGTCAACGAGAAAGTTCCGGATGATGGCTGTAGTGCAATCAGAATGCTCCGCAAACGAGGTGTGTCCAAAGTCATCTTGCTCCACTAGATATGCACCGTCACCCAGTAGATCAGCGACAAATTTCGCTGATGTAAAAGGGGTGATCGGATCCGCTTTGTTTCCAATGACAAGAATTGGATTCTTCAATGTTGCATTCCAGGGTCCCATATAGCGCTCGGGCGCTCGCGTCACCCATTTATGGCAATAAAATCCAGCGTCGATGAGCATGGGAGCAACTGTTGAAGAGAAAGAAAGAAAAAAAAAAAAAAGTATCCATCAGACGAAAAAAAAAGGAAGGCAGAACAGGAGGAAGCACGAAAGCCACGCACACATCTGTGTTTCCGTAATCGCAGTGTATATCACTTCGTTGAAAACATCCGTAGTCGTGGTGTTTCCCCAATCCAAAGCATCGGCACAGGTGATGGCCTGGAAGGCATAGTTGACCTTGAGACTCCACCTGCTCCTTAGAGGAGGAAAGGGAATACGGTTTGAACCAAGTGATCGTCGTCGTCGAGTAGTGTTGCCGCTAGGCCAGACCTCATTAGCATAGTCGTATAATTTAGTCGCAAGACCCGGCCAATTTTTGGGTTGGTACATGCTGCTAAAGATCAGTTCTAGAAGACCATCATCAGCAGAATGGCATTGGTGCGGGGGGGGGGGGGGGGGGCACGACAACCACACATACTACGGATATCTGCACTTCCGAATGTTCCCCCTCCTTCCTTGAAGTCATACGCAGCATCCATCAAATCCATTGTCCACTGAACAATGCTTTCTGCCGTTGACCCATTGGTGGCGATCTCACAACCAGTGGGGCCGGCCATCGCGCAGGCCGCAGAAAATCCATAGAACACATCCGATGTATTCTGTAGCGAGTCGGACCATAGTTTGTATGAAGGTTCTGCGGCCCACACCTGAGGATTGACAACCCCATCGATGATGACGTGTCCAACGCGATGGGGAAACACTACCGATGGTGTGAGACCAATAGAAAGTAGGAAAGAAATGTTCACACCCACTATTGACGAGATAGCTCCCGATGATTGTACCATAACTGAATCCCCAATAGTTGACTGGTGCCTCAGGGCCATCAAATAGGTTCGCCATACCAATAATGTCCCGGACCACTGCAGTAGTACCGACATATCTAAGGTGATCGCCATTCATCTCCCAGCACTTTTGACCTAACGCGTAATAAACGAGGTCGGTTAGAGGTTCTTGAGAGAGAAAGGCAATCACATCTGGGTCCGTTTCGTTCTGATTGGTGAAATTCCCTTTTGCTTCAATGCCTCTGGATGTGAAGATTTGGGATTCAGGATCGATTGCATCATCGCTCCCGAGAACTTACTGTTGCAAGAAAGTTCCATTCAGGAATTCGAATTCCTCCTCAGAGCTGGAGAAGCAGTTGATATTCGGCTGAGTGCTCCCTACGCCTCGAGGATCGAATCCAACTAAAATGTTTCTTTCAAATTAGTTCTCGCACACCCGAGGATGAATGACGTCCTTATACCTATGTCATAGAAGCCACCTGGAAAGAGGGGTAAATCGTCAACGAGCGCAACGAAATTGTAATCGCAGGACTTACCGCTAAGTTCTGTGTAGTTCAACGCGAACTCGATAACATTCTCAATACCTGACTCCCCAGGTCCTCCTTGACGAAAAATGCCTTTTTAGTCTCAAGGAGAGAGAGAAAGAGAGAGATCTGAGTCTAGAACGGTCAAACTCACCGGGGTTAACGAAGATACTTCCCCGCCGTCGTTCCGTAGCATTAAGGCGAATAAGAGCAATTCGCGCTTTCCCGAGAGTAAGATTTGCATAATCCAACGGAACATCGAACGTTCCACAATCGAATCCCTCCTGATTTGGACAGGGAGACCAGCTAACAGTTTTGTTGAGAGGTGCATAACGATCATTGGCCTCATAACCAGCGAGAACAGACGAAACGAGTGCAAAACAGTTAACGGTGAAGAGGAGGCACCCAATGGGCCCCATCATCTGGGGAGTGACACCTCAGGAGTTGCCAGTAGTCCGACACCGGACTTCAAATTATGGAGGAGGGGGGACGATTGTAAGGGGACCGCAATATGTAAGGTAGTATGTAGTGTAAAGAGAACGCTGTGCAGGGCCCATGTGGATCTATATCAAATTGGAAGTAACCAATACGAAGCCGCAAACGTCCCAAAATGCGAAAATGCTTTGGAAATTATGCAACATGGGGTACGAGATGCGCCATCCCAAGCCCCCGCCGCTCGAAAGGATGGCCGGGGGAAAACGCCGCGATTGTTCAGTGATGGATGTCACGCAACCAAGCGCAACAACGCACAGGTACAGTTTTGTGGGCGGCAAAAGGCCGAAAAGCTGTGCGCGTTAGTATCGGACCTAAGCACTGCCATTTCGAGAGTTAAGTTATCCCACTTCGACATCATCAAATGGATGCCCCAAATGTTTGTCAGTGTCATGCAGGAAGCAATGATATGGGGAAAACAATCAGCGTGATTACAGGTGTTACATTGGATCAGCCTGCAGTTCTGTAAATTGGAAGCACATTTGCTCATCACCCTCATTGTGCAGGGGGCTCAAGTTCATTCTCGAGAACCACTGCGGGAATTGTCCGAATGACTCGGTGACTGGCCTTCCCCCGAACGTAGCTCGAGAAGACCGTCGGAAGCTAATTTGTGGAACGAGGAAGGACTGTTCATACTATCATCACACTTACTAAATGTTGTATCATGAATCATAATTGTACTTGCCTCGGTTGAAAAGTAGCTTGGGTGCTCGCAGCCTGGGTTTTCTTCTGCATCAATCCAGACCCTATGATTCTGTAGAGCCGTGCATTGTCCACATGTGCTTGAACAGAGGATGATGGATTATTCGTGGTGAGCTGGGGTGGTGATTGATGGCTGGCGTCGGCTTTCTTAGGGTGAGGCATAATGAAGGGCTTTGAAGCTTGGTGTGTGAAGTTCATTAACAGTGCGGCTGACCGACTGGATCTTATACCCAATCCTGATTATCGCTGACCATTCATTGTTGTTCCCCGCGCAACCTGAAGTCCGAGCCGCACTTATAACACAGCGCGCAGCAACTCTAGCAGCTGTGACGACCGGCAGATTTAGGCGAGAAAAGCCAAATATTACATGCAATCACCGTCGTGCACGTTATCTCGATGGTTTGATGCCCCAGGGGATTTCAAGCAAGTTGAATGAGTGACAAAGGCGCAGCACGCGCGCGTTAGGCTAAAGTGGCCCAAAGTGATGAAGCAACTGCGGCGTGTGACCCTAGGGCTCCCCAAGTTGAACTAGCTCACCGCCACATATTAGGAGTAGCAAGTCAAATAAGCACTACTAGATGGCTGATGCTGCGCTCGCTAAGCACGACCGACAATGATTGAGAACAGTTTATTCGGAGTAACCTTTGATTTAGATATCCTGAATTACCCTGCATATAGGTAATCCGTCCAGAGTACATGCAACGAAAACCCGCAGTGAGAAACTGGAAAGATCACTGCGCAATCCGCTGGTATTTGTATGCAGGTAGCGGATTGGTGAAGGACATTGGGGGAGATCTTTCAAAGTGTGGGACTGCATTCGGAACTTACTCCTGGGGAAACTGAGGCACTGCAGCCAGTTTTGGCATCGTCCCTCAGAGTAATGACCCTTCAGTTTCCAGGCCCGGACATAGGGCTCCACATCGCAGGATAGCCCAAATCTTCCAGAAGGTTTAATTCATTCGCGCCTGTTTGATGAGATCCTTGAGTGTCTTGAAACGATGAACAAATTCATCATATCCATAAGCCTGAAGTGGGGACAGATTAGGCTTTACTGAAGGGGATCGAGTAAATCCGCCCGTGTTTGATCCCATGTTGGTGATGATATTTTGTTACCCCGCGGCCTCGTGATGCTAGGCAGGTTCCCAGCCTCTACTAAAGTAGATCGTGATGCCATGTCGGTATGAGGGTCTCCTCCAACGTTCAAACACACACTCAAGAAGCATCAGGGGAAAAGAGTAGTGTTCTTCTTCAGAACGACATCAATGCGACTCAACGGGAAAAAAACAAGTTGACGTTTACGATCGTTGTTTTTGTTTATCAGTTTGTTTGTTTATATTGATTCCGGCCAACCAGCGCTGTCGTATTCTGCATCCGAGGCCCAAGCACTCCAAGTTCATAAAAGGAACCCCTCATCACACTTTTCGAGCTCACTTCATTCTCGACCCACGCACTTTGCTGGTCTTTCCTCCACAATCTCGCCTCTAAGCCCTTAATACATATCGCATAACAATGTCTGGCCGTGGCAAAGGTGGTAAGGGTCTCGGAAAGTAAGTCGATGGTTGTGCTTGCATTGAGTCGACCATAATCGAATCGTTTCTCTGCTGTCCAGGGGTGGTGCTAAGCGTCACCGCAAGATTCTTCGGGATAACATTCAGGGCATTACCAAGCCCGCAATTCGCCGTCTCGCCCGCCGTGGTGGTGTCAAACGTATCAGTGGTTTAATCTATGAAGAGACGCGTGGGGTGCTCAAGATCTTCCTTGAGAGTGAGTCATCTTGCCTGCTTGTGCTTGTCTCTTTTCTGTATGCATTCGACTGATACGCTCGTCAGATGTCATTCGCGATTCGGTAACGTACACTGAACATGCCAAGCGTAAGACGGTCACAGCCCTCGATGTTGTCTATGCTCTGAAACGATCAGGGAAGACATTATATGGTTTTGGTGCCTGATTCCTTTCTGTAGGTTCTCTGTAAATGGGGAATTCTTCGCAGACTGACTGATCTCCCATAGCATTTGGATTGTCATTATCTTATTTGTACTTGTATCTGGGACTAACTATTCTTCCCACCTTGAAATATCCATTACAGTATTTCACACACTGAGAAACTCCGTGAAGTACATTAATTCACACGTGAATGGGTTTCCACCCTTCAATGGTTACTGTACATGACCAACTACTGCTTTGTCAAAATTAGCGTGACACAATTTTGCCGGATGATGAATCGCAAAGGCATTTTAGTTGGGGGTGGGCAATGTAGGTTGGTTCCGTGTTCTGCTTATGTAATCACATGGAGCAGAAAAGTGTACCAAAAATGTCTCGTGAACTTTCTCACCACACACAACAAATAAAGAGAAACATCATTAGTAAACATTAATCAGATTGACCTAAAATAAAAATTGTTCAGAGGAATTTTTGAGAAAGTCAAAAATGGCTGTGTTGTGGTTGAGGAAATGTGTATAATTTGCCCATATCTTCAATTGTAGGAAGTTACATGCAAATTCCTCTGAATGTTTTGTAGAAATATACTATCTGCACCATATCCCCAATTTATATGCTCTCAGGAGGATACTGGAGAGAGAAAGTACAAATGGGGATTTTTGTTATGGTTTATTTGTACTTCCATTTAATTTATCAAGTCTTATGAGAAAGCAGGCCAATATAAGCTATGCAATGAAGCCAGTGCTTGTGTCAGCATCTAATACAGGCTGGATTTCAGAAATATGAGTCCAGATTAAGTGTCAAGGGTACCAGCTGGGTCGTGTTTGCCCCAATGCAGCACACAAGTACAAATAAACCATAACAAAAATCCCCATTTGTACTTTCTCTCTCCAGTATCCTCCTGAGAGCATATAAATTGGGGATATGGTGCAGATAGTATATTTCTACAAAACATTCAGAGGAATTTGCATGTAACTTCCTACAATTGAAGATATGGGCAAATTATACACATTTCCTCAACCACAACACAGCCATTTTTGACTTTCTCAAAAATTCCTCTGAACAATTTTTATTTTAGGTCAATCTGATTAATGTTTACTAATGATGTTTCTCTTTATTTGTTGTGTGTGGTGAGAAAGTTCACGAGACATTTTTGGTACACTTTTCTGCTCCATGTGATTACATAAGCAGAACACGGAACCAACCTACATTGCCCACCCCCATTTTAGTGTGTGACACCCGACCGCATGACTAACCGACTGCAGCTGGAGTTGTCACGGCTGTGCATTCCGGCCCATTCCCCACCCGTCCTGATGCTGCCCGAGCCTGTTCCCATTATGTGAGCGTGAGCCCCAACCTCAGCCCTGTCCCCCCTGAGGACTCCCTGCTCACTCCCCTGCTTGCCCCTAGGCTCCCCTACACTTGGCCGACTCCCCCACTGCCGCACCAACCTCCCCACCCTGAGTCCGCCTCCGGCACCATGCCCAGCGTGACTCCTCTACCCCACCCACTTGGCCCCTACAGGGCCGCTACCATTCCTGTGCCCGACTCCGGCCCAACTCTGAGTCCAGTGCCACTACGATACCATCGCCGCTATCACGGCCCTATGCTCCTTCCTTTATTTATCTGTTATTGTTTGTTTTGACCCTTGGTCATTGCCGGCCGCTATGCGGCCAACCCCGCTCCTTATTCATGTTTGCTTCCGGACCCTTCAGCCTTCGGCCCGGGTCCGCTTCTATTCATTCTTTCTCCCTATATATATCCTGTATGATACTTTATTGTACCTTAGCTCTAATATCAATTTGACCACGACCCCCAAGTCCTGACCCCAGCAAGGCAACCCCAGTAAGTCTGAAATGAGGGCCAAGAGACAGCCAGGGGGCACAGCGCTCCTTTAGAGTCGCTGAGGCCAAATGCCCTACCCTCGGGCCTTGTTCACGGCATCATGGCCAATAGCGGCCTGCATCAGCGACCTTCAGTGCCGACCCTGGACCAGTGTCTAACAGGAGTTCACCGAGATCAATGATAACTTAATGGGGCGGTATCACAATAATAATAATGATTAATTATTTTTGACTGCTACAGTGTAGGTATGTCATGACCCGGCGTTCCCCGGGGCCAGACGACCTCCTCCCTGACCTTCTCCCACGCCTGAACACTCCCCGCACACTCCGCTTGCCGCCCGTCGCTGTCTAACCACTTCCTGCCACCTCTCCAACCCCTCCCCTAATTGTCGTTGAACGACCTAGTGGCGCAGAGCGCCGCGACCTGTTGTCCCATGTTTCTCCGCACCTTGTTACCTCGCGGCGAAGGTCACGCTTGACCTTCGCTGTCTTGAACACATGCCCTTTGTTTGTTTTCCTCCTTCTTTTCTCCGCCCGCAATCTCCGCGAGATCTGGCGACTTATTCCCTATTCAGTTCCCTAGCGCTTATATACAGCTTGTAACTAATGCTTGTACTGTAGTTCGAAATCAACTAGAATTACCCCCTAAAGCTTACCTCTGTCCCCATGAGACCTCCGACCTTCTGAAGTATCGGGACCGCGTCGAGAATGAGGCGCAACGCTCCTCCTAGAGTTGTTGAAGCTGAAATCCCAGCTCACTCGCCTAAGTAGCCTCGGCCTCGAGATCGGTGGGGTTTATCCCTCGCTAAAGCTTGGTCGGGTGTAGGACGCCTTTACCACTAGCGGGCAATGCTCGGTCGCCTACAGCTACCCTCGGCGAACCTTTGCATGGTTCTGACAAGGTAGGTTATTTGCAGCTTCTCCATAGCGCAAAATTTTACTATTCAACTTGGCATTATATTAAAATCCTACTATGAAACCAATGTATTCTACAATTTTCTGGAGGGTTTTCGAAAAATTAACTGGTGGACATTATTTTTTTGACCAGAATTTCCTTTTTTGGAAGGTACTCAAGCACACTCACTCAAAGAGAGTTGTTTTGATGCGTCTATGTGATTTATACTTCTGGACTGCATACTCAGCTTGTATGCCAGTTAGCCCTTTTCTATACAGCAATGGAGCTTTAGTGAACAATAAAAAGGTATTATGATAACAGCATACTCATATGCATCCATATAGTGCCAGGTTTTTCGGAAGAAATGGCAGATTGTGACCAGATCACAGGAGTCTAAGCACTGGGGAACGAGATTTTTTGCAGTTTTGAACTTCCCATCAGTGGCAGCTCTGTACCCTGTTATGATGTGAGCATGGGAAATGGTTATATGAGGTGGCCTTGACCCACGATATTTTGCATAGCCCCATACCATCTTGATCGGGTTGAGCTCACAATGAAACTTGGGCAAAAACAAGCAGTGGTGGCCCCGCTCCTCCACACATTTTTGTAAGAGGGGCTTCTCATTCCTGAAGTCAGACTGTAAGGAAAGCACATGCGTCATACAGCACCAATCTGAGGTTGGAGTTGGTTCCTCTAACACATTGGTCAGGGAATCATCCACACTTGGCATCCAAAACCTCTGCAGCAGCAATGCATGCTTCTGCATCCTTGGCTGCCTGAGACTTGTGGCATTGTTCACAGGTCCCAATTGGCTTGCCACCCCAAGCATGAGATTCAGCCACAAGCCTTCTCCACACACCAGTACGCTCCTGCAGAACTGCTCGCATCCCTTTTGGTTTCCCCCACAACTTGCATGGGACAGTGATGTCACCTTCAGGATAGACCATTGACTGGACTTGGCCATGAGTATCCAGCTCATTGGGTAAGGGGGGAGGATTATCAAGTGGTATGATGGTTGGGTGCATTATTCTCTGGGATTGACATTCATCCCATTCACATTCAAGGCATCAGGTGCAAATCCTTTGTGACTGGAGCAGTCAAATAAGAAGACAGCAATGCAGTCCGGATATTTGAACTTGAATATATCAATTGCATCCTTGAGCTGGGCATAACATCAGGATTTATGAATTCAAGATGAATGATTTCGCACCTGATTCACAAGCTGCTGACCGTCTGTCAGGGCACACACCCTGACTAGCCCGGACCCACGCCTGGACCCGCATGCGTGCTCCGCCCCGCATGCTCCGGGCCTGGTTCCCACTTCTCATGTGACTTCCGGGTATCCCCGGAAGTTTTCGCCATATTGGGCCACTGTGGGAAAGTGAGAAGTTAACCTTCTTCTCACTTTCTTACCCACAGTAGCATTGTGCCCTGAGATGGGCTGTTTGTCAGGGATCGGCCCCTGACCCCGCTGTCAGGGCACCCAACCACACCCCAGAACCACCTTCCCAGACTTCCCCCACTTCCCAGACCTCCCCATCCCTACATACCTCTCACAACTTCAGCCCGCATGTGAGCCCACGGGAAAAATCACGTGGGTTAAGGCGAGCAAAACTCGCCTTAACCCATGTGACACCTTTTCCGAGTCATGGGAACATGCTCGGCTTCTACCTGGAGTCACGTTATGAACTGTACAGTACACTTCCTTTTTATAGTAGCCAAGTGGGGAATAGGGAAACTTACCCTTCTTCTCAACTCAATCCCTGCTTAGTCCCTTCAGTGAGTTTGAGGAGCTGAGGACAGGGTCTAGCACCCAACCACCCGGAACACCGCACACACCTAGGACTGAGGTCGGGCTGTCCCTGATCGAGCGAGGACCGAGCCCTGACACTGTTACAGGTCAGGCTCTGGGTTATAGAGAGAGGGGTCATGGGGACCCGGGTTTGTCCCCTGACACTGTTGTAAGCATGCTTGGGATGTAACCCAGCAGCAAACAAGAAAAGAAAAAGGGGGCAAAGAAAATCTTACTACCGGTAAGGCCACACACGGTCCCAGTGCAAGTGCATGATACTAATAAACTCTTTTAAAACTCAGAACTCACCCTGGTCCTTCTTGGACAGTCATCAGGGAGTCAGACTAAGCTCTTTAAATGTATGGAAGGGTCGCTCAACACCACAGTCTTTGTAGCACAGATGAGGGGTCCAACAACATAAGTACAAGATAAACTGGGCATATTTATAGAAAAAAGGGAAATCAGAACAAAAAATAAGAGAAAATAGCTGATGGATGGTGTCAATGGAAACAGGAAGAATGTTGAGAACTCGGCTAAGAAAAAATAAGGCAAAAAAGTGTCCACAAGGTAGCAATAAAATCAATAATTGAGGCCCATAAGGTCAATATCAGCCATCAATCTCGCTTCTCCACCGCATATCCATCATCCTAACTCCCGTCCCATCCTTCCATCCTCTTCTCCTGATCCATCGCTGTCCTTCAAGCTCAAAATCGTGTGAATTGGGGGGGATATGGGGGAAATGGTGGATATCCGTGAATTTTGGGGAAGTGGCAATATGAGTCTTGAGAAAAAAAGCATGGAAAAAATTGGAAAAAATGTGGAAATGTGCCGTGGGCATTGTGAATGTGTCGGAGGCTTGAGGGTGCTCGTTGGAGCCTCG